TTTACTGTTTTCCATACATTCTAAAATGCCTATTTCTGTTTGTGTGATGATTATTTCTGAGCTAAAAGTCTTCATTCCCAGAGATCAGCCTAAAGATCATTATTTATCCGGCACATGGACCAAAAAAGCGAGAGAGCGAGAGTGAGAGGCCCACCAGGTGAGCGTCAGTCTCCTTTTTCCCCCCTCCTCCTCCTTGTCATTACTCAATGGCATCGTGGCATTCGATTGGCAGGGTCGCTGTTGTGTTCCATGGAGAGATCAAGCCCCCCACCTACAGCCAGCCACACTTTTTTTAACCCTCGATGTTTACATTGTTTCTGGTTAACTGTCTGGCAGTTAGAATTATTAACGGTTATTCGGAATTTTTATATGTTTTTAAAGGCATTTTTTCATGATTTTCGTAAAAAAACGACCAATTTTCGCTATTTTCCCCAAGCAGATTTTTTCAACAGATTTTTCGGCCTGTTCGTGTGTCAGCTGGTCAAACTGGATGACAGTTTAGCGATTTGGTTATTGGGCTGGAACGCAACAAGCTTATTTCCCCAAACTTTCTGCTCATTTATGCCCTGGCAAGCAAACAACTTGTCGGCAGTCTTCCAACCCATCCAAAGCCCCGATTCTCCATTAGTGATTGTCGTTAGCGTTTCTCTCTCTCTCCCTCTCTCTCTCTCTCATCCTTCATTCCACCTGAATACCCCCTCTTCTCCCTAAAATGACCATCCACTTTGCCCTCTCCTCTTCTTCCACATCGTCATCTCCATTTTCTGCAGAAGAGTGTCCATTTTTGGCTTTTCCGCTCTCTCTCTTCTCATCCCGGAAACGCGCCCTCAGCCTCGGTTGCTAATCATTTTTCCATTTTTCTGACTAAATTGGGCCGTTCTGGGGGTGACAGCTTATTCAATTTATTCTGTTTCAATGGGCTTTTGAATCATTTTTCAGCGTCGCGAAGTTTTCAGGCGCTTAAATGGACTTTGAAGGCATATTTATGGATTTTCCACCTCCGCGCTACACGGTGGGTTGTTTGTCGTGGGCACGGCAAACCCCATATGAATACAGCCAGAAAAAAACCCCCATGGAAAGCCACTTGTCCGTCCCTTTAAAAGATAATAAAAGTAAAATGTAAGTAAGTAAGTAAGTAATGTAAGTAAAAGTACTTTAAAAGTAAAATAAGAAAAATTCGAAGGATTCGTATCCTTCGAACCCCTCAAGGTCGATAACGTTATAAAATTTTAACGGAAAAAGAAAATCTTTTAATTTTTTGATCTTCGATGGATTCCTGCCTTCCCGGTCCCTTTAAAGCATCTGGAATAAGAGATTTTTTAAAATGATCCAGCCTTAGAGCTTGTCCTCCCTTTTCTGCCACTAATGAACGGGCCCCGGTGGCCGGGGTTGGTAGTTGTCGTTTTGTCCTTCTTCTCCCCCCCATGTGAGCAGTTCCCCCCTGCCCAGCTTTTATGTTCGTTTGCAGTCCGTAAGAAAAGGTTTAATCGCCCTGGCTGAGTCCCGGCTTTCTGCTCATTCCTAAAGACCCTCTGCCAGCTGCCCCGTACTTTTCTTGGTCTCTCTCTCTCGCTCTCTCTCTCTCTCTCGCTCTCTCTCATTACCTCCTGGCAGTCCTTTTCATTACCTTTTCGACCATTTGCTCTGGTTGGCTGTAAAGTTATGACTCTTTCTCTTTTTCTACCTACTAACTGCCCACCTGCTTCTTCTCCGTCGGCAGCCAATCTGGCCTCCTAACGAATTGCCCCCACCACGCCAGAATTCTCGGCGTTTTTATGGGTATTGCTGGCCGGCTGACCGGAATGAGCCACTTTTTCAATTTCTACTGAACTTTCTAGGATTTTTAATGCATTTTAGCTGAAGCTGACTGCCAGTTAATATTTATATGAGCTTCAGAAGCTCCAATCTGTTCGGATTTTTGCGCAACCAGGTAACATAGGGTTTACCTGCGGCTTCACCCGGTTCCCAAAGTCAAAAGTGTTGTTTTCGACCGATGCTCTTGCCCCTTGGACTGGCAAAAGCTGTCTCAGAAACTGACCTCATTTTTCGTGAACCGCCGCTAATTTCTAACGTTCTCTGTGTTCCTGCTAATCAGGAGACCCAAAAATACCTCTTCCAACAGTGTGCTCAAAATTACAAATTTTTGGCAGGATTTCTGAGCTTTCGCCTTGAAATTGCGGCTTCAAAATAACTTCTAAATTTTAAGGCGCTTAAGCTAAGTATTGCCGCAAGATCTACGAAATCCAGAAAAAAATCTAAATTTTGTTTTGTACCTTTAAAAATTTATTCCCTTCGATTTAAGACAATTTTTACAGCTTTTGAGAGCGCAGGCTAGCTGCTGTTTTTTGCAAACAGGGCCACGGCCGTTTTTCCGCGTGGCTCCTCAGATCGACGGGCCACCGAGTGGTGGTGGTGGTGGCATTGGATAGAAAAGGGGAGAAGATCTGTTGGACTGGGCATTGCGGGCCTTGGCTGCTGCTGATAAATGAGATTTGGATAGGCCATGGGGCCCAACTGGAGAAGAAATGGAAAAGTGGTGTAGAAAACGAGAGAGAGCGAGAGAGAGAAAGTGAGCGGGAGAGAGAGAATTGGAGACCCCCAAGGGATTGTCCGGGAGGGGTGATGGAAGAAGAATTGAGACCATCACCACAACTTCACCCTAACATTGTCCGCTCCCCTCAAATGGGTGTACTCACCGAGAAATTTAGGCGTTTGGAGCTAACAAGTACCTTAAAATCGATCCTGTATGCCAGGAAGCTGATCTCTATACTTTAAGGGCTTCATAAAATTTTTTTCTCCGCCAGCGACGCGCAACGCGTGAACCCATCTTTGAAAGCGTAATTGGCTGCAGCCTGTTTTGGATGGAGCGCCGCACGGCTGCGTTGCATGTCGCGGCCGCGTCAGAATCTTCAGCGACTATCGATTTCAATCGAGTTTCCGTGCCTTCCCGGCCTTATAAAAAACCAACTTTTTGAAGTGCAAATTCGTGCAAAGTGTATGTGGGTGACCGTCTATTTTGGTTGGATGTGTTCTCGGGTTACCCTTGCCTGCCCTTCCACACCTCTGCTCTGCCACCTCTAGTCCACTCGGTCCAACTTGCCAAATGGCCAAGTGCCACTTTTCGCTCCCCTCGCCCCCGACGGCTTTTCATGCCCTCAGGGAAAACACACACTAACTGCTGGCTTCTTGACTGAAAAACTCAAGTGGCTCCTAAATTCCTAAATGCTACTGCTAGCCAACCTTTTTAGGGGGGGGGGGCTGATTCTGAAAAAATCGCAAAGTTTTTTCATGTGGCTCTATTGCCCGGCTCACGGAGCAGGCCAATTCCTAAATGATTTCTGCTGGGCTTCCAGGAGCTGCAAATTAGGTTTTAGGTTTTATTTTTCTCGCGTTTCGAAATGGTCTCTGCTTGCTCGCCAGCTGAGCGGTTTCCCAAGGGAATTCTGCTAGGTCCCACATTTTCCCAAATTATCTCTGCTGAACTGCCTGAGCTCACGGTGCTAACAAAATGTTCTCAATAATATGTGCCATCTCTCTGGAGGATCAGATTATTAGCGATTTTTTCTGTTAGCTTTCTTCTAGCTCGCGATGGTATCCAAAATACAACATCTCGCAAAACTCGATTTCGCGTGTAGTTTCTCGTTTGTACTAATGGACAATTTTCTTAAATAACCTGTTCTGCTTCCCAAGCCCTCGCAAGCCCGCGCCTTCGGCAATTTTGGCATTTTCCCAAAGGATCTCTGCTATTTGCCCCCTGGTAGCCAAAATACAAGAACTCGTAAAAGTCAATTTCACGTGTCGTTGTCTTGTTTCGACCAGCCACCACCACCTTTCCTAATCCCCCATGCCTTCTTTTCGGGTCAAAAGCCTCGCTGTATCCGTTGTGTATTCTTCTTCTTCTACTACTCCCTTCTAAAGACATCATCATTCATCGGGTGGTCGGCTTTAGAAGGGGGTGTTTGGGGAGGGGGGAGTACGCGACACTCCCCTCTTACGCCCCTTTTACGCGCGACACTTTTAACATCCATTTCCATCGCCTTTTCCGGAAAAGATATGTCTTTTCTTTCTTTTCTTTTTGACTGCAACATGACAAACTTCTTCTCTTCTTTCCCCTTCTTTTTCGCATTTTCCACGGGGTCACCCTGCCTTTCCACTGGGGGATTTGCCATTTTGGGGACTCTTGGGTGCCCAGAAATGACACGATTGTGTGGGTCAAACAACACTATTCTCAACCATTCTTTACTCATTGTAAAGGGCTTGTGAAGTCTAGAGAATTCGTGTGTCCTTCTTGACGATAAAAATTATGGACCAAGGATCTCTTAAAATTTCTCGTTTTTGTATTTCTTAGTCCAGTTCTCTTTCTAATTCGTATTTTTTGGCCTTGTCTGTCCGATATTTTAGCTCATTGCCGTCCAATTGGTGTAATTTTATGCAATTTCGCAATTCATTTTTTCCTGGTGCCTCAAAAAATTTGGAAAATTAGATTTTTGCGGAATTTTTAATTTTATATCTAATACAATGTTGTTTTCTTATCCTTTTTCGCTAGTCTGAAATCCATTAAGCTAATTTTTATGAAAATTATCGTCCTAGTACTTGTGCTGCCCGAAATACATTCGAATTTCCAAGAAAACCCGGAATTTTGCAAATTTTCTCGAGTTTGAGTGTTTTATCATTTTGACTATGCGGTTTTACCATGTTTTCTGGATTTTCTGGCCTACCGTATAGATTAGTTCATGAATATAATTCCGATTTTCAGGTGCCGCCATCTGATCCATCCCTCATCCCCCCTTGAGCCATCCTGGATGTTCGGATGAATGTTGGTTGTCCCGAGATGGACGGGCTATTTCGCCCTCCCATCCTATCTCATATTCTTTATAATATCCTTATTACTACCCTCTATTAATGCTCTATCATTCTTCGGCGATTCATCAGAAGAAATCACCACCACAACAAATGGACCCGACGACCGGATACCGCTCAATTTTGGGGCCGTTTTCCCGATGGAGGTCGGTTTTTTCAGGATTTTAATTGATAAATTTACAAACTGACAGTCAGTTAACATATTTCAATTTTAGCAAAATTAGGTTTGACCTGAAAAACTTTAAAAAAATAAAAAGTTCGCAAAGATCCAACCACTCCAAAGAACACGGATTTATAATTTTTGCCTTTCCTGATTTTTGAGACATTTTGAGTTGGATCTTATGAAATAGCAGACAGTTAACATATTCAACCTATAAGAAACAATTTGTTCGATCTAGGATATTTTTAAAAATTAAAAAATTGAAGGTCCGGAAGTCGTGAGATCGACATTTGTCATTTTTGCCTTTACGGCATTCCGCACTTTTTGTGTGTTTTCTTTTAGGAATATATAAACTGGCAAACAGTTGTATATTCACCGAGTTCAGAAAAATTTTATTCGAGCCTTAAAGATATTAAAAATACAAAAAGTCGAAAAACCCACATTTGTCATGCTGATTCCAGAAACTCCTCTTACCCGATTTCCTATCTCCGGATTTTCCAGAATCCCAGTAGCCATCCAACACGTGTATATCCCAGTGTAAATTTGTTTCTTTCTCGGAATGCGCTTTGCTGGCTTTCGTTTCTCTTCTGCTTTGGGGTCAAATTGGACAATTGAAGTCGACGTGTTTGGCCTTGGCCTTTCTCGGGAGTCACCTTTTTCGTGCTGAAAAGCCGATTTTTGAAGGCGAAAAAGTGGGGACGCTAAAATCATGGCGCGGGGGAGGGCTGCAAAAGTTTCGAGCGGCCTGGGGCTTTTTTGGAATCTAGAAAAGATGTAATACGGTTGAAAAATACTCTAACGAAATCAGACCATCCAGTTTGGCTAGGAAAAGCTAAACTGGTATGCAAACTTCACTCAAAATTCTTTAAAGCTTGAGATATAATTTAGAATCTTTTGGAATCTGGCATGTAAAAATGAAATGCTGCTAAAAAGGCATAAAAATTGTTCAGAGCTATCTAGGAATTTTTTAAATAAATTTTGTGATTCAGAAAAACATTAGCAAAAGTCCGCTACACTACGCAACGCTCCGTTAATGACGGGAAACTTAAAACCGCCTGCCAAACAAAAAATAAACAGTCCACTCCAAAAATGTCGATATTTTTCAAAATTTATAGACTATAAACTACAACCCCAAAAAACTCGCTCCACCAATTTTCTATACTAATTTTCACCCAATAATTTTTTTGCCGCCGTCCGGCCGGTGTGTGTGAAAATTCAACTTTCATCTGGCGGAGTGGACACACACACATATGAATACGTCGACTAAAAACGAGGAAAAATGGGTGGCGGCGGCGCCGTCAGAATGCATTTTGCTTCCGCAAGGGTGCCGCGCAAAAAAACGGAAGTCACTAGGTGAAAGGGGGGAAGTGTAGAAAGGAATCGAACGGAATTGCGGGCCAAAAAAGAGCCAAAAAGTGGGCTTTTGCACGCGTGAAAGTTCAGCCAGGGTAATTGTTCGTCATTTTTGGGAAATGGTGGATCAAGGCAGACGGGCAAAAAAATGTCAAAAATAAGTTACCGTATAATCTTTACCACGTATTAATGAGAGGACTTACAAAGTTTTAAAAATCTCAGGAGCTTCATGCATTAATGAAACCCTTAGAAAAGTTATAAAAATGAAAAACCGCTTTTCTATAAATTTTAATGTTTTTATCGTAAATATAAGGAGTACATTCTTTGAGAATTTTTGGCTTTTGCCCGTAACAATCTTTTCACAGAACTACGACGAATAATCCAAAAATCAGTCTAAAAAAGCCAAAAATATTCTTTTTTTTTCAGGCTCTCGCCGGCGGCTGGGCAGGAGGACCGGCATGTCAACCGGCTGTGGAAATGGCCCTCGCAGACATCAATTCACAACGACATATCTTGCCCGGATATTGGCTCAATATGACGTGGAGGGATTCAAAAGTATGCATCTATTTAATTCATAGCAAAATTCGACTTAACCCAAATTTTTAAGAATTAAAAAATTGTCAAAAACCGGAAATAAACGTAAATCTTCAATTTTTAGTGCCAACCCGGCCTGGCCATCAAGCATATGTACGATCTGCTCTACAATAAACCAGTCAAAGTGATGCTATTATCCGGGTGCAGTACAGTAACCACCGTAGTTGCGGAGACGAGTCCCGTTTGGAATTTGGTTACGGTAGGTTACGGGAGAAATAAAAAGATGCGTCAATGTCAGCTGTCATACGGTGGCAGTTCTCCAGCTCTATCGAATCGGGAACGATTTCCCAAGCTTTTCCGCACCCATCCATCGGCCATTATTCAAAATCCAACCAGGTTTGTGGTTTACAGTTTGTAGCCGGTAGTTTCTCAAAATTTTAAATAGCTATAAAGCCAAAAAATCAATCTTTCCAGAATCCGTCTCTTCGAAAAGTTCAATTGGAAGAAAGTGAGCATACTGTCATCGGTGGAAGAAGTGTTTGTCAGCACGGCAAAAGACCTCGAAAAGGAGTGCAGTCAGAGGGTAACACTTTCCGTATTTAATTGCGTAATCGATTATTTCCAGGGAATCCGAGTCCAACGTCAATCATTTTATGGTGATCCGGCAGATGCGGTGAAGACCTTGAAAAGACAAGACGCTCGAATTATCGTCGGGCTTTTTTATGAAACCGACGCGAGAAGGGTGCTCTGCCAGGTACCGTACTTACAAACAAAATCCAAGAATTTGGTATTTTTGGAAAACCTGTAGCTTGGAATGTGGAGAGTGGCTGTCAGTGAAGCAAAATTTAGCGTCATATGTCCGAATTTCCCAAATAATTTTGTGCTAGCCGCCCGATACCTTAATTGGTATTTCGGACGAATTCGCTGAATTTTTGTTTTCTTTTGCGCAATTTAAATAGATTTTTGCAATACTCTGTACATTGGAGCATCCCAAACGGATACCGAGTAGCTTAAATTCAGCTGCATGGACTTGGTGTCCCAAAGAATCTCTGCTAGCTTGCCTTGGAAATCCAAATTTCAACCGATAACACACCGATTTTTCCCAATTTGTAATTTTTTGACAGGCAAAACAGCAAATATTCTTGCGTATTTGTCTATTTTGATTAGAAAACTCTCAAATTCCGCTAACTCCCAATGAGCCCTGCTAGCTGGCTCTTGTAATCTTAAAACCAATAAGCCGTTTTTAGAATTTCTCATGTCAAATAAGCTATTTTAGGATTTCACATGGCAAGCTAGCAGAGATTCTTACGGAGTTCTTCACTAGTGCACAGCTACACAGTTCTGCTGTTCTTTGGCCTTCCACGTACCCCAATCCCCGTCCACTATCCACTATCACATGTTTTTCGCGTGTTTCGGCCCAAAATGACGCGCAGGTAGCCTCGAGAAAATCCCAAGGGGCCTGCCCAAGTCTAGCGTAGAATTGCCTCCATTTTCCCTGTCTCCTTGTGTGTCAGTTTATCTGTCTGTCTTTCGGTCTTTCTTCTATCTGTCTTTCTGTCTGCCAGCCTACCCTTTCCGCTATCCACCGTATATTTGTGGGGGCAATGCGTGGGGTGGGAGATGCGCTGAGCATTCAATCAACAGCCCATACTTGGTCTGGGGGATAGGGGACACCCTAGGGACCCAAAGGTCCCATAGGGCCACCCAAAAGCCGATAGGCCGTGGGGAAAAGCCCCAAAAATGGGCCGACAAACTGATACATGGGTCCTAGGGGGTCCTGGAGGGAAAAAGGACATGAAGATGGGAGGGGTGATAGAGACGGGGGACACACACGTGTATCTGATCTCAAAAAATGGCTAGAAAAATTGGGATTGGGTTTGGAAAACCTTGAGCTTTGAGGGGGACGTATTAAATATGCAGTTAAAAGTATCCGGATTCTTCTAAAAAATACTTAGCACCTTTTTTAAAGATTGTTTTCGCTCAAAATCGCAAAAATTTTCAGGTTTTTGCTTTCCTAATAGCTTTAAAAGCGAGTTATGCTGATATTCCTATCATAGATAGCTAAACTGCATGACAATAAAATTAACTGGTCATATAATTAATAAAAACCGGCAAAACCGCGAAAAATCTTCGAAAATTCGCACTCGGAATCTACAAGCGACCAAATTTCGGGGGATTTTGGCCTCGAAGCACCTCTGAAAACCACATCAAGCTATTTTTCTGTCGTAATTGGTCAAACTGGCATACAGTCCAATGAATCGTAACTTAAGTTATACAAAACAAAGCCCGGGGTAAAACAAAAACGGAAAAATGTACCCCACACTTGTCACGCAGAAGATCATGGAATTTGCAGATCTTTGCCTTGCAAGTCCCTCTAAAAAGCGTCCGGAGAAATTTTTATGCTGTAATCGCTTAAACTGACATAAAACCCATCGAATGGCACGTCAAATAAAATTAAAGATACCGATTTCGGGCAATACGTTCGATTTCAGGCGCACAAACAAGGCGTGTTCGGCCGCAGGTACACTTGGTTCTTCATCGGGTGGTATTCGGATACGTGGTATATTCCACCGCCGGAAGAACATCTTGGCTGTACGGCTAAGGAGGTCGGTTTTTAGGCCTCATTAAAATAAATTACCTACCCCAAAAAGGGTCTAAAAATCCATTTTTCAGATGAAAGAAGCTGCGCAGTACCACTTTACAACTGAATCCCAAATGTTGGCGTTGGATTCGACGCGAGGAGTATCTGGAATGACGGGCAAAGAATTCAGAAGTCGACTCGTCGATCGATTGGAGAGGAAACCGGGGGATACAGGCGGATTTCCGGAAGCTCCACTGGCTTATGACGCTGTTTGGTGGGTTATGGGGCTATCAGGCTAAAATGACGCGAAAATTTGGGTTTGTAAGGCGCAGTTGGCTTAATTGTATAGCAATCAGTGTTAATGACCAAGAAAATCGATAAAACTCGGTAAAAATCAGGAATTTTCGGCACCACGCTAGCCCACAAAGTCCAAAACTCAATCCATATTTTTGGCCATTTTTTGTATCCAAATTCTGCCAACGTATTTTTTGGCAGTCAGTAAAACATATGCTAATGTTTTAAAATTAGAATATTGATACTTAAAGTGACAAATACCGTTTAGCTATTGCCCCGTGTGAGCATGGGAAACCCAAAACTCCATCAATTGTTTTCGCCATTTTTCACTCCCAGATTTTGACAGTAGATTATTTGCCAGTCAGTTAACCCTATTATAAAATTTTAAAACTGAGATGTTGGCTATTCTAATGTAAAACTAGCTTTTACTAGTGAACCCGGGGGCCTGGCCGATTCCTGTTGACCCTCCCCCACTCCCCCTCTCCACTCGGTCCCGTGGCCTACTGGCAAGGGCGTCTGTCCCCCGCCCACAGGGCCCCGGTTCGACCCCCCGCCGCAGCATCTATGTGTACTGTGTCGTCGCGAAAAGCGGTGCGGAATTGTAAGATGCAAAAGTGAAGGCTCCGATATCCTGGTTGAAGGCTACAAATAGCCCTTGACCCTGGAAATCGGTTGCTACATTTTGAATTTTTGGGATTTGAGCTTTCTACTCTTTTTCAAGCGATGGTGGTAGGAAAAATATCATGGAAAAGCTATATGTGATGAAAGTAGAGTCATATAAAAAGCAAAAAGAGGATTAAATGAATTATGCCAAGGCACATTAAAGTATTTTAATGTTTAAGCTAAAACTATACATTTTCAGGGCTCTCGCGCTAGCCGTAAATTGCACGATCGCCGCCCTCCCTTCCGACGTGAAAATCGAGAATTTCTACTACGACAACCACGCGATGGCGAACCAAATCTTTGAATGCGTCAGGAATACGTCATTTTTGGGAGTATCGGTAGGATGTTCACGATTATGACACGAAATTCCGGGCTGAATTAAGATGCGTAATTACAAGTTGAATCGATTACGACAGGATATTCCGTGGTGTTGGTTTAATCAATTACGAATCGAAAAAAATAGTTTCGGGTTTAATCGATTACGATATGTAATTACGGGCACTAGGTCTAAATTGCTAGTTTAATTGATTGCGACATTAAATGAGATTAAAGATATAGATTATAGATTAAAGTATGAAATTCCGCTTTCCGAGCTTAATCGGTTACGCCACATTTCAGGGACGCGTTATGTTCTCCGACCAGGGAGATCGTATCGTGCAGACCATCATCGAGCAGATGCAGGGTAATTTTACTACAACCTCGATTAAATAGCGGTTGTAATATAGTATCGAAATAAAATTAATATCGTTTATTTTTAGACGGAAACTACACGAAAATGGGCACCTACGACATGAATTCGCGTAATTTGACGTGGCTGGGAAGGGAGAAATGGCTGGGGAAGGGGCCACCCACGGACAGCACCATTGTCAGAAAGGAGATATTGACCGTGTCTATTAAGGTATGTAATCAGGCCCGTAGCGGAACCGAAATTTCGGGGGGGGGCCCAAAAATTTTGGCGACCTCCCCCCCCCGGTCGTCACTTTTAAAACATCCGAAAATCGCGTCAATAATAGCGCCGCAGGCAAAAAAATCGCAAAAAAGCGTTCGCTACACTCAAATTCGTGTGCAAAGACGGCAGAAAACGCGCCGCAGGCGAAAATTTTTATGCACAATTGATTCACCAAGGAAAAACCAGCGCCGCAGGCAAAAAATTTTGAAAAAATAGGTTTCATATAAGTAAAAACTGTTTGAAAAACAGTAATAAACAGCGCCGCAGGCAGAAAAATTTTTGTAACTAAAAATCATAAGGGTCCCCCCTTATGAATTTTTCGGACCTCGACCGATTTCGGGGGGGGGGCCCAGGGCCCCCTGGGCCCCCCCCCCTCCTACGGGCCTGTATGTAATAGATGTAAAAAGTATCACTTGGTAATTTCTAGGTGTACTATGTCGTCTGCGCGCTCTCACTTCTCGGCCTGATCCTGACGGTGGCGCTGTTCATTTTTAATCGAAGATATGGGTATCGGAGGTAACATAAAAATGGCTTGTTGTCGGAAAAATAAAAATGGCATTTTTTGTTTTTGAAAACGTTAAAAATTTATGCTTTTCCAAATTTGCGAAATTGATGTTTGAAATTTTTAAAAAATACTATAATTTTTTTCTAATGACCGTAATTTTCAGCATCATCTCTCAATCACAACCGCAGTGCAATAATGCTCTATTATTGGGCTCTGCCCTGTGCTGTCTGTCTCTGTTTCTTCTCGGCCTTCCAGCTGACGGGATCACGCTGCCCACGTCAATTTTTGGGTCGTTATGCCATGTAAGGAATAAGAAGAGCTTTTAGAGAGCCAGTCCAGCGTCAAAAGCACCCGAAATAAACGAAAAATATCGAACTTTTTATTTAAAAAAACCCAAACAATAATTTTATTCGAGTTTCCAATAGGGCGTAGCGCTTTTGAATGTATTGAAATATCTACGTTAAAGAAGAACGACTTTTCTCAGATCCGCATTTCGATGCTGATGATCGGTTTCACCTTTGCCTATGGCTCGCTATTTGCTAAGGTGTGGATAGTCCACCGTCTCGGCGCGACAGAAAGTCAACAATTGGCGAATCGACATAAGGACGAGGTACGTCTTTAGATGGTTTAATAGAAGAAATGCAGTATCCCATCGATACCTCGAATATTTGAGCCCCGCCCCCATTTCTCACAACTCCTAATTGCAAATAGTAATAATCATAATCCTACTAAAAAATAATATATTCACTCGTGTGCTCGCTTTCGTGATCACTAAAAAATATATAACACTAAAAAATTGGGTGAAAGGATAGGGGATGGGAAATCGAAAAAATAAAAATGACTCAAAATCTTCGCGGGAATTTTTGAAAGTGTGAAAAATTGAATATGCAAAAAAATAGCTTTGATACTAAATCATTGCTTTTTTTAGCATCACTTGGATCAGCAGAGGCGTGCTCTATGGAATAACAGCTCGTAGTCTAGAAAATATGGTCAAAAATCCAAATTGCGTAAATGCAAAAATCATAATTTTACACAAAACCCGGATTTTCTGGGACCATTTTAAAAGAGCATGACGTAACGACTAGAAAAACAGCGCGTAATCGATTTTAAAAAAATCTAAAAAAACCAGATTTTATCAGAAAACCGAATTCCCAAAAATCTATTAGTTTTTCTGGGTCGATTTCCCGTTCCCTATCCCTCACCCTAACTACTGTACCATCCAATTAGACCGTCCAGAAGTAGCCTGGCGTAGTCGTAAAATCCGTAGAAAAGTATCTTCTCGTCAAAACTAACGCCTACTTCTGATCCTTATTTTTTTCTCTTCTCCAGCTTCTCCTAATTTTTTTCTGGTTTTTCTGAATTCTTAGTTTTTGCCGCTACCCTACTCTTCTAGCGTTTTTTTTATTTTTAAGGCCTATTTTCTAAGCTACCGTAAGCTACCGTACTCCTCTAGCGCCTATTATTTTTTAGCTAAAACCCCTGCTCAGCTCATATGCGGCAAAGGTAAGAAAGAGATGGAGCGCGAAGTCCATTTTTGACTTGATGGCCGAGAAATACCTATTGGAAAACGGCCTCTGTTCTGTCCGCCTATCCCTCACAAAACTATGGAATGCAACGCTGCCAAGGAAATGCTCAATACGCTAAAAATTGCCCTATTTCCTGGTGCTGGATTTTTGGGGAACGGCTAGCTATCAGCTTCTCGTTTTCTAAATTTTTACCCGAAAAATTGGAGAATTTGCGTTTTTTTATTTTTAGCAATTATATAGGCAACAAACAATATAGGCTTTTATAGGCTTCTAATTGGCAGGTAACTGTTATGATTATTTCTGCAATATTTTTGCTGAACTACCTAAAATTGAATTTTTCAGTTAATTATTAAAATTCTATTGAAATAAAAGCTTCATTTTTTATGACTTTCGGATTAACAGCCTCTTTAACAAGTAGTTTGTTCTCATTGTTATACTAATTAAACCAGCTAACCGTTCCCCAAAAATTCACCCGCCTAAAAACCTCTATGCGCTGTCCAAATTTGCATGTGAAAGACGCAAAAAAGCACGACGAGGCGAGTGAGAGCCATAGCGAGGGAGAGAGATCGTAGAGCGAGCGAGAGAAAGTACGGGGAAAGAGAGGAAGAGAGAGAGGGAGAGATAGAGAGAGAGCGAGAGTTAGAGAGAGAGCGAGAGAAAGAGAGAGAGAGAGAGCGAGCGAGGTGCGCCAGAGACAGCGCGAGAAATAGAGTGAGAGCGAGCGAAAAGCGCCAGAAACAGCAAGAAAACCTCCCAAAATGCGTCCAAGACCGCTGGATACCCCTTTGTTCAAAAACTCCTTTCCAATGTCGGCTGGCATAAACTGGAACGGCTTCCCGTCTGTCCGTATATATTGCATTATGGCTTCCGGCTATGGACAGATAATAACAAAAATAATCCATCACAGAACCATTAAAAATCACAGTTTCCTGTCCTCGACAACCACCGTTATAATTTTTCTGGGTGAATTTGGAAGGGTACCGTAAGATAGAGAGAGAGAGCTAAACAAGAGCTAAAAACCTACCGTACCCCTCCATATCGTCCTTTTAATCCACCATTTTCCACTCTAATCCTATCCACACCCTCCTGTCCTTTTCCCCCTTTCCACAAATTGTCAGTGCTGGTTTGCCCTCCCCCCGCAGCTCTCAATGTCTCTACAGGATGAAGAGACACCATGGCACTCGATTCGAACGTTGATCACCGGATTGGCAAGTCGCCAAATGGTCGGATCGGCCCTTCGAAAAGTCTCCTCATCTCCATTCGCCACTGCATTCTCCACGAAGAGATCTCCATCTACGGCTTCATCTATTGCCGACTTCTTGAATCAGGTGCCCCCGAAAAGAGAAAAGGGCTTTATTAGGATCTTTTATCTGATCTTTGTCTAGCTGATTTTGAGTAGATATCAATTGAATTTGAAAGGCAATGGCTTGGCACGTGGGCGCTCTCTGGCATGGCGTGGGTGTTGGCCCTGTCCCTTTAAAAACAGAATTCCGACCCGCTGCTGGTTCCGTTTGTGAGATTTCCGGCGATCTGGAGTACAGACTACACACTTCAAAGAGGAAATAATAGATTTTTAATTTACGAATTGTTTGAAAAATCAAAACTGCAAATTTCAAAAAATTAATTTTTTTGGAAAAATACGTTTTTGATTGAAAATTTAGCTGTTGAATATCTTAACTGGCATACAATAAATCTAAAAATGCAGAAAAATACTATATTTCAATCAAATAGAAAATTCACAAGCGGAACCAGTGGCGAGTCGCAATTTCGGGGGCACGGCTACCGTAGTTCGGGCAATTTGCAGGTGCGGGTAGATTACAGTATCTAATTTACCACTGGTCAGAAGAGCACAAAATTTACTTTTTGGATACTGTAGTCCGCTACACTCCGCTTGTCCGCGTCCCCCTCCGATTGTCCGTCCGTGTCCTCCTAATCGTTTTTTGGAATGGGCCGTACTGATCTGCGCTGTTTTCCCAGCTGGCTGTGTGAAAATAAACCCGCTAAAAACTAAAACGTATGATTGAATAAAATCTAAAAATTGGGAAGAACGTCTTGAAATTTCAAAATTTGCGTTTTTGAAAAATTGGGTTTGTCCTGTCGGTATTTCTTCATCTTGCATAATTATCATTTCGCATAACGCTATTTCGCATAAGTGCATTTCGCATAATTTTTATTCCGTATAACGGTGATTTCGCATAACGATGATTTCGCATAACGCTTATTTCGCCTAACGGCGATTTCGCATAACGGTCATTTCGCCGAACCGTGATTTCGCATAACGATCATTTGGAATAATTTTCATTTCACCTAGCGATGATTTCGCATAACGTTTATTTCGCATATTTTTTAGTTAGTGGCAACCAAGAGCAAAACAGGGCGTTTTTGATGATATGAAGTGCAGTCACGGTATAAGACAATCGAAATGCCTAGCTACCATTTACGCGGATTCCGCATCAGTAATCAATGTAATGCTTTTGACCTATTCTTGCGGTCAGATTTGCTAGTTTACACATGGATACTATCTACAACGTAGGATTTTTGGCCAAGCCCCTCAAAACAGACGTACACCTCATGGGTCATGGATTTTGAGCAAGCTTGGGATATCTGCCCGGAAAGGCGCAAAAAACCGCGCCGGTAGATTGTTTTTCATCGATTGCTAATTATTAAGCTAGAGTTATATATACCATCGGCTGCAAATGGCGAAAATTATGCGAAATGGCGGTTAGGCGAAATCAAAATTATGCGAAATGGTCGTTAGCTGAAATGAAAATTATGCGAAATGATTGTTAGGCGAAATGACGGTTAGGCGAAATCACCGTTATGCGAAATAAGCGTTATACGAAATAAGCGTTATACGAAATAAGCGTTATGCGAAATCACCGTTATGCGGAATAAAAATTATGCGAAATGCCATTATGTGAAATGGCGGTATGCGAAATGAAAATTATGCGGAATGGCTGGAAATCGTCCTGTCCCCGTCTCTTTAAAGGAATGGTTTGCAAAATCGGTCGTTTCCCATAGAAAATCGGGTATGCTATTACATTACGATACTAAAATCGGCATTCGAAATTCCCCCGCTTTTTTGCCTCCGGATCCCTTTAAAGCGATTATCACGCCAAAGCTATCCGAGAGTTTTTTTAGATGTAGTGCCAGAGAGCGAGAGATAGAGAGAATGAGAGAGAGACAGCGAGAGCGAGAGATATAGAGTAAACATTATTTAATGACTTTTTCAGCCAATTGCCGCGGCGAAATTCTACTTGGTGATCGCGACATTTTTGTTGGCGGATTTGGTGATAATTTGTCTATGGGTTGTCGTGGATCCATTGAAGAGAAAGGAGCTCAAATATCCGAGACACGTGAGTTTTCACGTAAATTAGTAAATTTTTACATGTTTTGCAAGCTGACAAAGGCCGGTTGGGAAAATCGGAAGCGTTGTTCCTGACCCACAGGTAGAGCGCAAGCTAGCCGAGAAGTTTTAGGAAAAACGTAACTAAATTTCGGGGTATCCGAACCATTCAAACTCGGGCAAGCTAGCAGAGTGCTTTGCGGAAAGTTAAGGCAAATGAAGCAAGCAGAGATTCTTGGAGAATCCAGGCAGCAAATTTTGAGAATCGCTGCAGGGCAAGCTAGCAGAGATTTTTAGGAGTTTCACCCCCCGTTGGAGCCAGTGCAAAATGAAAAAGTCAAAATCATTTTTCAGGAAGACACAAACCAAGAAGACACAATGATCGAGCCAATCCTCGAACTTTGCCAAAGTTCGAATCAAGAGCTATGGATCGGTTTGTACTTTGTAGCCCCTCGAAAATCTCTCGTTTCCAGGCGTTGTCCTCGGCTACAAATGCATCCTCCTCGTCTTTGGCCTATTTTTATCCTACGAATCGAGAAAACTCAAATTACGCTATATAAATGATTCTCGGCTGGTGGGGCTGGCCATTTATAATGTCGCTATATTGGCGTTAGTAACCGGTAAATTTAAATTTTCGCCAAAGTTACTGTACTTTTTAGGCCCTGTCGTCACGTTGCTAATTAGAACGCAGGCCGATGCGAATTTTACTTTCATTTCGGTGACAGGTAAATTTCTTTGAAGATCTGCATAGAAAATTTAAACGCAAAGCATTATTCAAAAACCTTCAAAAAGATAAGAATTCAAATTCGTTTTCAATTAAAAATAAAAAAAACTAAAATTTTAGAGGATTAAAGTGACATTTTGATGGGGTAGTAATGTAATCAAATCCATTTTCAGTCCTCCTATGCGCCTACATCTCAATGGGCCTCATCTTCGTCCCCAAAATTCGCCACATCCATACGGTACCCCCGACGGCTGATGAGAGCCAGCCGGGGCTCAAAAATGGCACACAACGCATGTCGACGAGTGATAAGTCGAGGTATAGAAGCTTGGAAAATATCGAAAAATCTACCAAAAACGGTAAATAACATCGAATCTAAAAAGCATTTTTAAATCTGTAAGATCAAGAAAAATTCTATTTTATGTCGTTTTGAAAATTAAGGCAAGCTAGCAGAGACTATTTGTCAAGTCTTGCCGCATTTTTACATTTTTAGAGCATTTTGAAAATTCAGGGCAAGCTAGCAGCGAGTTGGGCATTTTTTGCAATTTATCGTTTCCAGATACGAGCTGATGACCAAAGAAAACGAGGCCGTTCAGCAGAAAATCTGCTTGGTAGGTGAAAACCAAACTTAAACTCGTTTCAAAAATTCAATCGCAAATTTAACGTTTACAAATGCTTTTTAGACGGAAGAGCGTATTCGACAATGCCGGAGAAGATTGGATCTCCTAACAAATGGCATGGAGGTCGGTTAGAAAAATTAGAAAAATCGACAAACTTTCAAAAATTTGATGTAATCTTATCTTGTTTTAGGGCGTCTCCTCGTCATCGGCAACACGTACAGGGGGTGTTTCTCTTTCTGAAGAGGGACAGACAACATTCTCCTCTCCAACAATAACAACACATGCACTTGTCGAACTACAGCCACCACCCACGATATCTACACAACTATCAGCCTCATCACAACCATTTACGGGTAAGAGAGAGAGTGAGAAAGAGAGATAGAGAGAGAGAAAGAGAGAGAGAGAGAGCGAGAGAGAGAGTGAAAGAGAGAAGGAGCGAGAGAGAGAGAGAGAGAGAGAGAGAGAGAGAGAGATAGAGAAATAAGGAAAAAACGACAAAATTAATTTTCCTCATTTTCAGGTAGCATTGATGCCGATGAGGCCGAGCATTCCGACTCCTCTTCTGATGAGATCTTCCTATGATTATTTTTTGCCTTTTCCTCTGCTGTTCTCTCTTTCTCTCTCTCTCTCTCTCTCTCTCTCTCTCTCTCTCTCTCTCTTCTATTCCTACCAGCTCCATACTCCAATTCACTTATTAGGGGTTGAATTTACCGTCAGTATCTCCCCGGTTTTTGTGTCTTTGTTGCTAAAGGTATCTCGAAGACTTTTCACACTCTCTCTCGTCTTTGTGATATTTTCGAAATTATGTTTAAAGGATTGCACAATCATTTTAATATACTTGCGATTTTTGATGATATGTATAAATTATGATGATGAGAGTACACAACTGCAACGATAAAAATACATATTGATTCGTAAAAACCGCCTGAAACATATTTTGTAATTAATTTTTCTTTAATCTGTGTTCCAACTACTGCTTTATGTTATTTATCGGTAGTTGCTCAGGTTGTTAAAGCCATTCCAGGAATTTCCCCGTCCTCGGGAAGCGGGACAGATTGATCCAAGGCCCCGGATTCCCAGAGCTAAAGAGAAAAAAACGAAAACCGAAAGGGTGTGGCTCGTAAAATGTGAAAACTCTCAAGCGGAAAGGAACGCCCCACAAGAAAAACAGCTGATTTTTCTGCGGGGCCTCTATCCCTCTAAAAAAATGTTATGGATGCGAGGGGCGGCTCTGTAAATACAGGAAAAAACCCGCGGTTTCCGGTGATTTTTGGAGAAAAAGCCAGTTTTTCGGGATGAACAAGATTGCCGGAAGCTTCAAATCTCTCTATAAAAATGGTTATTAAATCATGAAAAAAAGGTATGAAAGGCCTTATTAAATAAAAATTCGACCGTCAAAAAAGCTTCGCAAGGAGTGGTGTGGTAGTGCGAATAGCGGTTGAACCTTTGAATTTGACAACCAGCTAACCACACTGCCTGCCACGCCTGCGAAATATGCATACAATTGGCAATAAAATAACAAAAATAAATGACGTCAAAATGCAAAAATCAATTTACGAACCAAATAGCGGCATTTTAGCTTTATTAGCCTTCTAAAACTTCAAGCTCAAACTTTTGAAAGTCACTTTCAATGCCAAAATTTAAACTGGCAGCCAGAATAAAATATAAAATAACCAATAACGCACGGAACTCGTTGAGAAGCTATTTGAAAGTGAAAATGTCTCGAAAACCCAACCGCGAGGAGGGAGAATCCGTTGCCCAGGAGATTCACAAGGAGGCCGAACACCCCAATTAAGCCGACATGCCAAAAACTGAAGCTGGTAACCCCTGGGAACATCTGAAAATCGAAAACCAGACCTCAAAATGACATGGCTAAAATTCTTATCAATTTTGTGAAACTCGAACAAAACCACCTGTCAGATGAGGATTGGCAGCTGGGGGCGCGGCTAGGCTCATGGCCCTCCCCCTTGTCCCTACCCGCGCCGCCCGGTTAGCTCAGTCGGTAGAGCACCAGACTCTTAATCTGGTTGTCGCGGGTTCGAGCCCCGCATTGGGCTTACTTTTTGCTTTTTGGGATTCGGGTTCAGGAGGGTAAGGGAAGCTGGGGAAAAGCTTGGTTTTTATTTTTGTGGCTTATTTTATCTTCAAAATAGAGCAATACGATCATTTTGGGCCTATTTATAGATTTCTGGTAATTTTAATCGAATAAAATGTGACAATTTTTTGTGAAACAAATTTTCACATCCAGGAAGAACTGCTCAACAAAACATTGCCAGCGGAGCAAAAATTTCTAGCTGTTAAAATTTACGGCGAGGCGTGAAACTGCCAGAAATTCGCTGAATCAGCTGCAAAATCATTGGTTGTTAAAAATGGGCGGTGCGCTGTCATGAATGTTTTGCGAAACAGAATCCACCCTGAATTAGGATTTTGTGCCGGATTCTTTGCGGAATTGGGTCCCTCTCTCGTGATTTTTTAAGAAAATCACCGCCGAAATAATATTCCACAATCCGTATAACTCCGAGGCATCCTAGCGGGTATTCTTTGCGAAATTCATGATTTTCGGAGAGAATGCCTAAACTGCCAGGCAATCTAGTAGTGACCACACAGGAAAACCCAAAAAATTGACTTTTAGTCGTAACCTTGATGATCAGTTCACTCGGATTCAAATTCCAGGCAAGCTAGCAGGGGTTTTTGAGGAATAAGAACACCCAGAATCCGGGAAATTCTAAACTGCCAGGCAGGCTAGCAGTGACCATTCAGAAAACCCCGAAAAAGTGACGATAAGTACGGAAACAAAAACAATACTTACCATGATCCGGCTGATGATGTGGGCGGCGAAATATATGGAACAGGTGGGAATTCAGGGCAGCATTTTTTTTGCGTCGGATGGGGATTATGGGAGGTGTTGGGCGAATGAGGAGAGGGACAGAAAAAAGGACGAGGGGGCGAACACGGGCATGAAGGGGACACATACACTCACAAACAGACAGACATACACACACCACATCCATCGATCCGGGGGCAGAAGGGGAGGGCATCAGAAGCTGCAGAAAAGTGAGACTAAGCTCATGATAATTACTTTTTAGGGATTAAAAGTGAAAAAGGGCGGATTAGCAAAAATAATGGACTTTTAGCGTCTCAGACTCGCCGAAAACGTCGATTTAAAGGGACCGGCAAGTCGAAAAAATGTATTTTTGGGCTATAGTGATCCATCGAATTTTCTGGAGACCGCGACACGCAACGTGCAGCCGAGCCATTTTATTGCGTAATCGCTTAGGCCACATTTATCGGCAGTCATTAGGCTGGTGCGTTGCGTATTGCGGTCGCGGCAAAATCTATGGGATATTCTTATCCTACAACAGTCCTTTAAAGGGATGGGACAGGCCCGAAAGCCAACTGTTTTTAGTGTTTTTAGAAAGGGATTGATCGATTGTTTTCAATCCCTAATTCCGAAGCCACAACAAACTCCTCATGAAAGATGACCCAAAAAACGGAGCAGTTTTCCGGATGGAAATCGGATGGAGAGAGGGGAAAACAAGAGGCAACAAACACCCACACATCAAGAGAGAGAGAGAGAGAGAGAGAGAGAGAGAGAGAGAGCGAGCGAGAGTGAGAGAGATACAAGTTGTTGTGTCGGAAGGCTGTGAATTGGAAAGTCAAGGAAGCCCTTGACTGTCTGGTAGTCCGGAAAGTACGTGTCTGATTACTTGTTTCAGGCTTGGGTCATTCCGTATAGCGAGGAAAAAAACGTGTAAGTTCGTGTACTTTTCGCACGTTCTGGCGCCCAAGATACCGGAAAATATACCTTTAGCTGCCTTAAAACATGACCGAATGAAAACTCCGACTTGTTTTTGCAGCTTCCCGCTCAAAATTGCGGCAAATCTGATCAAGCGCTACACTGGAATCCGCTTGTTTTTACAAAAATCAGACTAAAAACCAAGGCCGCTATACCGTACTTTTTACGTTTTTATATCTGGTCGCAATATTGCTCTGCAAAGCGGCTTAGAAACCCATTAGGCCCATATAGGAAAAATGGCTTCCGGCGGATTTTTGGGCCAGAAAATAAGTAAGCGGATCTTGCGGCTTTATTGCCTTGTAAAAACTCTAAAAAGGGTCTAGAAAAAGTACCTTAACCCTAAAAGTCAACTGGAGAATGAAAAAACTGAAAATTGGCAAAACACTGCTGTAGGGCTGGAGCGGAAATTCGAACGCCACGACGAACGACGTCACAGAAGAGGGCGTCATAAAGGAGAAAGAGCAGAAAAGAAGAAAGAGACAAACTGACAGACGTAAAGACCGACAGCAGAGCGCTGAATCATCCTCCGCCACGGTTCATGGCCGTCAGCCCCCAGTTTTTCGCCCCCTTCAAACGAAAAACGGCGCCCCGACCCAGGGGTGTTGACCCGAAATTCTTTAGAGACATTTTGGAGTGGGCGGGCATCTGAAAAATTGCGGGCCGCTATTTTTTACAGCTTTTAGGTATGAAGGGATTTTTGCAAAGCTGAAAACATACAGGTGCTAAAAAGCTGGAATTAAGTGGCTGCCTGGCTTTGCAGAGAAAAAAAACCTTACAATGAAAAACCAAGCTTTTTCTTGGCTTCCCTAGCCACCCCCCGCACTCAACCCCCAAAAAGCAAAAAGTAAGCCCAATGCGGGGCTCGAACCCGCGACAACCAGATTAAGAGTCTGGTGCTCTACCGACTGAGCTAACCGGGCGGCGATGGGAGGGTGAGGGATGGGGGCTATGACGGCTGGGGGGCCCTGTGGGGTGGCAAGGGATGGCAGATTGGCAGGTCGGGTGATGGCAATACCGTTTTTGAAAATTTTATCTCGTGCATGTAATATAATTAATTACGTTATAACAAATCATTATAAAAATTGTTGTCAGTAAAATTAATCAAAAGAAAACGAGCGTCATTAATTTTATAGATTTGCTAACCAATCCCACTGAATTCCTTATTTTCCGCTAAAAATCCTGATTTTTCAGAACTTAAAAGTTTCAAAGCTTTTTCGAAACCTGTGATGTAGGTCTCCGCATCATTTCAACCCCAATTCTTGCTCCCCAGCCCCGTTTTTGGGGCATAAATATGTTTACGCGCCTCGCCTAGGGGACGCATAGTGAAAAAGTGGAAGAAGGCGGCAGGGGGTATTGACGTGGAGAATTAAGGGGCTAGAGAGAAGGTGAAAGAGAGAGAGACGGCAAGAGAGACGAACACACGTGGGTTAAGCACCAAGAATCTACGTCATTCACACATATATCTAGAAGAGAGATAGATATAGCAGATGACGTCCGGGAAGGGGGGATTAGCCGGAGTTCAAATCCGGACTCATTTCCGGTTGTCGTCATTTAGCCCGAGAAGGGAAGGAATGGCTGCTACGGTGGAAAAGATGGCGCAGTACCTTATAGCGAAAAGATAGCGCTATCACCAGGAAATGCTCTTGCGAAACAGAATGTTGTGAAAATGCCTAGATTTTGCAAGAAAAGGGCTAAAAAACCCTAATTCTGAGTTTGGATCTTTTAAACTTCAGAATGGTCCTAGCTGGCTAGTAGGAAATATATTGGCGTAAAAAAATTATAATTTATCGTATTTCGAAGGATTTCGAAGGATTCGAAGGAAGGACCGTCCTACTTCCAAATGCCAAGTTTCTGCTTGTTCTCGAAAATAATCTTTTTGGTGTGCAATGATTCTAAAGCTTTGGAAACGCTAAATTGTCTGCCAGTTAAAATACCTATAAGCAGCAAACTTAAAAAGTGCGAATCCCCAGCGCGTGGGGTACGGTAGGGCGGGCCCCACGCGGCCTAAAAGTCACCCCGAATCAATAGGGTCACAAGGGCGGCCGGCCCGCCAAAGGGGTTCCATTTCGTCACGAGGTAGGTAACTCGGGATTTATGCTTACAAAAAAAATTTTAGATGTAAAAAATAAGGTTGTACTACAGAAAACCCAGAAAATACGACGACTACACGATACAACACTTTACGGATCTGAAAATTGCAATTTTATGTTAAAATAAGGCAATTTTCTACAAGATCTCTAACCGGCAGCCAGGAAAAAAGGAAAACCGTTTCGAACAATTACGGTATAGGATTGAATCGGAATTTTCAAGATAAACACCAAAGTCCAGGTCACAAAATCGAAATATCACGTCACAGCCACAGAATTCCCTTACCATACTCCTTGTTGACAGTCAGAAAACACAAAAGCCTGGTGAAAACTCGTAGAGTACAGTAGTGAAACGAAATCTATGATATAAGCGCTAAAACTGACAATTTCTCGGCCAAAAGATCGAATCCTCACGTCACAAGCGTGCATGATCCTTACCGAATTCCCAGCAGACGGCAGAATGGCGTAGCTGCTCAACAGAAAGTAGATAGTAGCCAAATGGAACGCTTAGAAATCTGAAGGAAGCTTCTAGAAGCCGTGGTGCTCGTGTGTCCCGTGTCTCGTCTGGGGTCTGACTGGGGGGATGTTGTGGGTGGTTTGTGTGGGCCTTGTGGGGGCATGTGACCATCTCCAGGCCCACGGAGATGAACACGGCGATGCGGGGAGGGGGGAGGCGTTTAGAGAGGGCGAGAGAGCAGGCAGAAGAGGCAGCGCGCGAGAGAAAGAGAGCGGAACGCCCAGCTGATGACCGGCTCGTATTTTTTCGCTTGGCCGTCTCTCTCTCCCTCTCTCTCTCTCTCTCTCTCTCTCTCTCTCTCTCTCTCTGCCCATCTGCGGGCCATTTTATCCCTCGCCTTTCCCCTTTCGACACCTCGAGAATCCCCCTATTTTTTGGATTTTTTTCCCGTCAAAAGTCTCTCTTTTCGGACACTCTCTCGCCCAGCGTTCCATTCTACAAGTTCTACGCGTTATTTCGAGTATTATTTCGTGTCTCTTTCTTCAGCCCGGCCCGCAGAACCCTTGTGAATAGTAGCGTCCCGTACTCTCTGGAGTCACCGCGCTTCCTAGCTGTTTTCAGGCGTTCCCAAGGACCTCACCACCGTTCTCTCTCTATTTTCTAGCCATCTGACTGCCATTCCATCGTTTTGCTCACTTTTTTCTCAAAAACCTCTCGATTCCAAGGATTATGCCCGTCGTTTTCTAGCCGTCTCGCGGCGTTCTCGAGGCGTATGTTCGTCTACCTCCCTCCCCGTTCGTCGGATTGCTGCGTAGCCCGGATACGCCCTTCGCCGCCTCGGCCCTCCGAATCAGCTGATGGCCGAGGGGGGAGGGGAGAGGGCTGTCAGCTGGGGGGCCTCGGCACAAAAACAAATGAAACCGGCAGGGCGGTGGATCGATGCGGGACACCACCAACAAGATAGATGGACGGGAATTGGGAATCCAGGTAAAGTGGATGACAGACCGACAGATAGACAGACAAACTGGCCGACAGTGAGAAAAACAGACAAAAAGAACCCGATTCCCGGGGCCGGTGGGTCATTTCTGGGCCAAATTTGTTGTTTCATTTCACGATCCGCCTGGTCAGTCACGCGACCAAGGTTTTCTGGGTCAAGGTTTAGCTGGCAAGCGCTTCGAAATTATGAGGCATTTTCAAAGGAAAATATCGTAAAATTAAAATGATTTGGTGGGTATCCAGAGAAAAACTCGACTTAATCCCTTACATGGCCCTGAAAATCAAATTTGAAAACGAACGGTCTATATTTTATAATTGCTTTTCACTTATTCTAAACACCCTCAAAAATGCTATATTAATACGGTACCTTTTGTATTTTTTTTACCTGTAAGAACGCCTTGTCAAATGGTCCTGCCATCGAGAAAAGACCTGCCAATATGCGATCCTCTGCCGTGCCCGGGACTCTTGCCCCACCCCTCATAGCCCCCATCCCCCTTCCATCCCTTGCCGCCCGGTTAGCTCAGTCGGTAGAGCACCAGACTCTTAATCTGGTTGTCGCGGGTTCGAGCCCCGCATTGGGCTTACTTTTTGCTTTTTGGGCGTTGAGTGTGGGAATGGCTCAGGAAACTGGGGTAAAGCTTTGTTTTTAATTTTTTTAACTAATTTTGTCTGAAGCCACGGTGATTACTGATTGCTTATACTTGGTTAGAGAGCGCTCCTTTTAGCAGCGGAAAATGTATGGCTTTGAAACAGTTATTTGAATTTAGGTAAAACTTATATAGCATTAAATCCTCGAAAAGGTACGTCAAATTTTATGTATAGCTTTTTTTAAAAACAACACTTGAGAAATTGTCATGTCATGACTAAAGTCAGCAAGAGGCTTTTAATTGGCAATTGAAATCCCGACGAAATGGTGAAATTTTGTACATGTTCCCTTCAAATATTTACAAGTCTACATCCTGAAAATAACATCAAATCGAAAATATGTGAATGTCATGCATGTAGACGAGCAACTGCTGTGCAAACACGCCACCATTTTTTGCGATTACGTGGGGCGGGTCCGGACGCGGCGCGGGGGTCCAGTGGTTTATGAGCCCCTCCCCTCACCCCTCCCTCGTCCCAACCATAGCTCAGTTGGTAGAGCGGAGGACTGTAGAGTTGGCAGCGATCCTTAGGTCACTGGTTCAAATCCGGTTGGTTGGAATTCTTTTGCTTTTTGACTTTAGAGTAGGGGAATGTTTTTTGCAAATATTGGAAAGGTTTTAAAATTCATTTTTAAGGCTTAAAAGCTTAGAAAAGTTGCCTTTTAAGCGGATTTTCAAAATTTCCAACATAAAAACGTAGAATTAACGGGTGAAATGCTTAGATTTTTGCAAGTCAATCACGGTTATGCTTTTTCGTTCTTAGAATTTTAACGAAGCTATTTCTAAGCCTTATAAGTTTCAAAATGGGTGTTTTGAACTAGCCTTAGTATTTGCTAGGCAAAAACGGCGAATTAACGGAATGAAATGTTTATTATTGCACCGGTGTTAAGTGGAGTATCGCGTGATGGATTATTTTTTTGATGATGGAATATAACAAGGTGAGATCAACGAGGTGATTTCGGTGGTATTTTCATCGAGTTATTGCCGTTGTCCCCTCCAGAATTGGGCCAAATTGAAGACGGGCTTCTTGAGGACGCTGTCCAGGTGGCTGCGCGTGCGCTTCATCTCGCCGAACAGGGGCTCCGCGTTGACCTCCGCAAGTGATTCTGAAAAAATGAGGATTTATCGCTTTTTGTCGATTTTCAAAAACTTAAATTTTTTTGGATTATGCGCTATAGCGTTTCATTGGTTCATTATTTCCGCATCATTCATTTTGCAAAATCGACAAAAAGTATTGAAAAAAACTCGAAGCATTTCTACAAAACGTCGCGATTTTTCGTTTTTGGAAATAAATAAATTTTGTGACTTTTAAATTGTTTTTCATTTTTATGTTGCCTGTTTTCGTGTGTTTTTAGGGTTGTACCTTAATTTTGCATAGCTTACCAACGAAAAGCGGCTCCTCGGCGTATGGCATGGCCTCGACGGAGCAGATGACGAAAAGGCAGACGAGTAGGAGAAGAGCCCAAATATCACAGCGGGAAGGGGAGGAGAATGAAGAACACATTCCACCCAGGCTGCTGAAAAACATGGCAGTTTATCGAAAAAACAGCAGAAGTTTTGAAAAATATTGCGAAGGAAAAATGTGTTTTTGGAGCGTCGCGTAGTTGTCGAGATCTAGGCATCAAGGGGGGTCGATTTTTCAGGCTATGATGGATACCGCATGAGAATCGGTCCTTTTAAAGCAAAAATTCGGACGAGAATTGGCCGATTGAAGGCAATGAAATAAGAAGAGCTACTACATCGAGAAATAGCAACAATTGTAATTCGCCCCTGACGCCATAGCATTCCTATTTCCACCACACAATGCCACCCCCATCCATCGACAAAGCCTATTTCGGCACAACCCGCTACGAATTTTTGGCTTTCTATTCTCTGATTTTATATGATTTATTCTAATAAAACACATCGTAATTTATTTATTTAAATCAATGACACCTGGTTTTAGTTTAAGAATACATCAAAAAGTAGTTCTATTTTCACGGTAAGCCTTCTAGAAATAGCGATTTTCGAAATTGTACTGTCTTGCAATAGAAGAATTTTAAGCCCGGCTGCCGTAAATCCCGAATTCATTCCTCAAATAATAAAACCTAGAAATAATTCCGACCCAGATAGCAATATGATGCGAAGCCAAGAAAAATTTATCTCCCAAGAGAAACCAACCTAAAAACAATAATAAGGAATACCGTAAGAATTACTAACAATAAGTATACAATTTAGCACTATGGAACGAAGGCGTTATGGATAACAATTCTCGCAATATTTGAATGCAGAAATTTTCATTACCAATTTTTAATGAATAGAAGGCGGTTTCCCTTTGGACTCAGAACGACGGGCTTCCTTCAAAAGCCTAAAACCTGCGCTTCGATGCGAAAAATCAAAAATTTGGGACCCCGGCAGGGAGGACACCTGAATTCTGGACTTTCGATTGCTTCTGCGAATCCTCGAACTCCGAACTTTCAATCCCCTGATTTATTTTAGAGTATTTGCGTGGGTGTGGACGGGAGTCAAGAAGAAAAAGCAGAAGAGAAGAGGAGCTGAAGAGAGTGATTTCGATTCTCATTCCACACCCCTGAAGAGCCGCTTCTCAACTTTTTGAGGTGAGGTGGATCCGGTAAAGGATGGGAGGGTAGGGAAGAGAAAAGCAGAGAATAGGCAGATAATTGAATGGAGCAGATTTCGAGTAAAACCATCATTTGCTTAAGCTCCAAACTCTGATTTCAAGGGACAGACAAGTGACTGTGGATTTCTCATGGGTTTTGCCGCACTCGCGGCTACGCAACGTGCTACGCAGCACGCGACGCGGCACGTAAAACAACGCAACACGCAACGCGGCATTTAACACGACGCAACACGCGCCGCAACACTCAACGCAACATGCAACGCGCATAAGAACAGCAACCTGCACGCAACGCAGACGCGACCGGCGGCCCAACGCGGCAAGCAACGCTTTTCCGTCGGAGAAGTCGTGCTCCACTAGGCAACCGAAAGAGTACGCGCGTTGCGGTTGGGTGGTGCGTTATGTGCCGCGGAGCGAAAAAACGATTCAGAAAAATCCCGCGTTTTCATGTTGGAAAGAGAATTCCGACCGTCAGAGATCCCTTTAAATAGCGATGCCGATGCCCCATCCGAAGTGACTTCCAAAGTGACGCTATTCTATCTGTCTGCTTTTCGATTTAATTGGTTGGAGCGGGTTGACATGTCTTCTGCTTCCGACGACTTGTCTGTCCCTTTAGAGGTCCTCTTCCTCCCCCGCAAATCCAATATCACTTTTTCATTTCCATTTCAGAGGCCCAAAAAGACAGGCTGGAAGTGGGAATTGGAGAAAAAGTATGAAGACGTGAGATCCCAGGGATCCTCGATAAGCAGGAGCTTCTTCGAAAATCTCTGCTAGTTGACCTTCCAGCTCGAAGTTGTCTTTGTCCTAAAGCAGCCTCCTAGCTTGCCCCAGCGTTTTCAAAAATTAAGTTGCATATTTCGCCGCAAAGGATCTCTTCTAGCTTGCCCATTATTTTTTTAGTAGGGCGGCCAAAATTGAAAGCGTTTCTTCAAATGATCGCTGCTAGCCTGCCTGCCAGTTTGAAAAGTCGAGTCGCCCAAAGATTGCCTGTTATCACTCCGAGCTTTCGAAGATTATGACCGATTTTTTCGGAGGGTGCCTCCTACCCACATTTCAACCCTCATCTCTGCTGCTGTCACATTCCATCCGGACCGAAAATCAACCACGTGGGGGAGGGTTTTTTCAAAAGTTTCGAAGTTTCCAATGGGTGGTTTGGAATTTGCACAGCCGCAGTAGCATACAGAGAATGAGGACGAGTCTGGGTCGTTGCACCGGATTTTACAGATTCCCTCAACATTGTCAAAACGTAGTAGGGCTAACGGCTAACGCTCACGTAGGACGCGCAACCAGTATGTCTGTGACACGACGATATGCAACCCGCACGTTCGCGACACGTGACGCATTGCACACAATACGCGAGACGCAGACTCGGACTTTCATTGCATACACGATTACCGCATTTTCAGGAAAGGCTGAAAAGGCGCGCATTGCGGCGCTGCAAATTTTAGCGGAATCCAGGGCCAAGAAAACCCATACAACAGTCTAGCCTTGCCAGTCCCTTTAACCCCAAAGTGCATATTTACCTTGACCTTTGTGTAGCAGGACCAGGCAATGGAGGGGTTGGTGTTTTGGTCGCCTGTGAAAAACTCGACTAGGCTCTATTTTTGCTCAAAGACCCTCTAGTTCCGTTGATCTCTGTCCTCCCAGATTCTCTATTTGTTTTTTCCTCGTATTCGATCAGAGTTCTCCCTTCTCCTCCACGTGTCAACTCGTCGCTTCCCCTCCCCTGTTCGTTTTCCCATGCAAATCAGTCATTCAAACGCTCGAAAGCTGGACCAAGAATCTGGAGAGGGTGAGAGAGACGGAGCTTGACAGAGTGAGACAGAGACAGAAAGGCTTTGGGTGTAAACAATTAGTTCCTCGGGTTTTCACCTGCGGAAATTAGCAAGCCCAGAGGTGGTCTATCTCTCTCTCCCCCTTTGTTTCTGTCTAATCTGCCCCTAACCACTGTCCGCTTCCTGGCTAATTGCCCTCCCTCGATCGACAAATTTCGATATCAACTCGGTGTAAATCTGGCGGCTATACGATTTATGGGATTCTGCAAGCATCTAAGCTTTTGCCGTACCATTAATCTACTTTGGTTTTCAAATATTGAAATGAATTAGGGGGGAGGGGGGTGGGGATAAACGCAAGGGAAAATTTACAATTAAAAATTTCGAAGTAACGTAAAAATGATTCTTGAATTTTTCATATTCAACAAGCTACTAAATTAGCGTCAAAATAAAAAAGACCTTACGGTAAAACTGAAGTTCAAATTTCGTGATTTTACCACGAAATTTGATGAACTTGCGGGCCCCCCCTATTGTCGTACAGGTTGTCGCCTGTAGTCTGCCATCCCTGCAAATTCCCAAACATCATTTTCGCGTGCAATCAGCAGTCTATAAAGCGGGAGACCCACGTGCCGTTCACTGGCGTTTCGCGGAAATTTTTCCGGTGATAACGCGCCGTGATTTTTAGCTTTGGCCGGGCAAGTCGCTATCTTTTTGGGTCGACCCGATCTCCGGGTCGCATTTTTTGGGATGAGTTTGGAAGAGAGAGAGTGAGAGAGAGAGAGTGCAGGCTTTTCCGGGCTGTGGTGGATCCCTGCTAAAATGATCTTAAAGTGCTCTCTCTCTCTCTCCCTCTCTCTCTCTCTCTCTCGCTCTCTCACTGCCTGCCATTTATCGACCCATCCGATCACCCGTTCCCTTCCCCCTCCTCTCATCCTCCCCCAACAAACAAATTGCGTTTTTTGCATCTTCCTTTTGATATTTGCGTTTCTTGGAATGTCCGGATTCATTGGAGAGGTTGACGCATGACTTGGCTGCCAGTCAGTTTGGCAATTGAAGAACTTTGTACTATCGCATTTTAGCTAATTTTCAAGGCGTTCCACTTTGAATTTGGCTCGTGTTTGATAGTTTTGTACAGGTACAGTTTTTGGTGTTTTTCATAGCTTGGAAAGCGTAAACTTAGGTTTCGACGTCTTTTTTTATGAACGCATTCTAGTTATTTTTGAGTTTTTCAAGTTTCTCACGTCGGCCGGGCTCAATTTTGTCTTGTTGAACCCCGCATTCGAGTCAAAAAGAGGTCAAGTGGCGTCAAAATTGTTGCTAAAAATTGTGGACACAAAATGACAGAATTGAGCGCTATTAAACTCCAAAATAAAGGGATTTTGAGTTTAAATAACCGCAAAACGTTACTAACTGGCTTGTCGCGTTTTCATGACATTAACGTCTAACTTCTCATATGAAGAGCAATATAAAAATCATTAGAGAAACGTATCTTTCGGCTGAAATTTTTTGATTTCATTTTGACCGCGCCCGGTCCTATCAACACGGCTTTTCCAATTTCGCCGAAACAGATAGCGGGGAAAGCAGTTCATGAAAGGTGGTGTGACCTTGAGTGGCAATCAGTATGGATCTCTCTCTCTCACTCTCTCTCTGTCTCTCTCTCTCTCTCCACATGCCCTCCACATGTTCCTCCATTCCGCCGGACTCCTATCCACACGTGGCCCTCCTTATCTCTTTTGCTCCTCGTCTTTTCTGAGAGGTCTCTTGCCAAATGGTCTTTGCCAGCAAAAACACACACCACCGGGTCAAACAATTTTCACTGCATCGATCTGGGCCTTTTCCCATGTTTTTTTGGGGTTTTTGCACTTTTTAAATTGGTTTTGCTGATAGTGTCTTCATTTTTAGATTTGGGACTCTTCAAGGTTGGATTTTTTGGCTTACATTTCAATTTTCTCCTTGTTTTAAGGCCGTCAAAAATGACCGCCCCCGTAATCGATTACGCCATGAAATTCTATAGATTTCTGGGAATCAGAAATTTGCTTTTTGAGACTTAGTTTTTCGTTTTTTAGAAGATTTTTAATCGCAAGCCTCTAATCTTTCATTCACACCTGCAAAATCACGAAATTCTTTTGCAGGCTGGCACGTTTCCCAGCGCTTTTAGAGTATCTTAATTGATTCCCACGAGGACCAAAAAATCCATAAAAAGTCCGCAGGGAAATTGGGCGATTTCCTTCGCCCACTAGCTCTGTTCCTCTGCGTCTCTCTCTCTCTCTCTCTCTATCGTTTATGTAATACGGTAATTATTGTTGATTCTCTGCTCTTTCTCTCTATCGTCTCCCTAATTCGCACACCCCCGAGTCGCGCGACCAAATTATCACGTGAGAATTTTTTGCGTGGAGTGGAAACTGATAATAGGCGAGGGGGGGGGGATGGGGAGAAGCCATGAACTTTTTGCAAGAAAAAATTGGCTGGCACGTGGTGGCAGGGTGGGATTGTTTTCGCAAATTTTTCGACTGGCGATGCGGATCATTTCAGGAATTTCTTATACAAATGTTCTTAGCATTACTTTCCATAATATCGACTTTTATGCCCTTTATTCATGCCTTTTTGGTGATTTTTATTCGATTACAACATGTAATTTTTATAGTCCCCTATCACGAACGAATTGATTGTATTATCCGTGTAAGATGAATTCATTATTACGGATTTTGGAAGCTCGACGGATTGCTAAAAAGCTGCATTATTTAAATTATATAATTTATATTAAATCGATTAACAGATTTGGCTGATTTTTCCTCACCCTTATCCGGTTACGACATATAATTAATGTCCTATGGGCATCCGAATTTTTTTATTTTTACGTCAATTTTGAAGCTGGACTGATTCCTGAAACTTTAAAGTCTAACTCTTAAAGGTATGAGGACGGCATAATGCGGTCGGGGTGGGCGCGAAAAGAGGCAGAGCACAGACACGCAGTGTGGCATTGTGAGCGGCAAGCCGAGTTCCCTTGGGACGGCGCGCCCCGCCCCCTCTGCGTCTCTACCCCTGTCGTAATTGGACGTTAGCCAAGAAATCAAACCCCCCCTCCCAGGGGGGGGGGGTTTGATTTATGCCGTCCTCATACCTTTAAAGGTGATCCCACGCCAAAAGTCCAGAAAAATGGTTCCCTAGTTTTCTCTCGTTACACTTTTCCTAAAAGTTCTGCCCCAACATTTTCGCACAGGTTTTCTACGGGATTCTGACCTCCACTCTTCCGTTGAGCGTTCGTTTGCACTGACTGACTGCGCGTCTGCATCTCTCTCTCTCTCTCTCTATCTCTGTCTCTCTCGCTCTTTCTCTCTTTCTCTCTCTCGTCCTGAGGTGTCCATCGGAACGGTTTCTCTTCTGAATAGACAGTTGTGAGTGAAGAACTGACCAAAGACCCAGAAGTTTTCATCGGGAAAGGTTTCAAAAGGGCTGAAGGACTACTGTAGAGAAGGGAGGAGCGGCCAGCAGCGGAGGTCAACAAAAAGTCTCGAGGTCTCCTCTCCTCTGCAAGACCGTCACAAAACAGCCCACATTTCGGGACACTTTTCGCCGTTTTTTTGGCCGTGCTGGCGTTCTCGGCCCTCAACACCCCGGTCGGAAAGGGCCAACAACTGGGAGGGGAAGAGCGAGACTGCTGCGCGGAGACTCCAAAAAGCACCGGAACACCGCTGCAAAAAGGGACGACTACAGGATTCTCGAATGAACTGCTGATAGCAGGGTACGAACGCACGGATACGCAAGCCTACACAACGTTACACAGGCCGACCAGCGCTACGTAAGCGTACGCAATGGTACGCAAGGCTGAACAAGGGAGACATTATGTGAGACAACGCAACCTATGCAGCGCTACGCGAGACCGCGCAGCACTACGCAAGTCTACGCAACGTCGGAAAAAAGCTACGAACGCAACGCAATTTGGTTAGACGTGGTGCGTGCGCGTTGCGTATAGCAGGCGCAGCATAAATTAAGTCGGACCACGGCTAAAGCTCTATTAGCTTTCTGATTGATTTCCGATCCATCATTCTCCATAAAATCCCCGCTAATCCCGCATCATTTTGGACTGATCTCCCTCTTTTTTTTCAGCCGCGCGGCCAGGTACGATCTTTCCTTCCCCCTCGAGGCTTCATGAAGCAAAGAAACGGTGAAAACGAGCGGACGGCCCGCAGGCCCTTCCCCCTCCCCATCTAGCAAAACGGGGCGGGACTGTTTGCATTCCGGGTGGACACGCCCTAGAATTCCTAACACGAAAAGACGAGTGGCTCCCATGACCTTTTCCAATTCCCACGCACTTTCCGCACCTTGGCCTACTTGTGACTTTTAAAGGTTTGCGAAGTGCTATTTCTACAATACCTACCGTATCCCACGGTATTTCTCATAGATCTCTGCACAGATCTTTGATCTGCTAAGCAATTCATATTTTCTACGATTTTTGCCCAATTCTACCGTATTCCAGTCCATTTCTGACTAGACGCGACGTTACTAAAGCCGACTAACTCAATCCAGCAAATCTCGTATTTCCCGCTCTAAAAATTGGTACTACTACAGTACGCCAGTCAGATTGCAAATTCCCAAGGGCTTGATCCCAGACAATTCCAACAAAAATTGACTAACCAGCTTACCTGGGCTACACTGTGCTCAAAAAGACGGAGAATTCAATCCACCAAATTTCCTCACGCACCTATCGACGAAACAATCCACCGATCTTGCCTATTTCATGGTCCAATTCGTGATATTTCTACAGTACACCGGCCAGCTAGAATATTCAAGGCAGAAAATCCGAGAATTTATAAGTTACCGTAACCCAATTCGATGAATATTTTATTGGATCAACTGCTGGCCCGTCCACCGCCAATAGAGCAACGGAGTATTTTTGCCGATGCCCTGTCGCCAGGTTTAATTTTCATTGCATTAATTTATGTAGTTTCAATTGTTATTTAAATCATTTAAAAATTTAACAATGGAATAGTTCATTTAAATGTTGATAATTTCAAATTTTTTAATTAAAGATAAGGTCTTGGTTGTAGATTGATTAAAAAACAACATAAGACCTCAGCCAACTTCTCAAGATCACAAAAGACACAATTGTTAATTTTTCACCTGCTGGATCCATTCACGAAAGATTGTGCCTGCAAATTTGCCAATTTACTGATTTTCTCACCTCAGTTTCCCCGATGTCTGAATGCTCTTTTTTGAAGTATTCCCATCTCGCCCTAATCATTTCCCCCTTCCACTCCACGTGCCATTTCCCAGACCCTAAAAAAACCAAGAAACGTTCTATTTCTCACTCCCTCTCACTTTCCGCCCCCCTCTCTCTCTCTCTCTCTCTCTCTCTGTCTTTCTTTCTCTCACCGGTAAATTTTCGTCGTAATCAAAGCGGCCTGGCCACCACGGAGCAGCCCGCCAGAGCCAAGAGCCGACAAAAAAAATCGGCATTTGGGGGTCCGGCCACGCGGCTTTCCGCAACTTTTGCGAGAAGATTGCCTGGGCCCAGTTTTGCACACCTCGCTTTTTGGCGGCAAACGTCACGCTTCTAGATGGGTTTTCGTTTTTATTTAGCCTTTTCTTGACGAAAATGCAAAAAAATGGCTAATCCCCGGTCAGAATTAAGAAATAGACCTTATTCAAAACTTTTCATTCGTTCAAGGGTATTTTCGGCGTGGTTGACAGTCAGTTTACAATAATATTGCCAAAATAGGGTCGTACATATCCATGGCCACAACTTGGCCAACTTACTCTCAACTCCATAGTCAACTAGTTTTCATAAAGAAAAATTTTATAAAATTATTTAAATAGTTTTTCGGGGTCTTGAAAAATTCGTTTTCCGCGTAGTTGACCTACAGTTTATTAAATTTTGCCACAATTCAGCTCGTGAACAAATACCAGCTTTCATATTTGTATTTTTCCGTACCTTTCCGTTTTATTTACGAGAAAAGCGATGTGATACAATCGTTAGCGACCGCCCTGACAGAATTGGCTCAATTGAGCTTCGTTGAGTTTTGTTGACTATCTTATAACCAGTTCTGGCTAAACTTGTAAAATAAAAATTCTTTATGCCCTTAAAAACCCGATTTTTCAGGGATGCTCTCGGTGTTTGACAACGATGGACAAGGGCCGAGTCGATCGCCTGAAGAAGAGACCGAGGTGAAGCCCTCCCCGGGAATTCTCTGCGAAGTTTGCGGTGATTTCGCTACGGGTCGGCATTATGGTGCGATTGCCTGTAATGGATGCAAAGGTGAGCAATTCATCAAAGTCAAAAAATTAAATAAAAATAAGATAAATTTTAAAATAACTACAGTATCCATTTCGCCATTGCTGATTTTTGGGCCAGGAAGTTTAGACTTGACGCTTCTGATTACCGTACGCTCGAAAATGATCGTTTTGTGGAGAAAAGACCATTTTGCGATTTTCAGATTTTTATTAAAATAAAAAACTAGGCTGCTAAATTGGGCCCCTACCGTAACCCGAATCCTCATTTAGAGCGTCGAACACGTTGCACCACTTACCGTACTCTTAAAAATTGCACGTGTCCCTATTTTTCCGGCGCGAAACGCTCCGCTTCGAACGGTTTATTTGTCTAAAACCCGCAACGCCCCGTACTTTCCTACAGTCTAGCCCTTTCTTTCCTTCCCCCAATTTTTTGATCTTTTGAAAGTGTTGGGGGCCGGCTAGCAGGGTTTATTTGCCCCCTCCCTCCCATCCACCGTCCGTACCTCGTGGTCCCGCAGCGAGTCCATTTTTTCGCGGGTTTTTTTTTCGTCCTAGACCTTCGAATTTGTTGTAAGGGGGTGGGTGGGGGAACGCGGCGTTCCCTTTGACGGGTCTCTCTTCGGTGTAGCAGCTCTCTTTTTGGGGTTTGGAGTGAAGTGCGGGTCCCACAGCGCCCCCCGTCCTCTCTTTGGTCAACATTTTGCCACTTTTTTTGGGGGCGGAACGGGGTTCCCCGATGAATGCAAAGGGAGAGGGGAGAATGAAGATCACAGATCGTCAGAAAGCGGGGGGATACTTGATGCTGAACTCAGCGTCACGTCGGTTTGCGGCCGGGATTCGCAACATTTTAGCGGGGATTTGGATAAACTGTCCGGCAAAAAAGCTAATTCCAAATCGACCACAAGGATTCTTGGCAGACTAGCGAAGACCCTTTGCGGAAACTCTATGAAATGCGTATAAAATTCAATTTTTACTGATTTTGGTAAACTGGCAGCCAGAACACAGAAATTCCAGCTAACCATAAGGTTTCTAGGCAAGCTAGGAGAGATTCTTCGAGGAAGCCTTACCCAAAACGTCAAAAATGCGTTTTTTTTTGTGGAATTTGAGTAACGTGGCTACCAGAAAAGATGCCCAGCAATAAATCAGAAAGACGGGAGCAAGCTAACAGATATCACTCGTAGCCAAATTTTGCCTTTACGGGTCTTTTAAAAACGAGAATCCATCATTTTTGCGTTTTTCAGGTTTCTTTCGCCGGACCATCCGCCGTGGCTACAAATACACATGTCGATTCAGTTCCACGTGTGTTATCGAGAAACGTATGGCTCATTTCATCGCGTATTCCTTTGTATCTTTTAGACAACAGAGCCGTATGTCGTTTCTGCCGATACACAAGATGTACAAGAGCAGGGATGAGGGTTGAGGGTTTGTTTTTCGAATCATAAGGGGTAAATGACACTCAATTTCACGATTTCACGATTTTTCTAAGCCTACAAAACTACTTTCGAAACTTTCGACCTTGTAAAGCGAGTGCAACAACATTTTTGGCGGTTTTTAATTGGCAAAAATCAACAGCAAACTTAAAAAACCTTTTATAGCCGTTCAACACGAGCGCGACTCAATCGGGAAACGGCCAAAACCGGGGCCACTTCGGCGGACGGTTAGCGAGAAACCAAGAATATCTGTCGATGAATCGAGAGCTTCAACATCTAGGAATTCTACGCCAGAATTTGATGGGAAGGGAAGGGATTGGAATAGTCCCAAGGTATAATACACTTTACTCTCAGTCTCGCTCTCTTTCTCGCTCACTCTCTCTATCTCTCTCTAATTCCCTCTTTTTCAGTTCCTCCTCGACCAGCTTCTCTCCTCAGAAAATAGTATCCAAAATATGCGCGAATCCGTCATCAAGGAGACCAGTAGAGCAAAGTTCCAAAAAAATTCGGAGGTATGAAAAAACTATAAAGGTATAAGCACTATTTTCTGTATTCCAGGCCTCCCCTACAACCCCTAGAACCGCTGATATTGATGACATTTTCATCTCTTTATACACGCAGCTCCAATTGGTGATAGTATGGGCTCGTACTCTGGGGCCGTTTGAGGCTTTGAGCACTGATGATCAGGTAACAGTTTTAAAAATTGAGGTTGAAGGTACTGGCAAGGTCTCGTTATGGATTTTGGCTATCAATCCATCTGGATTTTGCCGCGACGCGACACGACGTGCTGTCTTTACATTGCGTAATCGATCAGGACGTCTAAAAGAGAACGAGCTACGCGCTCACTGCTTGCTTACCATTGCGTGCCCATTCATTAGAATCTATAGCCAATAAAATCCATATCCATGGTACCTTGCCAATCTTTTTAAAGAACTATGAAGGCAAATTCCGTATTATTTCTCACATTTTCCGATATTACACGAATATCACCATTTAAGAAATGCCTGCTCAAAAACTTTGCCGCTCAACACGTCGTCCTTTGCGTGGCGTATCGCTCGATGGACGGAGGGGATTTCTTGAAGCTGCTGAATGACAGCTGTATCCCAAGGCCGAAAGCGTGGGTTTTATGGCATAAACTATGGCTAAATATTGCAATAAATCATGAAAATAAAAACAAAGAAAAAATCATAATATCAATTTTTAGTGGTGGCCAAGCAATCACGGACATCTATTTCCGTGATTGTGAACGGGTAATGGATCAACTCGTCGCCCCTATGCGTACCCTACAGATGGATGATGTCGAATTTGTGGCCATGAAGACTTCTGTACTATTTGATCCTGGTAAAAATACATTGAATCTGTTGTAATTTTTTTTCTAGTGGCGAAGGGCCTGTCAAAAGAAGCCTCGACGAAAGTGTTGGCTTGTCGTCGCCAGGTCTACGCGGCATTAGAATCGTACGTGAAGAAGAAAAATCCGGAAGATAAAGCGAGGCTTGGAGATATTACGTTTTCGATATTGACCCCGTTGCAGGTGAGGAAATAGTTAAAGAAATCGATAAAAAAAATAAAATTTCGGGATCTTAAAAAGGGTTGGTTCAGAAAAAAATTGAATTGTCTAGCGAAATACCCTTTGAAAATCGTTTATCTAATGCATCTAAAGAGGCAGATTATTATAAATTTAACAAGTTACGGAACAAAAATCAGTGTTCGAAAAATGGTGCAATCCAAAGCATTTTTTGTCCTGAAATTGACGCATCCGGACGGGGTCGTCCCCGCTCGGCCCCCTCTACGAGATAACCCCCTCGCTTCACCCCTCTCTCGACCCAACCATAGCTCAGTTGGTAGAGCGGAGGACTGTAGAGTCGGCAGCTATCCTTAGGTCACTGGTTCAAATCCGGTTGGTTGGAATTCTTTTGCTTTTTGGCTTTAGAGCAAGGAGTTCTGTTTGCGGAATCGGGAAATGATCAAAAAGCAACCATAAAGCACTATAAGCTTGAAAACGTCTTATTTTTGCCCAATTGGTTCAGAGTACAACCTTTTTTTAGCAGCTTTCGAAGGAAAAAACCAGATTGACATAAAATCAAATTTTTAGTCGATTGCAAACGTTCTCTCCGAAGACATCTTGGTGACAAAACTTTCTGGAGCAGCTGTCATCGACCAGCTAATGGAGGAACTGATTTTATCCGATGCTGAAGAACAGAAATGCATCAAGGCGAGGAGGGAAGGTGGGCATTACAAAAATACGACCGCTGTCGAAAAGGAAAGCCCCTTTGCTCCATAAATAGGAGGATAAAGTTGCCACACTTCCCTTTTGGACGAGGAGAAGACAAACAACCACAAGAAGCAGGTCCGAGGACACACAACCCAAGATCGGTCACATACGTCGGTTCAGTGGATTTAAGGCACCTTAGGCTAATGTTCATTCCGTGTATTTGAATAGAACGAAAGACAGTTGAAAGGCATAATGTTTATTAGTCAATAAACATAAGAGAAAAGGGTGAGTAGAAATATGAGTTAGATAGGAAACAGGGAATCGGGGGAAAAGGGAGGTGCTGGGCGTGAGGGGAAAGCTGGGCGTCCAATCGTAGATCCGTGCCGCTGGGCCGATCGCTCGGGGTTGGGCCTGAATCCCAACTATTCCACGGCGGGTCATAAGACCTAATCGGGCGGCATAACCGCGGTCACCCCCAGCACGGTCAGGCCTCGGAGAGACCGTAATTAGACCGTGGGGAGAAAACCCCGCAAAGGGCGGCCTGGGCGTGCTCCCGCACCCGTGGGGTACGGTAGCTGGTCCACAAGACCAAATGCCACTCTCCAAGGCTTTGGGATGCCTTCGACAGTATTGCTGCATTCGCAACAATACTTTCGACAACCGCTTACAAAGTAAAACACCTCAAAATATAATTTTCCGAAGCTGCAAATTAGCTGTTTTTGAACTTTTCTGTTCCAGACCTAAAATCCGAAGCTTCTGTCTCGACAACCAGCCCCGATTCGCCACCGGAAATGACGGAAACAGCGCATATTCATGCGAATCCGTTTGCGAGAAGTGCTGTAGATTTGACTCCTGGGTAAGCTTAATAGGATTTTGTAGTTTTCAAGGTTTTCGCGAATCAAAATGTCCCCTGAAAATCCGTTAAACGGAGGCGCAGGTCGGCTCGTATTTTACCATAGCGTTTTGCGCTATTCGTTTTGCGCGGCCAATCGCATTGTGTAGTTACCTGACGTGCTGCGCGTCAAGGGTGTTGCATAGCGGTAAAAATCGAATGGTTCTGAAGCTATTCGTTAGCATTTACATCCTTCAGCCCTTCCGCTCCGCTGCACCATCCATTTTCCCTGAACCACCACAACCACCCGACCCATTTCCTGCCCGATCCAACCCCTCAACTGCCAGCCAACAAGTAAGAATATTCTATAAACTATGGTAATTGACCGATTTTTACAGTATCCAAGCTCCAACATTCTTCAACTCTAGCCCGCAATGGAATAACGATTCGAAGATGTATTTCTGAAATTGACATTTGTCATTTTTATTTTTCTGGTTCGAAATTTTTGTCGAAAAACCGGAATTTCGATGCCATGATGCCAGTATTAAACTTTGATGTGATGAGTGCTTAGAAGAATATTTTATAACTTATTTATCCTATTTTTAATTTGGTTTTTGATCCCTCCGCAAATTGTGATACTCGTGATACCCGGACAACAACAATGTACGACTACTGTGAGATTCTAGTTTTGAATAGATTCGGCTTTTTTATCAATTATACATTTTTGCGGTAACTCCCTTCGTTTAACTTTAAAAGAAGGATAAAACTGAGTCTGAGAATAAAAATAATTTTTTTAAACACTGAATTTGCAAAAAAAAACATTGAATGTTCGGAAAAATGCCCTAAAAGATGATTCAGAAAGCCGTAAAGATAATGTATGGTCCAAAATATAAAAAGCTGTAGCTTTTTCCCTAGAGTCATGCTAATTTTGAAAGATCTATGTCTCGCTCGCTCACTCTCTCGTTCTCTCACTCGTTCTCACTTCAATCTCCTCTCTCCCTCTCTCTCACTCTCTCTCGCTTTCTCTCACTTTCGGTCTCGCTCTCTCTTTCTCCCTTTCTCTCTCCCTTTCTCTCTCTCCCACTCTCTCTCTCGCCTTATCAGCCCTCTTATTTTAGGCGTCGATCGTTGACACCCTATTCTATGAGGGCAAAGCACCCATCCTCTTTTCTGTGATATGAACACAAAGGGAGCAAAGCCCCAAATATAACGGTTCAGCCCAAAAAAAGCGCCAAGGGAGAAAGAGGGTCTTTGTCTGAGTTTTTAGAGGCGTTCGAAGGCATTGTTCTTGCTATCAGAATGCTGATTCTGAATTGTTGCCAGGCAGGTAGACCGGCAAAAACTGGTAAAAGTTCAAATATTGAAGCCAGCGTCTAGTTTTCTGATCTTTTCTTATTGCATTACAGTACCTTTGTATCGAAAATAAATACACAGATATAATTTCTTCCAAATTTTGATTTTTCGTCCTTGAGGATACCAGGAAAGCGAAAATACACCGACCGTGGCGTCGTCTAGCTACTTCTTTGATTTTCGCGTAATTTTTATAACAGTACGCAATGATACAACACACAAAAACTAACTTTTTAATAGACAAGCTTACCATGAAGGCAAACTTCCATTGGTTGAAAAATAAAAAATTTCACGCTTTTACCCAAAATAATTAATTTTGTGTTGTTATTTTGCCGTTCAAGTTCCCTTAAAATACGTTCTAAATTTTATAGAATTTTGCAGGGTGAAAAATGACATTTTCCTATGAATTGTGAAACTCCAAAATATTTCCCACCTCCGATTTCGCACCCAAATCGATGATTTCACCCCCACTTTTCGGTTCGGCTCGAAATTGATTCCGGATGCACCCAATTTTTCCCATGCCAGACACGACAAAATATATTCCACACCGTCCAGTGGTCGGGCATGTATTGAATATATTTTACAACGTCTTATCGGGGGGCGGAACGGTCAGAAAAATGAGAGGACAAGAATGCAGGTCAGTCAGTTAATCCACATGGCACTCCACTTTTTGATGGGCAGTTGGGTTTTTTGGATGTCAATCTAAAAATAAACAGTAGTTCCGCTCTTGGAATAATTTTTAGCTGAATTTAAAACGTATTTAATTACGCTATAGGATCCTGGACGGGTACCTCGACCATCTAGATCCTAAATCGTAAATCCTAAAATCCGAGATTCGCGAAAAGTCGATTGAAAACCACATTCTACCATCCAGCCAGAATTCCAGACAGGCTATAAACTCCAAGTTGCTATCAAGCGGCTTAAAAGGTGTTATTTTTGATGCCGAAAGTCAACAGGAGTGGCATGTGCCCAATGATTTTTGTCTTTTTCGTCGTCTGTGTGTGTGTCTCACTCTCTCACTCTCCCTCTCCCCCTCTGTCTCTCTCCTCGAGGGAGCAAAATACACGAATTTCCGGTATACGCCTGTTTACGCACGTGTCGGCCGCCTGATGACTCAACCCACAACAAACCGGGCAGGCAGCTCGTAGCTAGCGGTCCGACCGGTCACATCCAGCCGGTCTAGACGTTGATGACCATGATCAACATCTTCAGGAAGCAGTCCGAATAGCCCTTCCTTCCCTTGCCACCACTCTATTTCCTTCCCTGTCAACATTTGGCCCCATCGGAAACAGCTGTTTGGGCGATTCACGTGAAAGTGTTCCGTTTTTTTGGCTTTTCCTACGATCGTTTTCAGTCTTACTACTCCAGTCGTAGGACATCTAAAGATTTTTGAATCGAAAGTTATATTTGGCAGCCCGCTAATTCTTTAACTTTTACATTTTTGACGGATTTTTCGAATTGTCCCAATTTTTCGACATTTTCTGAGGCTAAGTTCTATTTTTAGCCAATTCAAACATTTTTCCGAATGTCGGCATTTTTCAAGGCCTTAAAAGTATTTTTGAATCCAGAATTCTGTATTCTGGCAACCACTTACCCGAAAAATGGCTTCATCTCTCTCCCGATTCGCCTAATCGCCAAGTTTTTTTCAGGCAATTAGGACCGCCGAAATGAGCCGAAATGGGACCTCGTGGCTCCGAAGGGCGCCAAATTTCGGTTGGGGGTCGGTACGGGGGGTGGAGCATGCATGGTGATAAGCCGTCCCGGCCCTTTTTTAGCCCTTTTTGAGCCGCCGGGTATCACAGTTTTCTCACGATTCCCGGATTGGTCGGGACTCCAGAATTCGAAGCGAGACGGTTCAAAGTACCTTCTGGGTTTCACTTTTCGTTTTATGGCGTTTCCGGGTTCGCTGTTTCTTATAAAATTTCACATCAGTTTTCGTCTATTTTTATGGCACGTGAAGCTAAAATGACGATCAATTCCTCAGTATTTTCTGTGTTTAGTTTTTGTTTTGTGATATTTTCTCGTTTTGTTTAGCTTAATAGGTTTCTAAATCGTATTTTTATTCATTGTTATACCAATTTTACTACCAGCTGACCATAAATCTATTTGACTTCTTTCTCTCTATCTAATCAGCTGCCGGTCACCAGACCCAGACCGATAGGTGGCCATTTCTGGGCGTCAAAATAAGGTCAAATATTTTTTTGGGATTGATTCCGGTTAAATTAAGCGCTGAATCGTTTCCGGTACATTTCTTTCGACTAAACTGACTGGTGTTCTACGTTTTCAAGCTTTTAACTTTTCACGCTTTTTAAAGCTTTTAACGTTTCAGGTTTTAACAAACCGTTTTTTGAAACTTTTCCAATCGTAATTCACCAATTGTTCTCGCTTGTAGATATCGTGAAGTGACACAATCCTGAAAACTCCGCACAGAAAAAAACAAAACAAGGCCGCATTACGAGTTTTCTACCGTAATCCCCAAATTTTTAAAGTTTTGCACGCTTTTCGGCTACGGTAAAAGCCTAAGAATCCTTAAAATTTTACTTTAAGTTTATCGAGCCAGATTCTTTCACCGACCTCTTGCCTGCCCTCCAGTATAGCCTGCAAAAAGCCCCTGGGCGCTTCCTTTCAGCCCATGCTTCCCAAAATCGAATCCCGGCGAACTTCTTGCCGGGACACATCCCCTTCTTGACCCTCCCATTGGCCTTGGGACCTCCCCTTGGTCCTAGTAGATTTCAAAAAGGGCCTCAGCAGGGCACGTGTTGGGGCACGTGTCTGTCTGTCTGCGCCTCTCTCTCTCTCACTCTCTCCTTTTGTCTCTCCATTGTCCTCTCGCGTACTATTGTATATATAGTCTGCGTCTCTTCCCCTTCCGCACTCCCTCTCCCTCTTCTCTGTCTGCCCTCTCTCCCTTTTCCCTGTTCTCTCGCCTGCTATAGCCTATCCAAAGTGGAGGGCAAAGGTTCATCTTGATTCCCCCGGTTTTTGCGTATTTCAAAAAGTGCATGTGTCCCTATAAAGTGCCCGGGCGTAGTGAAACTGACTAGTTCTTCTCTTGACACTCTCTTCTGTCAGTCAGGCGTGCCTCTCAAATTGTTTTTGTTTGCGGAAAAGGGCAACTTTTAGGATTGAGTCTGGGGTGGGCGGGTGGGGGAGACCCGAGGACACCCGTTCCATTTAGTATCCATGCGGAGCGCTGGCAGTCCGCGTCACTTTCGGGTTACGGTAACTGTCTGTTGATGTGTATTTTGAGAGCGACTAAATAAAAATAGGACTTCCGGTTGAGTCACACCATCCTCTGCCCACTGATATATGGGCTGATTTTCGCCGGGTGGAGAATTCGATCCACTGGATTTTTTTTCTGCAATTCCGCTACTTTATAAACATAATTTTATCTGGAGCCGCTTTTCTGTATGTCAATTGAACATTTCCACTATTGTATGCCTCAATTTTACAATATTAAACTTTTTATGAAATTTTTAAAGGAGGTTTTGGCCTTTTATAGTGAAACCTGAATTTTTAGCGATCTTAGAAAGATTGTTTAATTTTCATTCTATTTTCTGGCTGTCAGTTTAGAAGTTTTAATGAGTATGACTGAAGCTTTACGGCTCTTGATTTTTTAGCAATTTTTAGACGTAGTTTTTTGCATGTTTTAGCAAGATTGGAATTTTAGTGCTTTTTAAGGATTCTCTTAGGCCATGTGCTTTCGACGTTTCGTTCTATGCTCCAGTCTCTCGTTGGGCGTGCAGAAAAATAAATTCCGTCATTTATGGGGATCGAGAGGTGGTGGGGAGGGGGCTGCCGAGAGCAGGCTGTTTTCTCACGCCACCCCCAGCCATTTTGACCACCCGCCAGTCTGGCTAGGGGATGCCCTGATTTTGATATATGAACTTTAATGAGCTGAAATTTTTAATATTAATTTGTTGCATGCCAGTTAGTAATTCTCTCGGTTCTAAAGTTCAAAATTTAACTCGGCATAAAAATAGGCCCAAAAACTTCGATTTTCGAGCCATGTTTGAGCTATTTCTATTGTGTATTTTTAATTTTTATACACTTTTATGCCCTGAAATTTTAAAGATTAGTTTATTGCCTGCCAGTTAGTATTATCAAAGCCTGGAAATTGACAAATTTGATTCGGTGCTAAAAAAAGCTAAAACATGGATTTTTAAGGGTTTTTGAAGCTGTTTTCTGGTTTTTGAAGTTACTTGTGATTATTTGGCCTTGAAACTTTACAGACAACTAGTTTTTCAACAGTTAGATAGTACAAATTCGTGCTCTAATCAAATCACCCTCCCATCTCTCGCTCTTTTCCTCTAAATGTCTATTTTTGGCGACAATAGTGAACATCGTAAGTGTTTGCCCTCCTTTTCTTGCCTTCCTTTCTCAGCCAACCCATGTTTTTCTGTTCCTATTCTCCCTGTTGGCTAACAGTCAATGAAATCGGGGTGAAATACGTACATGGTACTCTTCTGTAGTCTTATTAGTGTGGAAACATTTTGAATATGTCATTGCACTGATTCAGAACGTTACTGGCAGGGTGATGCGATTGAATTTTTTTGCCTGATTCTCCCGTTTTTGCTGATTTTTCCGGGGTACTGTAGCTTAAAAATTTAACCTTTAAGAACAACGAGTATACCCCAGTTTTATTTATATCTTTTGAAAGTCATTTTGGCTCGTTAACCCGCCGGATTCTCGCATTTTTGCGGTCTTTGACTTTAAAACTCTAAATTATATAAAGCACGATTTTTATTAATATAATTTTTGGCTTGAAAATAGGTTTTACGCTGCTTTTTCACGCCTTGATTCACAAGTCAAAGAAAAACCCAATTTTCGCTCTCACCCGCCATTCCATTTCGATATTTCTACATTTCCATGCAAAAATTACATTTCTATACCTCAAACATTCAGAATTTTCAGTCCACAAATTTCTACAATGATCCTGTGGTTGCTATCGATATATTTTGGGACGATAATTGGCGCCGTCTCGGCTACCGTATTCCTCATCGTTTTTGGCCAGGGATGGGGTCGACTGCCCAAGATGTATCTCAAGATTGTCGCCAAAATACAGGTATGGAAAAGCTAAAATTGCAATAAAATTGTGGTTTTTTTTTGCAGAGCTGTTTCCCCGACATCTACCCGGAAAATACGGCGCCGTGGCCGTCAATTATCGAAAAGGTAAGCTAGCAGAGATTTTTTGAGGAGTTTTGTAGCTATTAATGCGTAATTATGCGAGTTGTGTCTCATTTTAAGGGCGGTCATCGTTAGCCAAAAGCTAGCAGCGATTCTTTCGAAATTTTGGGGTTATTAATGCGTAAGCTGACAACTAGACCAATTCTTCAATTTCCGGATGGCGAGCTAGCAGTGATTCTTAGGGAATTTTCTTGCATTTTTGCAGTACGGCTTTCCTAAACATACCCATTTTTCATTTTTTTGGGCAGGATAGCAGAGAACTTTTGTGAATTTAAAAAATATCGATTAATCTCTGATGTTTTCAGAATCCCGCCTACAAGCTGGAACGTCTGAAGGGCACCTCCACGGCCTGTTTCCGCCATCTGAAGACATCCGACGAGCCGTTCGAGCTGGCCAACGACTCGATGATGGCCGGGCTGGAGGCCATTATTCAGGTTTTTAGTCTCAAAACTATTATAAATAGATTTTTACCGAAAACCAGCTGATTTTAAAATATTTAATTTTAATGTATAATAAATTTTAATTTATAAAAACGGCTCTAGATAGCTCATTCAAGGAAATCCGTTAGTTGTCCTGCTGCCCTCCGTTTTGGCCTCATTTTTCACCCCATTTTTTCTGGGAGAGCATCAGCTGTTCCTCAGCGTAAACTATACAGCCGTTGGGTTCGGGGGAACCCATCTTCTTTCTCTTTTTCCGGCCCTTTTTCTGGGCCCCTAACTTAAGCGATCTTCTAGAACCCCAGCCCCTCCGACCCTATTTCCTGCCATCGCTCACCTCCCAAAAAACCCACAGGAGCATCCGGGGAATCTCCAAGTATCCTTTTTCGAGGACGTTGCCATCCAGTTTGCTGAAATCGGCAACATTCCCCCTGCGATCCCATCAGTTTTTGAGCAAAAATCGAGCGTTGAACGTTTTGATGCATGGTCAGCTGGGTGGTGCAAAAACGTGGAAATTTATGAGGCGATCCAGGGGTCAAAAATGATGGATAGGCATGGGCAGAGAGCAGAGTAGGGCGTGAAATCTTGCTAAAAAATGAACAGAAATAGGCAGTGAACTTTCGAGAATACTTTTTGGATGTGAAACCCGGTATCGGGCAGTAGGGACATCGGTAGTTTCAGACAAAAATATAGCTTTTCGAGATTAAAACAGTATCAAACGGCTCATAAAAATGTTCGTAGGGCTTTTTCAAAGATGAAAAACATATTCTGATATTTTCAACAGCATTCCCCAGCTTTAAAAGCAAAAAGCAAAAGCATTCCAACCAACCGGATTTGAACCAGTGACCTAAGGATAGCTGCCGACTCTACAGTCCTCCGCTCTACCAACTGAGCTATGGTTGGGTCGGGAGACGGGGGAGGGGAGGGGGTTATCTCGCAGAGGGAAACAAAGAGGGGACAGGCCCGTCCGGACGCGTGAACTCCAGGACATGACACGAAACACCTGTCAAATCATTTGATTGACATTAGGGGAATCTCAAGCGAAAACTCGAATGTTTGACAAGCTAAAAATTAAAGGAAAAGCCATGTTTTAATAAAATTTATTGGAGTTTAGAAAATTGCTGTTTCTAAATAAAAAAACTAAACAGGATTTCTTGAGAATCGGGAACTTTTAACTCTACAAAAATAGGTTTCAAACTTTGTGAAAAGTACCGTAATCAGCAAAAGAACCAGTAATCTTTATTTTCCAGGATGAAGTCTCGGGCGCCTACGAGCGAGCCCCTTCCCAAAAGGACACCCTCCTCCGCTTCACCCCCGTCAACATTTGGAGCCCCGCGCAGCGGGCCCTATTTTACGCCACGTTGATGTTCAGGTAGAAATAAAGTTACAAACAATTATTTTAACGATTCTCCAGGATTTTCTTCCTGTTCCCGATCCGTTTCTCCCTACTCATCACGTCGTTCGCCTGGGTGTTGATGGTCGTCGCCATTTCTTTTGTCAAAAAGGTATTTTAAGGTTCCAAAACACTTAAAATTCCGTTACAGTACTCCGACTGTGAGCGCACCTCCATCTCGATCATCTACTGTCGCTTGTACGGCGCTTCGATGGGCTTTGTCGGCAAATTCCACGAGCGCCAGAATCGACCCCAGAAACCAGGTGAACTATAGAAATTTTGAGGAACTATGGGAGTTCACGGCCCGTAAATCCCTTTAAAACACAAACTGACAGCCAGTTAACCGATTGCCACTTCAGGAATCGCCATCTCAAATCACATGTCGCCGAATGACGTGCAGATGCTGTTCGCCGATGTGCAGCACGGCGCCTCGTACGGCTTTGTCGTCACCGGGCAGCGACATGGCGGATTGATTGGCGTTATTCAGAAGCTGGTAGGCTTTACTGGGTGACAGACTATAATTTGATACCTCTAGGCCGACCGTATCTCGCCGTGCATGTGGCTGGAACGCCGGAACGGTGATGAGCGTCGCAGCTTCCAGTCGGAGGCCATCAAAATCGCCAGGGTCAGTGGGATCGATCTAAAACTTTGAAATCTGGCGAACTGTCAACCAGTTTATAGATTTATCAAACATACATTAGAATTCGAAGTCTAGAAAATATTAAAAACATGATTTTTAGAGTTTTACGCCCGATTTTTCAGGAATCCGGCCCAGTCCTGCTGTTTCCGGAGGGCTACTGCTCGAACAACACGCTCGTCTTCCAGTTCCGGAAGGCCCTCTTCCAGGACGCCGTCAACATCTACCCGATGGCCATTAAGTGGGTGAAACTATCGAAACCAAAACCAAACAACTCATTTTTCTTCATGAAAATCTAAAAACTGGATTTATACAAGTTAACAAGCGAAATTTCATAAAAATCAACAGCCAGGCTTTAAACTGTCAGCCAGTCTACTTACCTGAACTTTCAAAATTCCAAAAAGTTTCCAAATTCCCCGGCGATTCATCGATTTCTCGCCTCTGAACGCCCCCTTGCGTCGGCGCCCTCTGCGGTCCCCCATCCCTTTCCCCTCCCCCCACACGCCATCCCCCACGTGGCTGAGTGGTCTAGTGGTATGATTCTCGCTTAGGGTGCGAGAGGTCCCGGGTTCAATCCCCGGCTCAGCCCAGATTTTTTACTTTTTGGCCGCGGGTTTCGAAATAGGGTCCGGATGCCTATGCCATTTTTATTTTCGTTAAAACTTTCTGTTTTCCAGGCAAAACGGACAGTTTGGTGACGGGTTCTGGTCTGAAGATGAGTTCTACGTGCACTTGTTCCGGTTGATGATCAGCTGGGCTGTGGTATGGAACGAAAATTTGGTTTTTAGTATTTTTTAGGTGTACGAGGTGACGTACTTACCAAAAATGGTGAAGAGCCCCGAGGAGGATCCGGCAAATTTCGCTACACGGTGCCAGACGGCCATTGCTGAGGCTGCCGGCATTACGGCGTCGACGTTTGATGGAGGGCTGTGGTATAAGTAAGTATTCAGGATTGAAATTGAAATTGAAATATAATTTAATTTATTTCAAAAAATGTAAAAATTAACTCGAAAATAAAATAATTTTTTAAACTGTTTAAATCCCATTTTTGCAGGAAAGAAGAGCAGAAACGACTCCGTGAGCTGCAGCAAAAGACGTGCTCGGATCGGTTCGACGAGGCGACGGCCTGTTTGGAGTCGGACTCCTCATCCTCATCCTCATCTTCTATTGGTTCGCCTCCTTCAGTATCATCGAGTGGATATGAGAGTCTCTCAGAGGCTAGTAGTCAAATGCCTTTATTAGATAATCTCCTCCATTCCAGGCTCTGCATCCTTCCGATTTTGTCGACCGACAGCTGCTTGGCGATCTGGACCATGATTGTCAAGTAAGTCATTTTACGATCGATGACGCTATGAAAATCAAAAAGAGTCGTAATTCGGAATTTTCTTTGCTATTTAGTTGAATCGGCTGTCAGTTTAACGGTTGCGCATACTAAAAAAATTACAACGCTAGCTTTAAAGGGATCTGGAATGTTAATCGATTACGCTATTAAAATCGGGATCTGCTCAAAATTTGCCGTTTTTAATTTTTGGGTTTGGCATTCATCTAACTGGGTGCCAATTTAGCCATGCGGCTTCAAAAAAACTTAAAACGTAAGTTTAAAGACTCCCGGAAAAGCACTTTAAAAAATACGAGCCATCACGCTATGAAGATCGAAATTCGCGCAGATTCGACGCTTTAGTTTTTTTGTTTTCGTAATCATTTGAACTGGCTGCCAGTTTAGCGTTTAAGATTTTAAAAACGGAAAGACAACATTTTAAAACCCTTTTTGAATGTTTTGATATCCATTGAAAACTTTTTACAGGTCTCCCCTCTACCCCGGAAGAAGTGCAGTCAAGAAATCTCGAATTTCCACTTCATCCCTTCAATTCCGGAGCAATCCGCCCAATAAGAAGCACTCCCCAGAAAACGAATTTTGTTCACACGATTCTTCTTTTTCTCTGTGTTTGTGATTAATTTCTGTACAAAGCTCTCCTCCTGGCCTCGTTTCCCCAAATTTTCTCTGCCAGCCTGCCTTGATTTTTCTCTCTTTATATAGTCGCTTAAAACTCGGGTTGACTCTGTTTTTGGCCCTTCGATTACGCCATGTAAATGTTTCTTTTCTGTGTCATTTGTAGTCCTGCGTACACTGGTCATTTTTAAACCTGAATTAATGTAAGTAGATTTATTCTTTCCTTAAAGCTCGATTGAAACAATTAAATTAATTTTGTAAAAATCACATTTTTTGACCCGTTTTCTGGAATATTCTGGAATTCTGGTAGCTTGGTTTCCGTTATGTCTATTAGTGCGCCGTCTCGTCTCAGACGGCCTTCCGTATTATAGGGCCTCGAACGCGGACTTGGGGCTGAAAATTCATCGTAATTATTATTTGTAATTTTTAAGTTTCGGTCTACGGTTATTCCTGTGCTTTTCGCGTTTTTTAAAGCGCTGATTTGGTTGGTTTTTGTAAATAAATCGTTAGAAATCTAAGCTGCGTAAGATACAATACAAAATACGGCAAAATGCAGGCTGGAAAACTACAAAAAAATCTTAAAAATAGCTTACCATTTGCATCTCCTGGACGAGACAATTTTCCGGTGGATCACCGCTGACGAAGGCCACGGTCAGGCCGAGCATCAGCACGATTCTTAAATCAATTTGTAGCATTTCATAGCGTCAGCGGTTTAGGACTTTGTTTTCAATCGCTTTTTTGTTATCTCTATTTCTCTCTCGCTCTCTCTCTCTATCTCTCTCTCTCTCTCCCTCTACCTCTCTAGCTCTAGAAGGTGCCGAATGGATATCAAATTACAGCCGGAGAAAGATCCCCTAACAGCGAAAGACGAATTATTGATTGGCCACGGGGCACAAAGCCGCCGGATATAATGTCGTAATAGAGAATTCAGCGGCTGAGCGGCTGAGATTTTCTTGAATTTAGCTGTGCGAGAGTTTTGTAAGCAAATGCGGAAGAAAATACGGATATTTTTGGTCGAACTGGCAGACAATTAAGACATTTCACTCGAAATAATCCCCAAAAAATGCAGGGGCTCGAAATTATAGGTTTTTAAAAGAATTATGTTCTTGTATATAACTTACAGCGCCAATGCTAATATAAAAGGTTGATTGAAGCCGAGTGCCGAGATGACGGTTCCCATTTAATTTGAGGCCAAGAAGAGGGCCCGATCTCTGCCGGCGCGGCAATAATCTTCACACCGGAAATATTATTAGTCTGGGTGGGCCGGTAAACACGGATGCGCCCGTTTTTCGAATCCGATGCTGGGGCCTGAAAACGAGAGCGATTTTACGGAACGGATAAAGTGGCGAAAATGAAAAATGTCGAAGCCCAGTAAAATTCAGCAAGAAGTCGTCGAGTCGATAAATTGAAGGCTTGCTGATGAGGCTTGATTCGCGGTTTTTCGCCGGCTGTTTGAGTCGGAATTTACTGATTTCAGGCGGGTTTTTTTTGAGAGAAAAGTAAGCTGCAGAAAAGTAAGAAGCTTCGAAAGACGCAAATAACTATTAGGCAGCCAGGAAAGTCATCAGCCGAATGTAAAACCCACATAAAACGAGTGATGTCAAAATCCCAAAAAGCACAAACCGGCCAGTCACTACAAAAAAAAACAACTAAATTGACATCCAGTGAAGTGAAAGGTATGGAAAAACCATCCGGAAAGGGTAGTCAAACGCTGCAAAAAAGAAGGTAGGCAGCTGTGAACGCAAGAGATCCGCCAGTTTCGGCATTCTGCAAAAATTCCGAAAAAATCCGAGAAAGCTGCCATCAGGCGTGTTAATGGGGAAAATCGCCAGGCTGGCATCCAGTCAGGTTAAAGGTATCGAAAAACCACGCCAAAAACTTATACTAGGTAAGTGGCGGGGAAGGTAGCAAGTAGTCAGGCAGTGAGGGAATGGGTAAGGGGAGGGAGTAAGAGGTGCTGAAAGGAGAATGAATGCATTGCCGAGGGGAAGGAGGGAGGGAAGGGAATGGCCAGAGAGAGAGCACCCTGGGGCCCATTTGGCCACACACGGCAGCCAGCTAGCGGAGGAAGGATGAAAAGGGACTTTCAGGCTGTCTAGCCTTCTCTGGCTTTCTCTACTCTCTCTCTCCCCTCCCGTTCCATAATCCAATCCTCACAAGTGCCACCTGCCTGCCTCTGAAGCCGCTGAAAGGAAGGGAGCAAGAGAAGAGAAGCCAGGGGAAGAAGACGTGAAAATCGGGGGGATAACGATGTGCCGAGGGGAGTCAGAAGCTAGCAGAAGCAGTTTGGGGAATGGGACTTCTGGCCGAAAATCGCGCTAAAACGGAGGAAAGCTGGCAGTGATTATTGAGGAAAGCATACAACCTGCGCTGGCAAGCAGGGATTCTTGAGGACGTTTCAACGAAAAAAAGGGTCAGCTAACAGAGAGCCTTGTGGACGGCCTTTGAGGCAAGCGAGCAGAAATTCCGATGGAAAAAACACACCGAGGCAAGCCAGCCAGAAATTCTTATGGAAAGCTAGAGCTGAGACTGGCTAGCAGAGATCTTTGTGGAAGTTCGAGGCAGCCGAGCAGAGATTATTCAGCGGTTGTCAGGGTCAGCTATCAGGTTGGATAATAAGTTGTCACAATTTTTTGAAATCGCTCGTTAAAATCGCAGATGTTTCCAATTTTTGAGTATGAGGTATGGATTGATAGGTCTCACAACACTCTATTTTGGGAGGACCTTCAGTTGACGCAAAAATTGAGGGACGTCGAGATACAGGCCCGAGAAGGTTTTCGCAAAATTACGCAAAAGCGTGTTAGCGAGTTATCTCTGCATACAGCAATTTGCATGCAATACGGCTAACACCAATCGATAGCTTTCGAGGAGTAGATATCGATAGATGATTAGATCATCAAAATCTGACATCGGATGGCCGAGATACGACCCCTTGAAATTTGGCCCATTTCTTAGAACTTTTCCCGAAATCCCATACATTTGATAGCCCGCAGCCAAAACTGACCGCTTGATTTTCAAAAGAACCGAGCGCATTTTGACCAAATGTATGGGATTTTGGGAAAAGTTCTAAGAAATGGGCCAAATTTCAAGGGGTCGTATCTCGGCCATCCGATGTCCAATTTTGATGATCTCAACATCTATCGATATCTACTCCTCGAGATCTATCGTTTGGTGTTAAAGGTATCGCATGCAAATTGCTCTATGCAGAGATAGCTTGCAAAATAGGTTTGGTACGTTTTTGCGGAAAACTTCTCGAAGCTCTATCTCGGCGACTCTCAATTTTTGGGTGCTAGGAGGGTCTACCCAAGGTAGAGCTCGAGGAGACCTATCAAACCATATATCACACTGTTAATTTGGGCACGTCTGCAGCTTTAACAAGCTATTCCAAAAAATTGTGACAGAACTTATTATCCAACCTGATAGCAGAGATTCTTGTGGATAATCTTGCGGTGGCATGCCAAATTGGCACTGGGTGTTAGGCAGGCTAGCAGAGAGAGATCTTTGAGGAGAACAAAAATATCGGCAAGCTAGCACGGACCCTTAAGATGTAGTTTTTCGTAATTTTATCATCCCCTTCACCGTAATATTTTATTCAGCAAGAAAAGCCAAGATACTAACCGCTAGAATGGCCTAATTGTATGTGGGTAAACACGCATGCAAATCTGACAAAATCAGCAAATTGAAAAATCAGCAAAAACTGGAAAAATCGGGGATATGGTACAGCGGGGAGTACAGTAAGATTTTTACCAAAAAAATGGCCGGGGAATGTATCAGGAAATGGCAAATAAATCCTGCTTTAAAGGGAACGCGACAGCAGAAAATCGGCTTTTCCGTCTTGAATCCCTTTAAATCCGAAAAAAATGGAAATTATTACTCGTGTAAACAGCGGGTTAAGCAGAAGCCTGACTACCAAAAAACATCCGAAAATCATGGGAAGATCACAACGAATCAGTCGAAAAGAAACAACGCGTTTTTTATCAGGGTTTTTAAAGCATCTTTTCAGTGGAAATTCTACTCGTGAAATTGGCGGAAAATTCAGAAAATTCGAAATATGGCTAGAAATGGACTGGGATTTCGATAAAAATAGAAAGAACACAATTAAAGGGACTAGAACAGCCAAAAAATCAAAATATAACACCAGAAAATTTGAAAGATTTGCAACAAAGAATTTTGCAAATGTCATTTCTGAAAAATTTCAATGTTGAAGACTATCTAAAAAACATCGAAAATAGCAGGGCCTGCATAATAGAGAAAATAGCGACGTAAAGCAACAATTGGCTGGGCTTGAATCGTTCATCGCCGATTTGCTCGATTTTGGCCGACAGTCGAGTCATCGCGATTTCCATTCGCTCGAGGTTTTCCTGGAAAAGGGAAAATTGGGAACTTTTAGCTTTCGCTGCTAGCCTTCCCTAAAATATTCTTTTTCTGTTTTTCTAATCCTAAAAATCTGTATTTCCTAAAGAAATCCGGCTGGCTGCCCCGCTTTGGAAGTTTGTTCATCAAGAAACGCTGCTAGCCCGCCCCTTAATCCGTCTGCCACTTATTTTCCTAATTGATCTCTGCTAGGCTTCCCGTGTTTCTTAAATCTGAGTAATCTGTATTTCTTCTAGATCCACTGCTGGGTTGCCCCAACTCTGCCGGCGATTTTCCTAAAGAATCACTGCTGGTTGGCCCCCTAAACCCCGCCAAGTCCGCTATCCTGAAGTTCCCACATGCACTCTGCTAGCCTGCCGAGGCTGGCCCTTCAAATTTTTGCTTTGGTTACCTGGATCTGCTTTGCGACCTCGGGATCAATATTGAGCTGCCCTTTGGTCTCTTTCCTTTTTGTCGATCGATCGATACTTTCATCTGATGAATCTTCCGTCTGTCCGTCTTGTGACTAAAAAAAGGATTTCAATACCTAAAACTACTTTGAATCTTTAAAATCTTATTACTCAAAAAGCCAATTTTTAACCCATCATTAATGCACTGACCAGGTGTTTCTGTTTGTCCTGTGATGAGAGACTGTTATTCTTGATCCTCAAGTTCTTGGGGCGAACTTTGGAGATTGTTCGGATCTCATAGTCGTGCTCAATCTGCCGCACATCATTGTGAGAGTCCCAGGGACGGTAACTACAAATGATTTTTTAATAATTTTAATTCTAGAAATTTTAAAATGAAAATTTTAGCATTATTGTTATGCAAATTATGTGTAAAACAATTAAGCTAATTTCAAAAGCGATTAATCTATTTAAAAACGGTACTCAACGACTAATTATTTCACCTTCTGGCTTTTCTAAAACTTTTCGTAGGTTTATACGGGGTTTAAACAATTAAATTAAATTTTCCATGGCTGCCAGCTACGTTATGATTTGTGTTTGAAAACTTACTCAGCATAGATGTAATCGTAGACATCCTTCACCGGGTTCTTCTTGAAATATTTCGTCTTGTGGGGGACGCCGGATTTCGCACGGCGGCGTTGATCCTAAATTCACGATTCTTATTTCTTTAGACCGGATTTTCGAATAAATAAAAATAAAGCGAATTAAGGATAGCAATTTTGAATTGTAACAAAGTACAAAAACAACATAAAAAATTACTGAAAAATAAAAAGAAACTAACCTCTTCGAGAACCGTCTTCTGATTCGTCGCCTCATATTGATCCTCCTTCGCGATAGCTTCGCTCACTTTATTCCAAAGCCTAAAACATAATTTAGTTGATGAAATCTATTAAATTCGAAGTTTTTATAGCGTGAACTCGGTCGTTATAAAAATACTTACTTTCTGGATTCCCACTCTCCCAGATCTTCATAGGGGATCTCGTATCTCGGTAGTCGTTTCGCGATGATTTCTTGCGTTGGTTGCCACAGGATTTCCTTCGAGGAGCCCTAATATAAAGATAGAAAATATAAATAGTATAAAAACAGTACAGTATTAATGTTATTAATGCATATAAATTTTTCTTTTATATGAGTGTTTAGCAAAAGAAAGCTTAAAAATTTTCGGTTTTTTGACAAAAAGTGCGTATTTTTAAAAGTATCGAACTACTGGAATCTTCTAAGAAATCTGCATTATTAGTTTGAAATATTGCAAACTGGCCGACAGTTTAATGCCTTATCGCTTTAAATTCAAAAAATTGTACCCAAAAATTTACCTTTTCCTGAATTTTCATGGTTCCATCCCAGTGACCCTCAATTTCGGCCATCGTCTGCGAACCGTACTTGATCTCGCCTTTTACCTAAACATCGAAAATTTGTTAAAAACATAATTTTGAATGGGAGAAAGGTAAAAAATCCTATATTTTGCTACCTTATTCATACTGCCGCCCAAAAATGGTTTTAACTGGAAATCGAGGGTCGTGGAATAGGCCGTACGATCACATTCGATCGTCACCTGAAAACTAGATTAGAAAGCCATGGAAGTGAAATCCATACCGGTCCTCCTAGTTCCATTGTCAATGTTCCGATCATGATTCCTTTGCAATTTGCATATGGTAGAGAGACGGAGTAGGTCTCGCCACGCTTTAGGAGTGTTAGCCTGAAAAATATGAATTTACGAATTTCGTGCTTCTCTCGTTATCTCTCACTCTCTCCCTCCCGCTCACTTTCTCTCTCTTTCTCTCTCTCTCACTCTCTCGCTCTCGCTTTCTCTTTCTAGTCCTCTGAAGGGATAGTGCCTTCAAAAACTTTTTGGAGCTACAGTACCCTTCACTTACCTTAAATTCCCAAGCATCATTGCCGATAGACTATTCCCGTAATATTTGCTCTTCGCCAAAATAGTTCCGGCGACGTTGAAACCGGCTTTTTTGTTGGTGATGAAGATTGTGGAGATCGGGGGGTGGTGAGAAATCTGAAGAGGACATTCTTTTTTTTCGCAAATCCGTGTTTTTATTAATTCTCTGCTCAATCTCGATTTGACTGACCTGTTCAGCAATATAATAAGTAGTACTTCCATCCGGATGATGCCATGAACATCGAAATGTCTCTCCCAATATCGGATTATACGGTTTCTTCAATCCTTTCGGCTTCTTGTAAAATCCGGACAAGTAGAATTTGGTGACTTTGATCATTCGTTGAAGGGGATCTTCCTCGTTTGCCGCTCTAAAAGGCATCGTTATTCAAATATTAAGTTCAACCGAGATTAGCACTTATTATCATCATTATATTTAGACAAAAGGCATTAAACATACTCGGTTAAAAGATCGGCATGATAATAATAGTCGGCCAGTTTTTCGAGGAAAGACCGAGGCTCGAGGATGAAGGTGGGGAGCACCACCTTTGAGAGGTCCATTCCTGGGCGCACCTGCAATATTCCATAGTTTATTTTCTATTATTTGATTATGCATCCACAGCTTGTTAGCCTGGTGATTTGAAAAAAATTAATTTTGTCGAAAAGTTCGATTTTTTCTAAATTCCCGAATTTTTGCTGTCCACATCCCCTGAAAATTAAATATTTCTTGAAAAACTAATTAATTGTATGTCCGCTTAACAAAATAACTATTGGAATTTTCGAAAAATTAAAGCTGGGCCGTTCAAAACCGAAAAATCCGTTTTTCCGGACCCTTCAGCGGATCCATTACGCCATGAAACCGAGAAAAATGCATTTTTAGAGTAAATCTTTTTATAGTGATTTTTTGGCATACAGTTTGCCTAAATAACTGCTTTAAAACCTTCAATCCATTTCTTTTAAAAGATTTTTGCGATTTTTACCTGTTTGAGCAGCGTCCAGACAAGACTCTTATTTTCCTCGCCGACATCCTCTGTTTGAGCTCCTTCTCCGAGCTGGCCAAACTACAAAATAAAATCTAAACTTGCAGGTGGATAAGACTAACCTGTTCAGGTTCAGATTGTGTCCACGGGCTTTCCTGGGCATTATCCCCATTTTCACCCGCATCCGATGCCTCGCCGTTTTCGGAGACGTGCTCGTCGAGCTCGTCGATTTCTTAAATCATTATATAGATTGAAGTACATAAAGGAATAAGATAGAAATGTAAGCAAATTAGAAATTCTCCTTTTATTCAATTAAAACGGGATATTGAATTTAAATAGGGGAAGGCTGGCAGAGATTCCAGCAGAAACGCTAAACTGTCTGTCAGCTAGGAAATTGCCCAAAAATCGGTTGCTGTTGTGGACAAACTAGCAAACATCTTTGGGGAATGGCTAAACTGTCTAACAACTAATGATTTGACACAAGAATCAGCTCCTGATTTGGCAAATTAGCCGAGATTCATGCGGAATAATTCTGTGGTTTGAAGCTGGTTCCTGTTTAAAATCATGTTTATTAGATTAAGTTAAAATTAATTTTCAAAATCTTTATTTTCACACGTTCCCCCTGAATTCCCCCTGTCCAAACAAACATTTATCGTTTTCCGTTTCCGGCCTCCCGTATGGCCCATAAATTGAGGCCGAGCCTCCATGCACCCCCTGTGCGTCATGCCGATTCGTCATTTTCCAGAATCCCGGGGCGCCCCCACTTTTTTTCAGACAAATCCCCTTGTTTGCAGATTTTGGATAAAGATAGCTGGGCGATTTTTAGCAAGATTGATGGGGCTGGATGTGAAAATGGCAAAAAAAAACCGTAACAGAAGCAATTTGGGAGAAAATACTCTAAAGCCGAAAAGCCGAGTTTAGTAAATTTGTGATTTTTTTTAAACCCGCGCTTTTTCTCGAGGCAATAAGGTATTTAGAAACATTACTTAACTATGACGCCATTCAAAAATATTAACTAACTGACCAACGAAATGCTTCTCGGCCTCGCCCTCGCTAATATTTCCATCCTCTCCATCGATCGAATCACTGTCTTTCTGATGGGCAGATGCCTGCTTTTTCGCGGATTCGAGCTAAAATAACGACATTTTAATGACAAAATTGGTAGATACCTCGTGCATAGTCTGTGTCAATAATCCAGAGCATCGAAGGGAGATCTCCAGACCATCCATCCACGTCCGGCCAGCCTGAAATGAACACTCATTAGCTAACAAACTTGAAATTGCTTAAAAATGTTTGTTGAAAGTCAAAATTTTAATTTTTGTAGCTTTTGTAGCGGTAAATTTGCTTGCGGATCACTTTTCGACCGTTTAGCACGAGTTTACTGATAACACGATCTGCCCGTCAGTTGTTGCCAAAACAGTGAAGAGAGAGAGAGAGAGAGAGAGAGAGAGAGAGAGAGAGAGAGATCGAGAGAGGGAGAGAGGGAAAAACAAGTCTTGTCGTGCCTTTTGAAAGTAAAAACGGTTTTAATGCATAATAAAAGCAAGTGCTATTTTTATGGTCCGGCAGGATGTTCACGAGTTTTATAGAGATTTTACTGCATTGTGAGAAAGAAGAGTTTTTGAATATCTAACCTGGTCGCCAGCCGCTCTGCAGATGAGATAGGTAGTGGGGAGTAGGTTTATAGTAACAGCTCCATGTGATTCCCCCATTGGCCCTCGTGTAGCCCAGATTGACTGGTCCAGAGGATGAAAGAGCTAAAAAATTAATGAAAACCAGGGTTGAAAAGCCGCTACGCGGCTTTTCACCCCTGGCCTTCGCGCACGGAACTCTCAAAGTTGGGCAATTTGCATAATGCGAGGGAAGAGCGAGAGCGAACCCAAAAACGGCAAAAGCAACCGGCCGCTAGCGCGACAAAATTCGAAATGAGTCTCCTAGCGCTTCGTAGGCAAATGAGGATATTTCCATATGTTTTAAAATCGCTAAAATAAGGTATAAATCGTCATTTTATTAAAAATCTGATAAACTTGCAGTAATCTACGCCCTCGACTACCCCTAAATACCTTTCGACTGGGTCCTAAAATTGATCCCCCTTTCCGATATCTTGGTAACCCGGTATTTTCCAGCCATTTATGCAAAGTGTCCACACACACACACATGAACTATTTTTTTATATATAGTAGGATCTAGTTAAAACAGAATTAGATACCTTGAAGCAGAATCCGTCCTTTTTCGAGGGGCGCTCGATCAGCTTGCACGTGTTTAGAAGTACCGTGCCCACCCATTGACCATGCTGTAAGATTCCATTAAAACCGTGAAAATGATAATTTTAACTTTTATCGATTTGTACAGTAAAAATATTTTCAGTAACGCGTTTGACTTGTAAAATGTTTTTCGCAGTTTTTTGACAGTTTAATTTTTGTTAATGTATACTTTTCCATCCCGATACCTTATGCGTCTTATTGGTCTTGTAGATCATCAGGAGTCCAGGTTTGAGTACACAGTAGTGTCTCGTCCATTTCCGCAATGTTCCACGCAATTTCAGCCAATCCGCTGAGACGACCACCTAAAGAGGGAGAAGCTCGTTGAAGCCCAAAACCCCTATAATAGCTGTACCCAAATATGGTCAAAATTGGGGTCCGATTTCGCGGGCAATTTGCCAGATTTCGCGAGTTTATGCGAGAGAGAAAAAAGGGTTAAAAGTACATTTTCGCACCACAAAAAATGTACTTGCAAGAGCAAAAATAATTTGAAAACCGCGAAAAATGAAACGTGTAAAACGTACGGTAGGGTCCCGCAGCGCGCCCATCAGCTCCTGCTCGATCCGCTTTTTCTCGTCCTTATACTCGCGTTTTTGTTGCTGAAAAATTAATATAGAGTGAACCGCGACTAATTAATAATTTGCATGTATTATTGTTCATGAACAAGCCGACAAAAATTAAACACATTTTCTGGGAAGCAAAATGGCATGAAACGCTGGCAAGATGATGACGCAGCTTCTGCCGATTCATTTTTGTGAATTGAGTTTTTGAGGGGGTTCCTATTTGGGGATCTATGAAATGGTTGGCAGAATGACGTTTTAAAAGCCCAATTCATTAATATAGCCTATTTTAGGAAAATTTTTCGCGAATTTCCATGAAATAGCAAGCAGATCGATTTTTGAAGGCATCACCCCAGACTCAATCCGTCATGATCGCCAAATATCTGCAATTTTTTGCGGATTACTATCAAATGTCATTCAGAAAAAATAAAAAATAGATTTAGAAACTAAATTCTTGGTTTTAAAAGACCACTGAAAGCAAAAATGCTTGCCAAATCCCATGGATTATCGATTTTAAGCAAAAATAAAGTTAAAACTAATTTTGAAATTTATTTTACCACTTGAAAAGTCGAATTAACGGGAAAACTGTGTCTCCTCGGCTTTCGCTGCAGAAAAACGTTTCCTTCGCCCAATTGTGGCCGTAGATGGAATAGAAAATCGTCGTTGTGCAGGTCTAGCAGAGACATTCGGGGAATTTTCTTTTTTAGCGAAAAAAGATAGTAGAATATAGGAAAAGAGCCCAAAAATAAAAATATTTGATATTTATGGGTGGAACAGCTGGCGGGGGATTATGTAAATAAAAATTCATGCCACCCACATTTTTTTTCGGGGAAACAACCATGTGGGCGGCTGTTTTATGGTCATTTCAAATGGCAAAAATGGCTCGTCATCTCCCACTCACTCTCTCTCTATCTCTCTCTCTCTGTCTCTCTCTTTCTCCCGCTCTCCCTCCTATGAAATCTCAAAACAAAAATTAAAAACAGCCATACAGCTCTGATTTTACGAGCCCGCGTTTTTACACGATTTCGTGCAGGACCCACAAAATTTCCTCGCGATCTCTAATCCTCTCGTTGTCTCTCTAACTCTCTCGCTTCTGTTTACATGGACGCAAAAAGGGGAGGCGAGGCAGGCTGGCCCTTCAGAACCAACCCTCCCACTCGGTACCTAAAAACCCAGAAAAAGATGGGCGCGATAAAGGAGCAATGCGTGACTTTTATTTCGAGACGAGGGAAACAGGAAAAAGGGAAAGAGAGAGCGAGAGAGACAGAAAGCGGGAGAGAGAGAGCGAGCGAGAGGGAGAAAGAATAAATTTAATTTAGTGGCGTAAAGGCACTGGAAAGTCTAAAGTTCTCTCGGCTTGGTGAGTGGCAAACTAGCAGCGAACATTGAGGAAGCTGCCCTATTCAAAAGGATTATGGCAATCAGATTTTTCATGGATTTTATGAATTTAAAATGTTAAAAATGATTTGGGAAGTGAAAAATTTCCCCTGGGGGTATAATGGGAAGAGAAAATTGAGGATAAAAGAGCTAATGAAATTGTCAATTTTGCGAACTACTACATGAAATAATTCAATAATTGAATTTTAATGGAATTTTGCAGCAATTCTAACGAAATTCATGAATTCTAATACGAAAAAGCTAATTAAAAATGTATAGAAGGGGGGGAAATGGGATATTTGAAACATTCCGCCCATCTGGCTGGAAATGAGACGAATGTTTGCCCTACTCGAAGAACACAAGGAAATGAAAAGAAAAAGAGGGCAGGAGACGGAAGTTTGATGCGGCCATTTTTAGCCTAATTTTTGAGCCATTATTTACATTTAGACAAAGATGAACATGATGCAAAACGTGATAATAGCCACCGTGTTTAAAATGTCTGCAAAATAAAAAAACGCCAAAAAATATCAAAATTTTGAGAAAATAGCAAAATTCGTATTATAGTGTTTTTTAATTCATAAAAATCAATAACATCAGTAAAAGTAAGCCTCTACATGCCAAGGAGGCAAACAAATAAAACTTGTAATGATCGAAAAACCGGCAAAAAAATTATAAAAACACTAAAAAATCGGTATTGACGTAGATTGAAAAATCTGATTTAGATGGCAAGTCATTTATTATTTTTAAACTTGTAGAGGAAGTACAAATATTTCGATTTTAAAAGACCATACCTTTAACTGCTCCTTTTTTCCCTCTGGTGGATATGGGGAATGCATAGCTGAAGATCCACCACCACCCGTATAGCTCAATTCAGATGGCATCAAAGATGATGTGTCAGCCTGCAAAAATCCACACCTTTTGAAGCACATTTTGGACTGAATTTTATTCAGCAACCCCAGGTTTTCAGGGGGAAATCGCAAGGGGCGCTGAATAATATTTTGACTCGTAATAGCTTCCCGAATTGAAGGGAAACGCTTTTAAAATACTAAAAAATTTTGAGATCGTAAAAGTTAGTTTTTTTTAAACCAAATTCTTGTAAAATGTCTATCATTTAATTGAGTGAAGTTTTTAATTTGTCGCAAAACACTTTAATTTTTGAAAAGTTGTAGCAGTGTCTCGTAATAGCTTGGCGAATTGGAGCAGAAACGGCTTAAAATGATAGAAAATTAAGAAAACCGGAAATTGACATTTTAAAAGTAAAATCAGTTAAACTGGTCGCCAGTTAATCTATTAAAAATGTTATCTCAATTATAGAATATATAAATTTCCAAAAAAATCTAGGCTGCTTCAATCAATTTTTGGCAAACTGACTCCCAGAAAATCGATTGGCGAAACCTTTTCCCATAGAAAATCCCGATTCCCGGCTTACGGTAGATTGGGTGACTTTCAGAAAGGGCTTTCAGGGGATCAGACAAAAGTTACGGATTTTCTGGGGCCTAATAAAAATCCAAAAAAAATCGGATTAGGGCCGGGATACGGTAGTTTTTGATAGTTTAGTGTTTTCCTAGCTAAAATTTCTGCAAAAAGCAACAAGATAGAGTGCCAAGAAAAATAAAAAATGAGCTATCAAAAGCAATGTGACCCACGAGGGGGAGGGAGTGGGTAATAAAGACCCGTATCGCTCCGAAAAAGGAAGGAAAGGGGAGGAAGAAGATGGCAGGACGGGGCGTACTGCTCTCTATCTCTCTCTCACTCTCTCTCTCTCTCTCTCTCTCTCTCTATCCCTCTCTCTCTCTCTCTCTTTCCCCACTCTCTATTCCCTGACCCTCAAATTAGCGTTTTTGCGACGTAAAACCGGCTCTTTTGAAAGGAGGCCTACAAAAAGAGAAGAAGCCACGAGTCGATGGCCTCTAGGGCACCCAACTAATCATCGGCCTTGAAAAGGGCATCTTTTGATGCTTCTAAAAGTTATGGGGCAACGACTGCCATTGATTGAAATCCATTAATCTTTGATCCTCAAGAAAAAAGCCTTAAAAAACGTTTTTGCAACTTTTTGGTACACATAGGATAACGGGGGGGGGGGGAAAAAATAACGGGGGGGCACTCAAACTTTTTATATGATAAAAGTATTTTTAAATATGCTTTTTTCGGGCTGTAAAAAAAACTCTTAGTATATTTTTCGGTCCTCTATCGAATGGCATTTTCAAAATATCGAAAATATTCAAAACGCCGAAAATTTTTTTCCCCCCCTGTTATCCTATGTGCTGCCCATAGTTTTCAAAAATAGTTTTTAGGCCATAAAACTTTCATAATACATTTTTTCGCGTTGTAAAAAAATCTCTTAGTATATTTTTTGATGTTCTATCGATTCGCGTTTTCAAAATATCGAAAATCTCAAAAATTTGGCTTTCCCCCCCCCGTTATCCTATGTGCTGCCCATGGATTTTGATAAATTTTTGTTTATTCGATAAAAAATTTCATTTACATTATTTCGGGCTGAAATTAATTTTCCTAGGGCAGTTTTCGACGCTTTATCGAATGACGTTTTCAAAATACCGAAAATGTCGAAAATGTCGAAAATTTGACTTTCCCCCCCTGTTATCCTTTGTGCTGCCCATAGATTTTCCTCAATTTTTGTTTATTCAATAAAAAATTTCGATTACATTATTTTGGGCTGAAATTAATTCTCTTAGTATATTTTTCGACGCTCTATCGAATGGCACTCGCAAAATCCCAAAGTAATTGCAAATTTCATAATAATGAGTGCCCCCCCGTTATTTTATTCCCCCCCCCCGTTATCCTATGTGTACCACTTTTTTAATTAAGTTAACTGAAGTCTTTTTATTAAACTTATTGGCATAATGGATATTTTTCAGGATTTTATCTTTCTAAAATCTAAACTGTCATCCTTCCCTTCAAAACCACGAATTAGACTGAATAAATGAAATCATTTTTGCTTAGAAATAGTCGCTTGGAAATCGGAGATTACGGTAGATCTAGGTGATTTTTTCGGGGTTTTTCGAGATTTTCTGAGCCACCAAAATTAAAGGTCCTGCGGGGACCTATGTGGCGATTTTAGCAGCAAAAATCGGAACCCAAAGCTAAAAAATAGCAATTATGGAGAAGAGTGAAAATTCAAAAATCTATTAAAAACTGGAAAAAATAAACCATATTTTTTAAAGTATCTTCAACGAATTTGCAATAAAACTTTCATTTTCACAAGTCTATGATGAATTCAGCCTATCACAAAGTCTAGCCGATAATTCATTAGAAAAAATAAAAAATTTGCGAAAATTACGGTAGCTTTTAAGTTGAATTTTAACTCGAAAGCGCAAAGCTCAAGCTCCCAGCCAGCTCCGTCAAAACACCAAGAATGAGAGCGGTGGGGGTGGCTGCGCGCTTCAGAATCTCTAAAGTCTGGAGCCCCCGAAAGAGGCGTCCCGGTGTGACCCTTGGGGATTTGAAAGGGACCCACAAAAGAGATCCGAAAGGCCAAAAGACACGTTTTTGCCTGGCTTGCAAAACATGAAAGGAGCACGACTCCCTTGAAGGAGAAAGAACAGATAAAGACGAACCTTTTTAGTGTATTCGGAGACTGGGGTCTCTGAGGAAGGGAGAACGACATCTGAAGAAGAAGTGGAAGAGAGCAGAGGGGATGACATTCTATCGCTCTCTGCCGCTGTCTCTCGCTTTCTCGCTTTCTGCACTCTCGATGCGTAGGGGGTGGTCGCTTTGCAGTCTCTGAAAAGTTTGTACAGAGTAGTCAAAGGTAAAGAGAGAGGGGAGAGAGAGAGAGCGAGAGAGACAGAGAGAGAGAGAGAGAGCAAGGGCAATAGATAAGAAAAGAAAACAAATAAAACTGTTTGTTGCGAATGGCAGGCGAGGGTCGGTAAAGAAAGTTATAAAGCTAAGGAATTGGTGAAAGACGGTCAATTTTCAATCATATTTGGAAAATGCTATATTTTCCATCCTAAAGGGACGAGGAAGGCAAACATCTATGGAAAATTAATGTTTCAAATTTTTGGTAGTTTTTTGAAAGCATCAAAAACCAAAATTTAATAGAATTTACCAAATTTGGTAGATATGTCATTTTACAAAAATTTGACCCGAAAGCCCTCTGATTTTCGATTCCTAAAAAATCCGTATTTTTATTAAATATACTTGGGTGCCAGCAGGTGAAATTCCTGACCTTTTCAATCCGTTCAAACCGTTCAAATATGACTTTCTCGTGTTCAGAATTCGTCTTAATCCTCAGTAAACAAAAATTCGTATTCCTATAGTCAGACCCGCCGATTTCATTAAAGTTTCGCGTTTTTGGGTTTTTCGAAATCCCGAGTCGAAATCGTAAAACTCTCGGGGCCAGAGGGCGAAAGAAATCGAGGGAAATGGGGGCACAGATTTAGAATCGAGATAGGCAACAAACAAACCAGAAAAAGAGAGAGACAGAGAGAGAGAGCGAGAGAGAGAGAGAGAGGGAGAGAGATAAAGAGAAAAAGAGCGACACAGAGAGACACAGAGACACAGTGGGAGAGAAACGAGTAGTAAAAGTACGGTTGTACTTTTTAGCATGTTGTCTTTCGATTCCATGAATCCTATTTGGAGAGTCGCGGTGTTTACGGCGATAGAGAGAGAGAGAGAGAATGAGAGAGAGAGAGAGGGAGAAAGAGGGCTAGAGACAGACTTACAAACAAACATCAGAGCCATATGAATAAGCATTGAACCGAACGCGTGGTTCTGAAAAGGCCCAGACAACACGTGCGCCCCTTCAGCCAGTCAACTGAAAGAAAAAACTCGAAAGGGAACGAGGGAACGAACCGGAAATGTTGATCATCGACCGATCTGGCGGGCAGAACGGCCGGGAATCGGGTTAGCGAATAAAAATAGATAACGAAATTATGTAGAAAACCGAAAAAGTTTGAGGATTTTGTGGCGTAATCGAATAAACCCGAAAATCGATATACTAAAAACCCGAATTTTCCATGAGCCTTCTTTCAATCGGCCGCCACGCCGCGCGAAATCCCGAACATAATGGGGCTAATAATTTTCCGGGACGGAAAATGTGGGGATTGTGAGGGTCCTTCTCCTGCCGCGTGCTATTTCTAAAGGTGTCGAGGGGATTACGGAAAAAGAAAGGAGTATTCATGGGGATTCTAACAAAAGAAAGGATAACAGCGCCATTTTTGGCAATAATGGGATTTCCGATCGAGACGCGACCTTATCACTAGCGCGTAATTGGCACGCTTTCGCTGCGGACGCACTAATGGGAGGTGTATTGCCTTGGAGTCGGATTGGTCAGCTAAAAACGAGAAATGTCGATACATATCCATATCAGTCAACAGATTTTCAAAAAAAAAACACGAAACCATCTAGAAAAATCATCCTAAAACATTTAAAATTGGCCTAAAGAGGTGCATTTTCAACGTATTTTTAGCCAGGTAATTGACTCACTGGAATAAACTATTAAAAAGAATGGCCAGAGCGTTGGAAGATGGAGGATTTTTGATGCGTTTGAATTTTATTGTACGTGTCTGACATCGACTTAAAATTTTTAAGAATTCCTGGAAAGTATCGTAACTTTTCTTGTTCTCTAAAAAAGACGGAAAGAAAAAAATCCAAAATTAGCTCTCCCAAAGAAAAAGGCAATTTGTAATCCAATCCCCCGCTGGAATCGGCTTGAAATTCCGCCCTGAAAAACGCCGATAGCCAAACTAGAAGCTTGCCGAACGGGAAAACCTAAATTTCAGTGTTTATTTTCTCAAAAAAGCGGCAGATTAGCTTGCGAGATAGACAGAGGGTCAAACTGACGGACAGACAGACAGCTGGCACTCGAAAGAGAAATAGAAATTGTTTGTGTGTATGCTAGGGGGCAGGTCATTTGAGCCGATAGAAGGAGGGAAAGAGAGGGCCAAGTTGTACACATTCGGAGGGAGAGGGAGAGAGAGAGTGGGGAGAGAGAGGAGAGGGACAGACAAACGGGGGCATGGGCCTGGGAATCGATCTCTCTCTCTCTCTCTCTCTCTCCCTCTCCCACTTTTCTCTCGCTTCAAATGCCCTAAACCAGTAGTGATTCGGGGCACTCGCCTGCAAATTCTCGCACTCCGCTAAAATGCACTTTACGGGGGCATCGAGTCGAAAAATCTGGTTTTTCCAGCTAGAATCCAGCTTTTTTCAGGGCAAACTAGCAGCGATTTTTTAGGAATTCCTAACAGCTCTAAATTGTGACCAATAACGCGGCAAAAAATCCTTAAAAAGCTATATCTGGAATTTTTTTCGGCAAGCTGGCAAAGATCCTTGAGGAAATTCATTAACTCCAAAAGTGGTACCATTAAATCAAGCCCAACTTGATGCATTTGTCGACGGAAAAACCAATTTACCAAGAATCGGGACTGGAGATTAATGGGTATTTTTGGGCCTTAGAATATGGGGAATGGCCAGAGCTCATGGTTCAGGGCAAGGCAGTAAAGAATTTGGGTGAAAATCAAGGATTATACGAAAAAAAACAAGCAGAGGAATTGTTTGAAAAAATGTAGGCATTGAGACAAGCAAAAATTCTTTAAGAAAAGCCCCCTTAAATTCAGAGCAAGCTGGCAGAGGTTATTGGGGGAAGACAACTAGCAGTGATCCCTTAGAAAAATGGGAAAGCTGGCGGAACCGGCTTGCGAAAATCGGCAAGCTAGCAACGAGCCTTTAGGAAAAAGGGCATAGTAGCAGCGATGAGCTACGACAAACTATATTAAAGTGAGGTAAGCCAGCAAAGCTACCTTGGGAAAATCGGGATTCAAGCCCCAAAAACCGGCCAATAATTGCCTAGCTTCGACTCTGACTGCCGATTTGCCAATATCCGAAGCCCCAAACTTCCCATTCCTCGCCGAAAATATTTTCTCCCCAAAATAGTGCCCCTCCCTACTCGACGATAATCACATTCATCACACGAGGGGCTGCCGTGCTTTTTTGAGCTTTTCCTAGCAGAGGCAGATATTTTTAGCAGCTTCAAGTGGGAGGGGGAACGCTTGAAAAATTGATTATTTTTGTGGAGGCGGGAGGAGAAGCCGTTCTGCAAGTTGGAAAATGGAAGGATGGGACGAGGCGGGAGAGAGAGATGAAAAAAGCTGAAAGTGAGCTGACATCGAGACAGTTGTCAACTGCAGTTCGGAGGAAAGCCCTAAAAAATAAGACAAATAAAGTTTTAGAAAAATCTATGTTGTGGGTAAATTGGAATTTAAGGTTTTAAGAATTGTTAGCTTCTAAAAATAGTGCAATTGAAAAAGCCATTTAGATCCGTCAAATTAAATTTTCACCGATACTTGAATTTGAAGCTCTACTTTAGTTTCAAATCAAATTTCGTGATTTTCAAGCGTTGTAATTACCTTTGTGCACTTTATTCTATTGTCGTCCATTAAAAATCATTCCAAACAATATAAAAACATTCAGACAAAAATGATTATGCACATGAGATCATCCGATACATCGAACTGACATGATTTCCGTTTTCTTCGAAGGCGCGAGGCCACAAAAAAATGGGGGGCAGGAAAAAAAGCAAGCGCTTCAAAAATAGCGTGGAAAATAGCGTCGATAATAAGCAAAGGCTGAAAAAATTTAAAATGAACAAAATAAGGGCAACAATACAGTTGGACGTTGCGAATTGGAATCGACGGAAATGGTGACTAGTGATAAAGACACAACCAGGGAGAGAGAGCCGTTTCGAGTGGGAGATAAGAATAGGAATTATAACTCGAGGGTACGGAGCAGAGATCACTACGGAATACAACCAGACACAAACACCGCCAAAAACACCGTGAAAATACTTTTAAATTTAATTAAATAAATCAAATCGAAAAAAAATAAATTTGAAAAAATTAGAGTTTGTGAAAATCGAATTTCGGCAAATTTTTAAAGATCGAAAATTGTTTTTGGCGATTTTCGGGTATGCACAAACATACTTAAATTAAAATAAGAAGTAAAGAAGCAAAGCTAAATACAGCAAAGCGAGAGAGCGAGAGTAAAAGAGCGAAATCGGCAAGCGAGCTATCTGGGGGACTAGAATACAGTATCTGGCATGCGTATTATTTCTCAGCGTAGGTATCAACAAGCGGAAATGAGAGCCTCGCGCGCTTCAAGTCACAGTGAATACAGCTTCAATTGTTCCTCCATTTCCCCCTTGTCGTGAATTCCGAATTTTTGTTCGTCAGCCATCATTAGGCGGTAGATTTGCTCCATTTGTTGTTGGCGGATTCTGGCTTCCTAGAAAAATTACAAAATTAATTGATAAAAGAAAATCGATAAAAGAAGCTATTCTTCTTCGGATTTTCCTAGTGATCTCTGCTAGCTAGCCAATTTTCTAGCTACCCAACCTCGAATTCGGAAATTTTGACAGTTCCAAAAAATCTATGTTAAGATGCCAATTGAATGCTAAAATTCTTTGAACTCTTAAAGAAACTCTGCTAGTCTGCCTGAGCTTCCTTAATTCCAAAACTTCCAAAATGATCTCTGCTAGCCTGCCCGTTTAAAGCGATTTCTCAAAGAATCTCCGCTAGCTTGCGTATTTTCTAGCGCTTCTCCCTCTTTTTGATCCCTACAGATTTCCAAGATACTTCTGCTAGCCTGCTCATTCAATTGTCCGAAAAATCTCTGCTAGCTTGCTGTCATCTTTTCATTTTTGCTTTCAGATTTTTAGCCCGCCAGCCTTCCCCAATGATCTCTGCCAACCTGCCTTCCCATGGCAACTCTACGTTACTTTCCAATTCAGGTTCATGCTCAATTTATGCATGCTGCCATTTCCCGATATCCTCCTAACATCCCCTCTATCCATTCCTCTCGATTTGCGTCAACCCGGCACGTTATCTACTGACAAATTCATAAGGTAGCAGCCATGGCAAGGGGGGCTGACACCACATTTCGAAAGGGACGGAAAAGGGGCAATGAAGCCAGATCCAAGTACGATAAGCTTGCAAAGCTATCAGGTCGCCAAAGTAGGCTACGCTATTGGGTTTCGGAGTGGAAAAAAAGTACGATCAAAATCAAATGCTGGCATTTACACAAAAATTTAGAGCACAGGATATTTTTTTGGGGTCTAAGGTCCCTAACGTGGATCGATAACATAATAAAGTAATTTGTAAGGCAAACTTTATACTTTCTTGAGCCCAGAAATGCGTTTTCTATTACCTCATCCCTCTGTTCATCGCTCATCCGCTTCTCAATCGATCGGGATTTCGCACGAATTTCTGCGGTTTTCAGCTTGCCATGCAATTCGCCCAGTTTCCCGATTAAATCCTCATCGGCCAGACTGCTCAGGTCCATGTCGAGGGCCATGTCGGTGTTGATCAGTGTCTGAAATGAAATTAAAAATAAGGGTTAAAAGCCGAAAAATGAAAAATTAGAAATCATGCTATCCACTTACGCGATCAAAAGTGTTGTTAGTCTTCTTTTCCTTCTTATCCGCCTCCTTCTCCTTATTTTCTTTGTATTTCTTTTCCCTTTTGTTATTATTGTTGTGCTTCTTGCCCTTCTTCCCCTTGATGTTCATCTCCTTCTTTGGCTTCAATTCCATTTCTTCCTCTTCCTCTTTTTCCTCGTTCTCCGCATCCATCGTGAACCGATATTTTGTCTCGATCAGCGCCTTGCCGTCTTCCTAAAAATTAGCTTTTTTCATAAAAAATCAGTTATCAATCAGTTAAATTAAACCAAATCCAAAACCTAACCGATTGCCTGATGAGATCTTTGCCTTTTCGCAACGCCGCGATCATTTTCTTGTCAATACAGCCGAGCAGGGCTGCTGGGATATGGGGGTCTAGAATAAAAGTTTTCGAAACATCAAAAGGTGCCAAATTTAATGTGCCTCAGAGCTCAAAAAATTGCTATGATGTCGACGGTTTCTATGGGTTCTAGTGGCATCTGGCAAAACTGATAAAATAACTAGCAAATCAAAGCAATATCACACGAATCGTGAAGCTAGATCAAAAGACGGAATTTCCGAGGCCACGCCCACTTCAAATCAAGGCTAGCATACTTTAATATTTTAGGGGTTCGGGATTAAGATAAATAATTCTCAAAAATATGGAATTTTAACGAAAGAGAGAATGAAAGAAACACAACCGAGAAATTAGAGAAACACGATGGATCCAGGTTCCCAAATGGGCTCTGCTAGCCTGCCTTGGGCCTTCAAAAATTAGAATTCTGACCTGCGTGCTCAATTTTATCGCCCTCCTCTTCCTCCTTTTCCTTCTGATTTGGCACTGCCTTCTTCACAGTCCTTCTTGCCGAAAAGTGAGCAGCAGCGAAAGAGAATGTTCCGATTACGACTCCGAGCTTAAAAAAGGTATCCGTTAGGAAAAACTGGTTAAAACGGGCTACAAACTACACTACTAGACATTACAAAATTCCGAGAGCTTACCAATAGCGTCGAGATAATGACGGTCCAAGGGTTCTCATGGGTAAAGAGGGTTATCCCCCTCGGGAATCGACCATTCATCGTCGGGAGATCAAATGATCGAATCCATTCTCGAAATAATTCCCAATATTCCCCGATTGGGATACGGAGGGACATTGGGTCCTGGAAATACGAAAAATAAACGATTACAAGCCAGAATTAAAGTAACACAAAGAATTGCAACAACTCAATCTCGGAAAATTACAAAAACATGAATTTACGCGAGAAAAACGCACAGCAAGAAGTTTAAAAATAGGCAAAACTTGCAGAGCATGCTAGCAGAAACCTTTGAGGAAAGGAAATCTAATAAAGTTGGAAGGAGCTAGCAGAGTTCATTATGGATTTGAACTCCCTGTTCTCTAAAAAGCTAATTGAAAGCCAAGTTTACGAGATTAACGGAGAAAACCAGCAGAACCCATTCAGGGAAAATCAAACAAATTTGGAAGAACCAGCATAGCTAGAGCAACGAGGATTGCAAATAAAATAAAATCTGGGCAGACTAGCAGAGATCACTGGGGGTCTGACCTGCCAAGTCCCTTAAAAACAGATTGAAAACCAAGTCGACGCGATCCAAGGGCCAGGAGAGACCATTCAGGCAAACTCACATAACTTTTTGGACAACTTTCAACGACAACGAGCTCAGATGAATCTTGCCTTCCAAATCTCTTGAAAAAAAAGAAAAGTGCTAGAGATAGAATTGACTCCGCTAGCAGAGACCATTGAAGGTGGAATAGCACTGATCCGTATGGATTGTGCCTTTAATTCCCCTTCAAAGCTAAAAATCTATACGAATATGGTAACTCCCGACAAAGTTGGTGACTAATTCCGGCTATAGAAAATGAATTTTTGAGGAAGGCAAATGGATGGGAAGACTTTGCGTGTTGGTCAGAAGGGGGATAAGATGAGGTGGAGGGGGATGAGAGGGGATGAGGGTGGTCATGGTAACCAAATGGATCTGGATGGAAATATGGAAAAGGAGGGGAATGGAGACACGCTAATATCCGCCCATAGTATCCCCGGAATATAAGACGGCGATTATCCCCTGGTGGATTTAGCTGGTCATCTCGCGGACAAAGCAATCAAATGGAAAATATTTGTCCACGAGAAAAGTACTGTAATGACGTCAAAAACGGAAATAATTGTATTCAAGGTGACGAAGCCATAAAGAAACATGGAAAACATTAACTAGACCATCCACATAGAGTTTCAGGTTTTTCACCGGCGAAAATCAAATTTATGGTTTAAATTTGCAGAAATAACATAAAAAGCTCCCAAAAGCGGACTTTATTCTTCTAAGACTACCTGTGAAGTATTGTGGTTACCCTAGCATCTTCCGTGCCAATTTTTCGCACATTAGCTGCTTTAAATAGATCGTTTTCTAAAAAATGTCCTGTGGCGCCAACTTAGCGCGGGCGATCATAATTTGCTAACTAACAGGCTAGAACGCCTTCAGAAATGTGACTAAATGAATAATACTGCTTTTTTCAATAATAGCTCCTTAAATTTTGCGATTTTTTAGCGCAAAACCACTAAAAAAGTGTCAAACGTGCCAAAATAGGTTCGAAAATTCGATAAATTTCTTAGATGGCAGCCAGCCTACCGTATCTGTAATTTTCCAGACGCAGAAATACTGAGAATTCGCAAAAAGTCCAGAATTGTAGTCAAAATCGGGCCATGTGTGAGGGGTGCCCGACTTAGCCGCTGTGTGTCTGCTTGTCTGCACTCTAGCGCTTCTGTTGCTCTTTCCCTTCCCCCATTCCCCTTATGGCTAAAAAACAACCGCCATGGGTAATTCGCATCCAAAAATAGACAAAATGCCTCGCTCTCATTAGAGGCACGAGAAAAATGGGGGCGGGCTACATTTTTCAAGCAAAACCAGGGTTGAAAAGCCGCTACGCGGCTTTTCACCCCTGGCCTTCGCGCACGGAACTCTCAAAGTTGGGCACTTTGCATTATTCGAGCGAAGAGCGAGAGGGAACCCAAAAACGGCAAAAGCAACCGGCCGCTAGCGCGACAAAATTCGAAATGAGCCTCCTTACGCCTCGTATGCAAATGAGGATATTCCCATATGTTTTAAAGTCGCTAAAATAAGGCATAAATCGTCATTTTATTAAAGACCAGCGAGGGAGGAGCCGCTTCGCGACTCTCCCCCGCTGGACCCCGTCTAGGCCCTATGAATCGAGCGCCCTTACACATAAAGTTACCCTGAAGAAAGAAAAACACATCTCCCATGCAAACCTCTTTGTATTGGCATGCGGCGCAAGCTTAAATTGCTAGTGTCGTTATTAGGCCTGCGGCGCAGCGGCGCCGGCTCGAGCGGTGTCTTTCGAGATAAAGCCTGTCGCAAGCTTGAGCGTTAACCCCCTTCTTTAGCCTGCGGCGCTAGCTTGAGCGGCTAGCTTCGTTCTAAAGCCTGCGGCGCTAGCTTCAATAGTTGGTTTTATTCGTTAGCCTGCGGCGCAAGCTTGAGCGGCTAGCTTCGTTTTAAAGCCTGCGGCGCAAGTTTGAGCGGCTAGCTTTGTTCTAAAGCCTGCGGCGCAAGCTTGAGCGGCTAGCTTTGTTCTAAAGCCTGCGGCGCATCTTGAGCGGCTAGCTTCCTTCTAAAGCCCACGACGCTAGCTTGAGCGGCTAGCTTCGTTCTAAAGCCTGCGGCGCTAGCTTCAATGGTTGGTTTTATTCGTTAGCCTGCGGCGCAAGCTTGAGCGGCTAGCTTCGTTCTAAAGCCTGCGGCGCATGCTTAAGCGGCTGGCTTCGTTCTAAAGCCTGCGGCGCATGCTTGAGCGGGTAGCTTCATTCTATAGATTGCGGCTTGAGTGACTAATTTCATAATAACGTCCCTACACGGAAATCCACTCCGAAACGCACTTTCCGAGCAAAAAGCAAAACAACTACGATATCCGAGGATCGAACCTCCGATGGTTAGATTAGCACGGCGAAGCGCTAACCACTACACCATGCAATCCATGGCAGCATGCGCCAAACACCCGTTTTATGTCTTAAGAGGACTGCCCCGGGGCAGGGGAAGGAAAGGCATCGAGAGGCAGATCCAAAGAGACGACCAAACTCGCGAGTGCAACTGGCAAGAATGAGGAAATTTGTATTTTTTCACATTATGCAAATTAGCCCTCCCGGACCCCCAAAAATCAATAAAACCGGCTTTAACTTTGTAAACTTGTATTTTATCTGGATTCGGAAAGCGCCATCGGAAAGAGGAGGGTCGATTCCCCCGGGTGACTGAGAATTAAGGCATTTTGGACACGGGAAGTCCCTCAAATCGGGCCTCGAAAGTGACATCCACACACACACACACACACACACACACACACACACACACACACACACACACACACACACACACACACACACACACACACACACACACACACACACACACACACACACACACACACACACACACACACACACACACACACACACACACACACACACACACACACACACACACACACACACACACACACACACACACACACACACACACACACACACACACACACACACACACACACACACACACACACACACACACACACACACACACACACACACACACACACACACACACACACACACACACACACACACACACACACACACACACACACACCACACACACACACACACACACACACACACACACACACACACACACACACACACACACACACACACACACAACACACACACACACACCACACACACACACCACACACCACCCCACACACACACACACACACACACACACACACACACACACACACACACACACACACACACACACACACACACACACACACACACACACACACACACACACACACACACACACACACACACACACACACACACACACACACACACACACACACACACACACACACACACACACACACACACACACACACACACACACACACACACACACACACACACACAAAGAAACGCGACCAAATTATATAAGGTAGGATCTGATAAGCTTGCAGTAATCTACGCCCTCGACTTCCCCTAACTACCTTTCGACTGGGTCCTATAATTGATCCCCCTTTCCGATATCTTGGTAACCCGGTTTTTCGAGCCATTTATGCAAAGTGTCCACACACACACACACACACATGAACTATTTTTTTTATATATAGTAGGATTGGCCTTGGAATCCAGAGGCATTTTTGAGGAGCTACTCACGGTTCGGAAACGAGCGAACGAAACATACAACAGACATTATTAATTACGCTTTTCCTCGTATATTTTTAACCTTGTCGAGTGCAGAAATGTAGGCAAAACACGAACTTCTTTGGCACGACGTTTTTATTGAAAAACTTCATAGACGGGTGTGTCACAAACATTTAAAAGGTCTGATCGACCCAATAGAAGGGGATTTTATCCTGTTCACGAAACTTCTGGGCGAATATCGAACAGTTTTTGTTGAACGAATCAACAAGCGGACGCAAAAAGTGTACTTTACATTTGAGTGTCATGAACAACAGGCATGTGTAGACTAGGGTTGTTTCTCGGAACGGACCGAGATTCGGAACTTTCGGAACAAAGACTGGTCGGAACGATCCGAGTTTCGGGTGTTCCGGCTGTTCCGAGATTCGGAACATTCCGAGATTCAAATGTTGCGGTTGTTCCGAGATTCATATTGTTCCGACTGTTCCGAGATTCGGAACGTTCCGAGATTTGGCTGTTCCGGCTGTTCCGAGATTCGGAACATTCCGAGATTCAAATGTTGCGGTTGTTCCGAGATTCATATTGTTCCGACTGTTCCGAGATTCGGAACGTTCCGAGATTTGGCTGTTCCGGCTGTTCCGAGATTCGGAACAGTCCGAGATTGAGCTGTTCCGAGATTCAGATTTTTCGCACGTAAATTTCGATTTCATGTAAATCGTGTCGATTACATGTAAATGTTTCGACTTGGCCGCCCCACGGCAGTGTGGGCGCAACTGAACACCTAATTTCGTCGATGGTTAGATATCGAATCCGGAAATTAGGGAAATGAGAACGAATTGGGGATCGAATCGAATCGAAATTCAGTCGTGTTTGGAAATTTACATGCGAAAAAATTTGAATCTCGGAACAGCCTAATCTCGGACTGTTCCGAATCTCGGAACAGTCGGAACCAGGGTTGGTCATTTTGCGTCCCGTCCCCGTCCGTACGCGTCCGGACGGGGACGCGGGACCGTCACCCTAATTTGCATAAAATTAGGGGACGGACGGGGACGCGTCCGGGAAGGGACGGACGGACAGACGGGGGACGGGGTGACGGTCAGCGTCACCCCGTCCCCGATGCAAATTCCAAAATGCAAATTGTTTTCCCACCAGTAATTATTTCGGGACTCCTTCTCGTTTCTTTAGGGGAGTCAAAAATACATGCAACTCGGGCCAAGCTGGAAGTTATACCTAGATGGCGTCGGCGCTGCAGATAATCACCATTTTTTTGGAATTGGCTACAGAGCTTAAAAATTCGAGATATTCAAGTTAGAAAGCAATTGGTTACTTACTCTACATGCTAGGTTATAAGCACTTCATCGTAATCATGCTATCCAGGTTTTGTGCCTTGCTCTGGGAAATTCTAAACCCAGCCGATGCGTGATTTGAATGCCATTACTTTATCCCCGTAATTTGCATCGGGGACGGGGACGCTGCCCCGTCACCGTCCGTCCCCACCGTCCCCGTCCCGTCCCCGTCTGTCCCCATTTCGGGATGCAAATTAGGGGACGGGGACGCGTCCCCGTCCCCGTCCGTCCCGTCCGTCCCTGAACAACCCTGGTCGGAACAGCCAAATCTCGGATCGTTCCGACATCCGGAACAGTCGGGACGGTTGCTGTTCCGAATGTTCCGAATCTCGGCCTGTTCCGAGAAACAACCATAGTGTAGACCCTAATTAGCAAGTCAAAGCAACCAAAAAAAACTGTGTATTAGGAACCAGATAGTGACCCAAGCGGCCGGAGAGTAGAGTGAGGCGCACAACGAAACAAAGACAATTAAAAATGGGAAAAAATGATATAAATATAAAGGCCGCAACCAGACCCGTAGCGGAACCGAAATTTCGGGGGGCCAAAAATTTTGGCGACCCCCCCCGCCGGTCGTCACTTTTAAAACATCCCAAAATCGCGCCAATAATAGCGCCGCAGGGAAAAAAAATAGCAAAAAAGCGTTCGCTACACTCAAATTCGTGTGAAAACAAGGCAGAAAACGCGCCGCAGGCGAAACTTTTTTATGAACAATTGATTCACCAATGAAAAACCAGCGCCGCAGGCAAAAAATTTTGAAAAAATAGGCTTGATATAAGTACTGTTTGAAAAACAGTAATAAACAGCGCCGCAGGCAGAAAAATTTTGTAACTAAAAATCATAAGGGTCCCCCCTTATGAATTTTTCAGACTTTGACCGATTTCGGGGGGCCCAGGCCCCCTGGGCCCCTCCTACGGGCCTGGCCGCAACGAACAAATGGAGGAATCAGGAAAAATTTAGGCTCAGTGATCCAATGGCCAAAAAATCGATCTGATGGGGATCGTTCAGCTGCCTCCACTTCGTGGGATTTCTCCGGAAGTCGTCCAATGATAGGGTACAACAGCGCATTGTGCATCAGATGACTCCTAAAATCAGAAAATGACTCGCTAAATCCAAGGTCACGGAGGAGGGGGCGAATCGTGAAGATGTGTCTGTATGTGGGAATAGTGTCCCATGCCTTTAGGAATTTGTCAGGGTGAGCAGCGGAATCCTCCAATTGCCCTTTATTTTGAGGCTGCAATTCGGGGATTAGTTACCTGCGCTTCTGCCGTTTTTTCTAAAACGATAGTCGAAATCTCTGGCACTACATAGTTGTGTTCATAAAACGGTTCCTAAAAGTAAAAATATCGTTTTTGGTTTATGTATCACCAACCTTTTTTAAGTCATTAGCTTCCTGTAGCGCTTTTGTCACGGCCGGTCTGTTTTCCGGATGTGGGCTGACGCACCTGTGATGCTATTAATATAATAAACATAGAACCAACTTTTCTATTAGGTCAGCAACGGGTTTTTCACAATTCGCTCTTGCTAGAGGGTCCCAGCAAGAAATTCGCGAGATGAGCATCACGGTATTTTTCGCTTCATGAAATGTAAGGCTGAAAATGAAAAATGGTAGCAATTTGGCAGGCAGACAACTGGATTCACAAGAAGGCTTTTCTGAACAAGAATTTTCAGCCAATTCTGAGTCCGGATCTATACGGGCTTCCCTAGTGAAATATCTCTTGAACGGAAACGAATCAGAATGACAGAATAAAATGGTATATAGTATATTTTGCTTAAAGGTACACTAAAGTTTCGTTGCTTTGGCTACCGCCCGGAAACCGTCCGCGGGATAGCAAACAGGGTTACGGTAGGCGCTCGCCGCGGAGCAAAACCGAACCCGGCGCGCTCGCCTTGGGCAAGCGCCACAGACCAGTAGGCCAAGGGAGAGACGGGAGTGGGGAAGGGGAAGAGCGGCCATGACTCGCGTTAGGAAATACTCGGGCCCGAATCGGCAAAACGGTATACGGTAGCGGATCCACGTTTTAGCAAGCAACCTTTTGGACCGTATCAAAATTTTATTCGTCTTCTCCTCGTCTTCAGTATTTTACAGCTTTCACAATAAAAGTGAATAAAGAAAGGGTAAAAAAAAAGAAGAAAAAGAATTTTATTGAAAAAAATTGATTTGGACGCCGGCAGCACAGAGAGGCACGCATCCACGTTGGTTTTCGACTTTTTGCTACATGCTTTACTCAATTTGACTGTAGACAAAGCTTCGTCAAATCAATAACAACTATTCTTGCTCCTCGCGCTGTTGGGCAAAGAAGTTATTTCAAGCCTTCCGCTTTTGCCTTTGATAATTTTTGCCGGGTTTTCTAAGCGGCGTAGCTTTTCGAGTTGCTACAGGGAGTTTTAGTTTTTTCGAGTTTTAGTTAATGCTAGTTTTTGTGTTTTCTTCCGGATTTTTATTTCTTAACATTCTTAACTTTCTTAACATAGTTTAAAGCTTTGTCTACAGTGAATTGAGTAAGGTATGTAGAAAAATTCCAAAACCAGCGTGGACGCGTGCCTTTCTGTGCTGCCGGCATAGAACTAACTCTTTTTTCTTCAATAAGATGCACTTTTATTTTGAAAAACTGTAACTTGCTGAAGAATAGTCAAGCTTTTTTTATACAGTCCAAAAGGTTGCTGGCTAAAACGTGAAAACGCTACCGTATACCGTTTTGCCGATTCGGGCCCGAGTATTTCCTAACGCCACTGCGGCCATGCAGGGTCAGGGCGAGCGGCGGCAGAGAGCCCGAATTCCCGATCTCTGCGAAAATTTTTGAAAAAGATTTTACTGTACCTTTCAAGATGAAAGAATTTGAGCTAAAATGATCTTAAAATGGCTGTAACTTTTTAAAGCGAGCTAGTTAGCAAAAATGAAAACCAGATTCGGCATCAGCGCAAAATTCTGCACAAAATAGGCCCCCGGTTTTGACTCAAAACTCCATTCACACCAAAAAACGTCTCCGTGTTAGACTTACAAGGAGTGCTTTTTTGAGTCATCTGCAAAACCTTACGAGACCTAGCTCATTCGATAGAGAATTCGATTCTGAACAAAACCCCGTTGTTCTTTTTTTGCAGAATGGCTATCCCTGATTTTATAAAATTAAAACACTAGTGACCGTCCCTTACCATGAGTGCCTTTCGAGCCAAAAGAGAGGCTTTTGGGTGCAGTTTTACAATTTTATAAATTCAGGGATAGCCATTCTGCAAAAAAGAACAACGGGGTTTTGTTCAGAATTGAATTCTCTATCGAATGAGCTGGGTCTCGTAAGGTTTTGGCGATGACGCAAAAAAAGCACTCCTTGTTAGTTAGGGGGTGTTTCTCGGACCGTCTGAAATTCGGATTCGAGCATTCAAAATGACGGAACGTTCCGCTGCACCGTGGTTTTAATAAGTGCCTGATATTTACCGTCTTTCGATGCATTCCCAAAGGGCAAGTCCGGCAGAATAGAGATCACAGGCATAAGTATACTAAAAACAGCTTGATGCCCTGACAATCGACATTTTAGATTTGTAGCTATTCGGGCTTTTCAGTTAACGTAATACCACCGGTAACAAAAAAACTGTGCTTACTAATGTCTTTCCCACAACCTTTCAAGCGCTTTAATAGACCTACGATTGAGTCATCGTGGAATCGTTCTGGCGGGATATAGCGCACAGTACCCATAAGACCATACCTACGCGTTTCATTACAAATGATGTATGAATGCATACTTCAAAGATTCCGCATCCTCCGTTTTGGACAGTCCAAAGTCGCATAGCTTGATTTCATGCTTTTGGCCGAGGAGTATGCTGATAAGGCGAATTTTCGAAGTATTGAGAGGTTGTCGACTTTTTTGAACTGCGTATTTGTTGCGCAGTAATTTCTGCTTGACTTTGTGATTGAAATGGCTATAGCTTCAGGAAGCGGCCGATTTCAAGAATGGGCCTAGCTGACAAGAGGACGTTTTTTGTAGCCACGGATTTTCGGACTGACAAGGGAACCACCCGAGGTCGAGGTGGCGTTTCGTTATGGGACCCGGCCCATTTTGTGCAGAATTTTTCGCTGATTTGAATCCTCTGCTCATTTTTGCCAAATAGCTCGTTTTAAAAAGTTATAGCGCTTCAAAGTTCAATTTTTTCCCAAATTTGTCAACTTCAAAGCCATTTATTTTGCATTTCCCGGATGATTGACCAAAAACGAATATCGCCATCGTATTCAGAAAATTTTTCTCTATCGAATGAGCTATTTAACTCAAAATTGTTGGAACTCGAAAAAATCGACGATACTTGGTATGGACTTCGTTTTTTTGTATGGGAAATGGTGAAAAACAGACTATTTCACACTCCCATAAGTGATCATCGATAGGTAGTAGCGCATTAATCAAATATACCATTCGAATTAGAAAAAAATTCTATACAAGATAGGCTATTAAAAATCGACTGCCCTATTAAAATAAAAAAGTTGGGCATCGTGACAGGTGACCGCCCGCGGGCTCAAATATGATCTTAAAATTGCCATAACTTTTTAAATCGGACTATTTGGCAAAAATTGAAAGCGGGTTCTGAATCAGCAAAAAATTCTGCACAAAATGAGCTGGGTCCCATAACGAAACGCCACCTCGACCTTAGGTGGTTCCCTTGTGAGGCCAAGCCTGCCCTATGCAGATTTCTTGACAAATACTTTTTTCAGACCGTGCGAAACAACTCGATTAAAAAAAACTACGGGGGTTTGAAGGTATGAAAACTACCTAAAAGGGCTTATTTCGGGCATTTCGCACTTTAAAGCGAAATATTTTTTGATCTATGTACGTTAAAACGGCATACAAACTATAGAAATGGTGTGCATTTAATTATTGGGGGCTTCCGGAGCAAGAGGGAAACGTTTGATCCCCCCTTCTCACGTCCGAAACAGAAATTTAAATAAATAGACAGAATGAGCCTACTTCGAAGGCTTTATATCACGATGGTAGAACTTCTTTCCTTGCAGATAGAGCAACACATCAAACAATTGATTTGACCAATCGATAACAAGAGAAATGGGATATTGCTGTTCCTTCCGAAAGATAACTTTAACATCGATCAAAACTGGATCAACAGACTCACAAGTTTTCAAGTCTCCACGGTCGCAATATTCTGTCACCAGGTTAGTCCTTCGTCCCTTGTCGCTTAGGTAGTATTCGATATACTCAACAATATTTCGGTGCTTGAGGCTTTGAAGAGTTTTGATTTCGCGACGAAGACTGTTTTTATGTAGATGGGATGGAAGATGCTTGACGGCGACAAGCCTGGAAAGCAGCCTTGAAAGGACTGGGAAGACTCCGGATTTTAAGATGAATGGTAATCTAGCTGACTGACTTCAGATCTAACTGAAAACCCAACCATACTAACGTTGCACAAAACATACCGTCCATTTCTGAATTCCAGATCGACAACTCCGAACGCGCCAGATCCAAGTTCGCCGATTTGAGTAGCTGAACACGCTTAGGTAAAAACTAACCGGCACAGGGAGTTCTATTCACTGTATTTCAATCAAGGGAATGCTTAAACGGGCTGGAAACACCCAGTTGTTTCGATGTTTGGATTTGGATTTCGAATCAGTCTGAGGCGTCCGAGCCCAGAAGCCGATCATGAGGTTGTTGAAGGACAATGAGGTTTTATCCCACCACCACCCCCCGCTAGCGGTGGTAGCCCGGATGGGGATGTTTGCTACATCATTTGAAAGCTCGCGATAGGTTGCGAAAACCAGCGGGTCCCGTTTGGATAAGATTTTATCGGAATTTTCTTTTTTCTGGGACACACGGTATTTAGCGCAAGCGGCAGAGAAAATTGGAAAGCAACCATTCAAGGCTCTTTTATTTCTCTAGTAGATGACATCTGAAACCTTGTAGAACTATCACAATGCTGCCGAAAAAATCGCTTTGAAAACTTTGCAGATTTGGGTAATGAAGGCACTTACCATCAAAGTCTATTTGCTTCCATGCCCCGGTCCACGTAGACATGTCCTTCTACACAAGGTTTTTTAGTGAGCGCAAGGTGGTCTACCTCGGGTGGAAGGTCGCTGGCCTTCCCAAAATAAAGTCGACAGCGGCTTATCGACAACGCCCCCTAAAAAGATAAACCTTTACTTTAGCAGAACGTAAAAAGCTAATGACAAGATCCGAGCTAAGCGGATAACTAAAGAAGCATTACCTGCCATGGAGCAGAAATTAGCGTGTTCATCATTTGTGCAACATCATTTCGTGTGGACTGATCAAACTGGAATGACAGAAATCCTTCATGACTCCTCTGTTTTCCTAAAAATCAGTTCTTTTGATAAGGATATCTCGACCTAGCCCTTCGATGAAAGAATAATAGAATGGCTGAAGGTCGGTTTTGCCCTTCAGGAGTTGGTGTTCAGCCTTCCAGCCTGCGCTGTCGATTCTAAAATCCTCCGGGTCAAAACAATCAAGAATAAAAGATCGTACTCCATCTTAAGTCCAAATCCATTTTCCGATGTGAATTCCGACGCCTAGAAGTGTCGAACATTTTAGGGTTAAAATATGCTTCTTACAATCCATTTTTGGCCGATTGCCTTTTTGACCCATGCTTCTTGCTGCCCAATTGTCAATTCCTTCCCTTCTCTAATGTTAGTCATCATCTCCTTCAGTTCATCCGAAGCTATTCGTTGCTAAATTTTTGCGTTTTGGTACCGCAGTCAACCAGAACTTCTGCATAGGGCAGCGCGAAATTGTTGCTCGCAATTAGCCGACACTAGCCGCGATTTGGCAAACCTCATTCTACTTACTTTTTGAGCCATTGCCTGTTGGAGTTCTTGCAAATTTTCTTGGGATGTAGCTTCGAGCGATAGTTCTTCGCTGTCTGAGGGTGATGTCCAGTCAGAAAGTTCGTAATCAGGCTCCGCGTCCGAAAGTTCGTAATCAGGCTCCGCGTCCGAAAGTTCGACATGAAAGGCCTCCTAAAATTACAGATGGTGTTGGCATAACGGGTGGCAAAGTAGTGCTCAAAAACTAGACGAATATCAATTGCCACGTGCCAAAGACGTTTATAGGACCATGCCTTCGTGCCTACAGGGAGTCCCAAAAAACATCCCCTCTAACTCGACGGCGATTATAGGCGGGGAATTGCATTGGAATGCAAGTCATACTCTTGACTCCCTTAGTCTCCCTTGAGTTTGCGAACTCCATGTTTTTATTGAACAACGAAAGTTTACAAGTTATTTTGTAAAATTTCACAATTTTTTCGGTTTGCATCCGAGCTGATTAAACACAATTTCTCCAAGTAAAACGGCCGGAAGTTGGCGCTAATCAGATGCAGAAACCGTTCCTTAATGTTTCTCAAACGCTTTTAAGATCTCGCTGTCAAATAAAAACATTGTTCTTGTTTGTTTCGTTGTTTCGCTGTCTTGTATGCTCGCTTTTAAAGGTGATTGCAGACTCGCCGCTGAAAGGATTTCCAATAGGGTAACTACCATTCCGACCCAATGGGGGGGGGGGGTGATTGTTTTTATAGGACACCCTTTAGTGGATTTTATACTGCAAAATCCATGGGTATAAAGCACATCCGCTAGTGTATCTTATGGCTTTTTAGTACGTATTTTGTCACATTCGAAAAATCTTTAACTCCAAAATGGTGGAATTATGGTTTCTTTCATACACTTGTGACTAAATGTCTAAACTTTTGATATATTTGAACATCATTAAAGGGATAAGGACGGCATAAGTCAATAGATTACGCGCGGAAAAGAAAATGTCTCCGCGCCTCTCCCCTGTGGGCGCTCCCTGCCCTGCTGGCTATTTGCCAAAAAATTTAGGCTCCCATCCCAAGGGGGGTGTCAACAGACGCCGCCCGTATTTCTTTAAAGACTACCAGAACGATGGAACGCGCACTGTCACCCCGAGGGTGCTGCCCCCAAGAACGCGCGAAGAGATGCGTCATTAGTGGTGCCCCGTACTGGGCAAGGGTCCTCTGGGGTTTGGGGCGTCTCTGACTCCCTTCCCCACTTGGCCCTGTGGTGTAGTGGCTAGCGCGTCGGACTGTAGAGCGAACCATCGCGGGTTCGACTCCCGCCCGGTGCGCAACTTTCTTGCTCTCAACGGAATTTCATCGTTCTGACGGTCTTTAATGTTGTTTTTAGGTTTACAAACCACGTAAAATACATGGCAATAGTTTATAATTTAAAAGGCCGTCCGCGAGTCACTCGAACAGTCCCCATTATAGCTTGGCACAGTTTTTTTCGACCCCCATTTTTTGATGCCATCTGATAGAGCGTGGTCGAATTAGAGGAATCGCACTAATTCGGGATTTTTAAATTAGCATTTTCCTGGTTAAACAAGGCGTTAAAGTTGCCAACGTCGAAAATTTATCTCGACGACTACTTGACAGAATTGGCTGAAACTTTGTGACTAAGCCTAATTTGGGATGGGGATCATTTTTCTAATACATCGCGAAGCACGAAAATTAGCAGAACCTAGTTAAATTGCACTCCCAAAATAGTTTTTGCCGAATTTCAAATTAACGGCGAGTTGGCCGCAAGCTGGAATTAGGCAAGAAAGATGCGCAAAATTTTTCTGCATCGATTGATGTATTATTTAGGTGGCGGCCAGGTCGCCGTTTTCTCACAGCGAGCTTTTTGTAGCTGAAAAATGGTCTAAAAACCTGACTAAAATGGAAAACTTTGTGGTATTTAGATAGCTGAGTAGTCAAAACGCATCAAGAAATCATGCCAAGTCGTTTGCAAAAAGAGCAAAAAGAAATTCGGCTTCTGAGAGGTAGCTGGGATTGAACTGGCGGCGGCTCTGGATTGGCAGGCCGACGCTCTACTCATTGCGCCACGGGGCTCCCAGGCGGAGGGTCCGGGTTCGATTCCCGCCCAAAACAAGCACCCCTTCAAATGTCGAATTTCTTTTTGCTAATTTTTGCGTTTAGCTTGGCGTGATCGGTGAATATGATCCCGTCGGTCAAAACATAGAAAATCGCAAAATTTTCCATTTTAGTCGGATTTTCAGACCATTTTTCAGCTACAAAAAGCTCGCTGTGAGAAAACGGCGACCTGGCCGCCACCTAAATAATACATCAATCGATGCAGAAAAATTTTGCGCATCTTTCTTGCTGAATTCCAGCTTGCGGCCGACTCGCCGTTAATTTGAAATTCGGCAAAAACTATTTTGGATGTGCAATTTAACTAGGTTCTGCTAATTTTCGTGCTTCGCGATGTATTAGAAAAATGATCCCCATCCCAAATTAGGCTTAGTCACAAAGTTTTAGCCAATTCTGTCAAGTAGTCGTCGAGATAAATTTTCGACGTTGGCAACTTTAACGCCTTGTTTAACCAGGAAAATGCTAATTTAAAAATCCCGAATTAGTGCGATTCCTCTAATTCGACCACGCTCTATCAGATGGCATCAAAAAATGGGGGTCGAAAAAAACTGTGCCAAGCCTTGTTCGGGTCTCTCGCAAACGGCCTTTTAACATCAGATCTTTACGGGGTCATGATGAGAAAGTTCCTCCCTCCCCAGATAACCAAAATCGGATAGGATATCGGTTTTATTTTAATCACCTCTGCAGCCTCTCGAAAATGATGCCACGTTTCTAGAGATTGTACCACCCGTGACGGTTGTCTATCAGCCCAATCTGGGGTGACTCGAATCGGTCCGAAACACAGTTGTTCATAAAATGACTCCTAAAAAATATTATTTTTTAAAATAAACATCTTCGACGTTTTTTAAGCCAGTCGCTTCTATTAGTGCTTCTGCGGCGATTGGTCGATCTTCTGGCAGACGGTGGATGCATCTATCATATTTTTACAATAAGGCCACATTAATAACAAACTTCTCAATCAGGTCAGCAACAGAAGCCTTGCATCCAACTCTTTCTAGTGGGATTCCATTACAAATTCGCGACATGAGATCCCATGCGTTGTTGACCCCGTTATAAACAGTGCTGCAATCCGAGCGGCTATCAATATATTTTAGTGGTGCAGGGTTAGTGAAAGTCTGCTTTGAGGTCGACTATTAGACGGAGGAGGGAACTTTCCCTATTGTACTAAATCTCAAGGATTCTGAAGGGTTAAAAAGCAGGTAGGGACAATGGGTGTCGCCGTCCCATGCCAGGGTCGATCACTTATGTCACACTAATTTGCAAAAACTATTTAAATAAAGAAGGAAGGGAAAATATTTGATAGTTGTACGATGTTTTACACAAAATGTTGCTCCTGATCAGGGGCGTAGCCAGGAAAAAAATTTCGGGGGGGGCCCAAAAAATGTTAAGAAAAATCTCAAAACAATAACAATAAAACAGCGCCGCAGACAAAAAATTTTGAAAAAAAGGTTACATAGCTCTACAAATAGCCGTAAAAACGTGAAAAAATAGCGCCGCAGGCAGCAAAACTTTTGAGAAAATAAAAATCATAAGGGTCCCCCCTTATGAAATTTTTGGGCCCCGGCCGATTTCGGGGGGCGGGCCCCCGGGGCCGGTATTACGCTACGTCCCTGCTCCTGATAGGTGTACCAGATTTAATCTCGTTTTCCTCAATAAATTGATGAGCGACAGCTTTAAGAGCTTCTAGGTTTCGGATTCTTACCCAAACTATCGCAAATATCGACTGACTCCAAATCCGAACGACGAAGGCTCGAAAGGAAGAGTGATCTCGGATGTTTCGATATTTTCCGGGCCGATGGTACTGGTAGACTGCTAGACTGCTAGCTAGGTGTCCCAAACCCCCCCCCTCCTAGCCGTATGCAGACCTGTCCGGTTTTTACGATTTAGTATCTATCGAAAGCTCTCGGAAAGGCGAGTCCAGCACGGCTTTTCGATTTTCCAAATCTTGAAATTTTTCTATCATTTACTAATGTTTTTGCGAAACGCGCGGATTTTCTGATGCTTTTCTGACCAAGTGGTTGTTGTACAAAAATCGCAATTTGAGAATTTTAACGCCTTTTTTTGCCAGCCACAGTTTTGTTTGTACAGTTTTTTGAAAGCCGTTTGCGAAAATACAGCTTGGATGGCGCTTAGACCGGTCAGATTGCGTTTTGGACAAGAAAGCGTGTCCTTTTTGCACGAACTACGAGCGGGACAGCCAACTGGTGGAATTACTTTGAACAAGGGAATACTTTCGGGCTAACCTAAGATGTTGACCCAAACTAGGCGCCTATTTGTCTGACGACCCTGTATGCAACGTCTTTAGCCTAGACTATTAAAACACGTAGGCACCTACAATACAGGGTGTCTCAATAAAAAAGGTCACGCTAGCATTTCGCCACTTCAAATCTGATCGACCTGAAATTTGGAACAAAGCCGCGGAAGGGAATTTAAAATGTTCACAGAAACTTTCAGCCCAGTTTTCGAGTTAGCGCAGTGCAGTAGTTTTCGAGTTATAGCAAAAATACTGTTTTTCTCAACACTTTTGCTTCATTTTTTCGGCTATCTTTTTGGACTTTGCATCAATTAACATCAAGTTTGGCCCTAAATCCCTCTTTCCTCTTAACATCGGGAATGATAAGACCTAGTTAAAATTACTTAAACAACCTATTCCAAGACGAATTTTACGAAATAAAAGAATTTCTGAGGTAAAAAAGGGTCGGCGCTTCATTTTTGCGATACATTCCAAGACTCAATTCCGGCGAAATCCAGGTTAAAAACTTAAAATAAAGTGTATTTTTGCTATAACTCAAAAACTAAATGTTCTGTGAAGGTTTCTGTGAATATTTTTTAAAAAACATTCCCTTCCGCACCTCTGTTCAAAATTTCAAGACGATCGGATTTGAAATGACAAAATGCCAGCGTGACCTTTTTTATTGGGACACCCAGTAGTTACCGTCTTTCGATACATTCCCAAAGAACAAGTCCAGCAGAATAGAGATCGCTTGCATAAGCATACTAAAAAATTTGTGGGACCGGAATAGACCCACATGGCCATCATCATCGTAGCGATATCTTTCTGGAGCCATATAGCGGATGGTGCCGATCACACCGTAACTAGATTTGCATGAAAAATTATTGATCAAAAACACCTACCCCGAAGCTTCCGTTTCCTCTGTTTTTGATAGATAAAAATCACTTAGCTTTATTTCGTGGTTTTCTCCAAGGAGTATGCTAAATTTGGTAGCGTGGTAATTTGTTAATGTAAGCCAGACAGCAAATCCAGGAGGCAGCGAGCTTGCCGAATTTGCCATTTTTTCCTTCCATTTCCCCATCCAAAAACGCCCTAACCCGACGCAGAAGTATCGGTTAGTTACACCATTCAAAAGCCCTGGAAATGGCGAGTTTGCAACAATCTTCAAAACCATGTTTTTATTTAGATGTGCTATTTCACAAAACGCATTTGAAAACATCAATGATGGGCTTCTGCATCCAATTAACGGCTGCGTATATGGAAAAATTGAGGTAAATTACCTCGTATACAACTTCGAAAAACCGCAAAATGTTACAAATTGGCTTGTAAAATAGCGGATTTAAATAAAGAGATGGTTTTAAAGGTTGTTGCAAACTGGCCGTTTCAAGGGCTTTCGAATGGCGTAAAAATATTTCCGATTCGATACTTCTGCGTCGATTTAGAGGGGGTATTTTTTATTGAGACACCCGGTAGCGGTCAAAAAGATGTCCCCTCGGGAGATCGCTTGGTGCTCGTAAACCAAAGGCCGAAATTTTATGAAACGTCGTGTCTAGGTCAATTCGGTTGTGCAGAATCCGATGGCAACATTGAAATCTACTGAAAATTTCATTTTAATGGTCAAACTTCGATTTCAAAAAAATCTGTAAAAATAAACTTTTTCATGAGGGATTTTCGGGTTTCAAAAATGTGTCCATCGTGTTCGCAAGGGTCGAAAACCACTATTCCGTTATTTTATGACACTTTTTCTGCCAGGGCCTGACCATACTGACGCCCGAAAGTTGCTGTCGCGCGGGCCAAAATCCTGTGGATAGGCTTACGGGGGCCATGAAAGCGCCCCGCGGCGACAATTTCTCGGTTTCATAGTAGCGAACCTCAAAGAGATAAATGTTTTGAAACATGTTCGAGATGGGTTTTCGACCCTTGCGAACACGATGGACACATTTTTGAAACCCGAAAACCCCTCAGGAACAAGTTCATTTAACCGATTTCTTTAAAAATTAAAATTTGATCACTAAAATCAAATTTTCAGCCCATTTCAAGTTTACCATCGGATTCTCCGTGTCAAAATTGACCTAGTGGCAAAGTTTCATAAAATTTGGGCCTGTAGTTTACGAGCACAAAAGGATTTCCCGAGGGGACATCTTTTTGACCGCTACTGTACACTTAATTGTAAGGACATAAGCGTGCCGCACTTTGCGTCAGTCTCTCTGCCTAAATAGGCGGTTTCTAACCCTACTTCGTGGGTTTTATGTCGCGATGGTACATCTTCATTTTTTCCAAATAGACCAAAGCTTCGAACAATTGACATGCCCAATCAATGACAAGAGAAATGGTGTAAACTTGTTGCCCATCGTCGATGACTATAATTTCATTCAACCCAAATAGTCTTGTGCTTACGTGTTTTCAAGTCGCCCAGTGCATAATATTCCATCACAATATCTATATTTCCTGGGTTGCTTTCGTAGTCGATGTACTGCACAATATTTGGATGCGAAAGTCTTTGGAGGTTTCTGATTTCGCGACGAACGTGTGTGGGGTGTGGAATATTTCGAAGACGCTTGACGGCCACATATCTGCAAAAAATGTTTTGACAGGACCAGAAATGTAAAAAAATAATTTGAATCCATGATTGATACAGGAATTGCAGATCCATCGCTGCAAATGTGTGCAAAATACGGAACCTTTCGATCTTAAAAGACCGTTTGCGAGAAGACCGAACGGTGCTTGGCACAGTTTTTTTCAACCCTGTTTTTTTGACGGGATCGGGAAGAGCATCGCCGAATTAGTACGGCTGCATAGATTTGAAAGTTTAAAAACTTAATTTTTAAGGTTTAAATTGAAGCCAAAGTAGCCGACCCTCAAAAATTATCTCGAAAGTTACTGAATCAAATTGGCTGAAAATCTCTCACAGTACCTAATTTTGGATGCTGATCATTTCTCTAATACATCGAAAAGCACTAAAATGGTTAAATAGCGCACTCAACACAGTTTTTCAAGATTTTGTATTTTACGGGTTCTTGGAGGTCCGTCGAAAATAACCTTAAAAGATGCGCAAAAAATGATACATTGAATGAAGTATTTTATACCGGGCCGACCGAAACCCTACTCTTGCTATAAAGCATTTACTGCGCGCAATACAGCGCCAAAATGGGTCAAACACCCCAAAAATGAACAATTTTGAAATCGAATATATCAAACCATATCTAGAGAACGAGCTGAGTCGATTGCAAAAAAGAGCAATTGGGTACTGTGACAAATTTTCAGCCAATTTGATTCAGTGACTTCCGAGATAATTTTTGAGGGTCGGCTACTTTGGCTTCAACTTACTGTAACCCTCCCATGTTGACCGCGGGATTTCGTTATGTGCGATAGCACATCTTGTGCAGAATTTTTTGCTGATTCCGAATCCGATTTCGAACGTTGCGGAACCCCCCGGAAAACAGGTTAAAAATCGAATTTAGATTTCGGCTAAACTGGCCCATTGCGCCCCTGGAGGGTTCAAAGAGGCTCCCCAGCGCCACCCATCCAGCAACTCGACGATGCAATGGTAAGACGCTGGTTTCTTGAGCGGGGTGTCACTGGTTCGACCCTCCTAACGCGGCCGCACTTTTTGTTTTTTTGCAATTTTTTGTCGGAAACTGATGTGACGCTGTTCCGCAACAATGTTATATAGTTTTTTACGAATTTGTTTTTCTATGTACTTATCACGATTAATACCAACATCACGGCTCAACTTATTCTAGCAACGGACAAGCCAATTTGCTGTTACGACATAAACTTCTCTTCGTCGTTCGAAAGTAAAGTTCAGAAAATAAATTTGTAAAAACTATATGATGTGATGATGATGATACGATTTATCAGACCCTAAATAACCACAATCCTAAGTTATAGCCCGATCCCTTTTTCATGGGAGACCCTGTAAATGGGAACGTACCGTCCATTTCGCATTTCAATCCATATGTTGTCAAAACCACCACCACCACCAATTTGAATAGCGGGAACCATGATTACGTTTTCTGCTAGCAAAAACGGGAGTGAGTGAGGCTTTTTGGCAGTGATCGGCTTGCTTATCAATTGGGGCATCGACGCGGAGCGGCGCCGCATTTATTTGTGATAAAAAATGGGCACTTCTGGATGCATCGACGCCAATCGATGAGATCGGTCGGCAACCGGTTGCATGTTTCTTTATGCTACAGACGGGCAGTCCCATAGCCACAAATAAATTTCAGGGGCCCCCCAAAAAAATTAAATAAAATTAAGACATTAACAAAAAAAAACAGCGAACGGAAAATTTTGGGATATCGGTTTGCATATCACTTAAAATAGTTTTCAAAACCCTAAGAAATAGCGCGGTAGTAGCAAACAACCATTATTAGGGCATTTTGGACCCCACTGAATTTGCCCGCACCGCTCATCATGAGTAAAGAAACCAAAAAGGTTCGTGCCGGGCCCCTTCAAGATTCCGATTGGCAGTTGAAGTTTCAATTTGGTATTTGGATACGTTTTATCTATCTTCATGGTAGCAAGGGTTGGTGATGATACGTATTGGCTGTCAATCAAATTTGATAAAAGCCCCCGTAGCAACGGCTTGCACAAGAAGAAACCCCGGACTTATCAGAATTCGATCCATTAACTGCAATTTTTTCGAACCCGGGGTCTCGGATATTTACCCGTTGACTTCGTATAGGATGGTGCCACAACAGCTAATAATTTTGGGTTTAGACACTGGAGATGCGAGAAAAAGAAAAAATCGGAAGACTCGATAAAGTACCTTTGTTTGTAACGTTGTCTCTACCCGTAGCTTTTGGAGATCGTGCGCGGGAAACCCTTGTAAGGTTTTATGATTTTCAAAGCTTTTGGTTAGACCTTCTTCAGCTTGAAATTAATTTGGCAATTTGGCAAACTACAAATGACTGCATAGTTATGATGTGTCTTTTTTTAGCTGCTCTTAGTGACCGCAATATGCTCAACCGTCATGAACACGATCGCATTGTTCAAGGAGAAAATCAAACCAAAGGAAGTGGAAGCGCAGAACAACAGCGATACCGGTAAAATATTTTGTTGTGGCCCTGGATCTGCAGGGTAGTGCAGATTCTTGTATAAAATAATAGTTAGCAGTCGATTGATAGCATGGCAGTTCAGATGATAACTTAGGATACGATAAAATGGGGGCAACTCCCGGAGAGCTACGACCAATTACGACGCGTAATTACGACGGTCGTTGCCGGAGTACGACTTACGGTCGCAAGAGCGCGCAATAAAGAATGGGTGGACTAGAGTCTAGCCTTTCACGTCACTTACACATTTCTGTTCCTCGTCGAAACTTAACAAAATCTGCGAAATGTCTATTACTATTCTGGTTATAGTCAGAACCGTTCCAACAGTCACGCTAGAACCTGAAGGAATACCCACAAAACAACCCTTAATGGAAATGGATAGATTATCGTTGGTAGGTTTTTAAATTCGTTCAATTCGCAGTTGCGGTACAGGCAGGCCCGTAAGAGGGGGGCGAGGGGGAGCCGCCCCCCGAATCGGCCGAAGGCCCGAAAAGTTCATAAGGGGGACCCTTATGATTTAATTTTTCTAAAAAATTTTTTGCCTGCGGCGCTGTTTTTGGCTATTTTTAACACTAGTTTTAGTGTTATAAACCCTATGTTTTCAAAAAAAATATTCCTTTACAATACTGACTGTTCTCCCACAGTAACCTTTGGAGCACTCGAAATATCGCACGATATTTGGTTGCGATAGACTCTCAAGATTTTTGATCTCGTGGCAAAGGTCGTGCAGGCCTTTGGGAGTTTGAATGCGCTTGACGAAGAACCTTCTGCAAAAAAAAAACTTTAGAAAGTGTAGGAGGGTGGGAAACTTGGGACATCGGGGTTAGCGGGCGTAGCCCGCTAACCCCTTTTGGTTTGAGGTACCCCCCCATACGACTCTTTTGGGGTCCTTTTCCGGATTTAAAAAAGAACCAAGCATCGGATCGCAAACCTGAATACACCATCGGAACCGGCGACACTTTTTGCATACTATAAGTTTTTAAAAATTGAATAAGATTGAAATTTCGAATTTTAACAGCCGATTTAAATTGCGTTTCGAGGGGGGGGGGGGGGGGGTCTGCGTTTGTATGTATGTATGCCACAAAACCTTTGTAGTCGTCAAAAAGTGCCTTCCCATCATCCGTTTGGGCTGAAATTTTGCACAGTTATTGGGTGAATGATAATCTCGGACCGCAAGAAGAGTTTTTTTCAAAATAGGCTTTTAAAAAATTTATATTTAATTTTTAAGTTTAAAAGCTAAATTGCGGCCAAAACAAGGGTTAATGATGTCCGTTTGAGCTGAAATTTTGCTCAAATATGCATTAGACCTTGCCGGAAAAAGTAAAGAAGAAATTGCATCGAAAGAATGCTTTTTCTCTGAGATATTATAACTTTAAACCTTTGCCATACGGGGCGCCACCCTCCCCTTTGGCGGCCCCAGTCCCGAGTCAGGGCGGGCGGGTCTAGCATCCCCAAGACAGGCCTCCAGTCTCCCCGTTGGCCTAGTGGTTAGCACGCTGTACTGGGAAGACTTGGCTGCCGAGTTCGAACCCCGCCCGCGACATGGTTTTTGCCGATTGGCCCTTATGGTTTCTAGTGCCGTTACGCAGCGCCGCAGGCAAATTTTTTGAAGTTTTGCGTACAAGGGTTCATCTGAATAAGTATTCCTTGGCTTATTTTACGAACTTAACAATAAGATTGAGGCAAAAGGGCTAAATTCTCTCTAAGGCTAAAAAGAGTCTTTTCAAAAAAGGGCTTTTGGTTTTCGCAAAAAGAGAAGAATTCTCGCGGCAACAAAAAGAGCTAAATTCCTTTCAAACTCTTAAAAATGCCACAAAATGTGGGATCAACCAAAAGTTGCTGGCACCTTATTAAAATGGACAGGTTTCTAGCGGTTTCGGCTTGCAAATAATTTTTGTAGTATGATCTATTTGCACTTTCTTGAAATTAATCTGTGGACCTGACCTGTGATCTGGGATGCTAACGAGTTTATTAAGATTTTACATAGCCAGCAACTTTTTGTTGTTCCCGCATTCTGTGGCATTTTTAAGAGTTTGAAAGGAATTTAGCTCTTTTTGTTGCCGCGAGAATTCTTCTCTTTTTGCGAAAACCAAAAGCCCTTTTTTAAAAAGACTCTTTTTAGCCTTAGAGAGATCCAGATTTGGTTTTATGCTACCCCGGTCGAAGGCTCGCCCGCATTCTCGAAATCGGTCTCTCACAGGAAAAACGACGGTTTGGAAATTTTTTATGTTTTTATCAATTCCGCTTCGAGGATTTTCCGTCTAAAAACATTTCTCAATTTAAAGCGTTTCTCAATTCTAGTTGGATTTTCACAATTCTCATCGGCTTTTCCCACAAAAATCTTCATTTTGTTTCTGTTTTGTAAAATTGATGGTTTGCCTTACGGAGATTTAGAATTGGAGGGCTACCATCTACATTGGATATTTCGCCTCGCTGCAAAGGTGTACTTACCGTCCGTCCCTGGTTTCAATGTACGAACAGTGGCTACAAGCGCGATAAGCGAGAATAAGGTTATCTGCTAACTGTGTACGATATTCAATAAAAATTGATTTTAATGAAAAAATTCCTTGGCGCGACGCCGCCACACATGGTTCTGGCCCGGGACATAGGCCGCAATGCGAAACAACATCCGCATGAGATGGTGGCCTAGTGGATAGTGCAGACACCTACCAAATTTTTATCGAATATCGTACACGGTTAGCAGATTTGGAAAACGGCACCTTGCTCAGAATTTTTTTCTCTATCGAACTAGCTAGGTCTCGCTCAAAAACTCCAATATCACCTAAAAACGACTCCTTGTTAGCGAACCCCGATTTTGGGGGAAGGGGGCGCCTCCAAAAAAAGTTTTTGGCGACCCCCAAACAAATCGATCAGCAGCGAAAAAACACTCAAAATCAGCGCCGCAGGCCATCATTCTTGAAAAAATGAGGTCCATGACAATAAAATTAGTCTTAAAAATAGTTATAAAAAGCGCGGCGCACCGTAGGGGGAACTGGGGGCAACTTGCCGCATTTGCCCCCCTCTCCTAAGAAAAATTTTTTAGTTTGAGTCGCGACAAAAACCGCGATTTTCAGGTGTTCAATAACTTATACCGACAGCCGCTAAAATTTCTAGAAATTGATTGCTTTTTTTATTTTGACATACATATGATTTCGAATTTGAGACTTTCTGTCAGAATTGGTGCCTTATTAGTTTTAAAACGTCATGCCGGTCGGTTAAAACATATATAATCGGTCCCTCGCTCGCAAACTGTGGCAAAGTTATCCATACTTCTTCACCAAAAATCAGCCCCATGATTCTTTTGCAGCAAAAAAAAATCATGCAACCGGTCGTTAGATGGGGCGGCTTATCAAGCTTAGGCGATGACAATTTTCTTGCAGGGAAAATTCTAGCCCAGTTCATAGATCCGCTGTGAGTGCAGTACACACTACTTTCGTCACCAACCCGTGATTTAAGTGCTTAACTAAATAGTGTGATCAGGACAACAAAGAAACGCTGAAGGGAACGGGGCTGAAGAGCCACAGACACAGAAGTTTCTATAGTTGCCTGAAAGAAGTTCTCCTGAAGACTTTCGCGTCTAACACCAGGCCGCGCGCTTTTTGTTGTTGTCGAGAATTTTTGTAATAAATGCTTGAATTGCTTCTGGATACTATCTCGTCATAAAAAAACTGACGCCAATTGTTGACAATTATGGAAGAATCACCCAATATTGGTTATCAGGGCATCAAACGCTGCCCAATCCTGATAATCAGTTCAGCAATGGTGCCAGCCGGCTTTTGCCGAAGAAAATTTCTTCCCCCCCCCCTGGGTTGGCGTGAATTACTTTTTCAAGTCATTACCGCGCTAAAAAAGAACGTATTCATTTCTTGTCGCTGGCGAGGCAGATGACGGCGTTGAGCCCCTCGTACAAAAGTTTTGGCGGCTGCGTGGCCGTTGCTGTTGCTGGTCGCTCATTTGACGCCGAAGATATTACATCTTCTATCACACGAAAACAGTACTAATCGGGCTAAAGGAGTGCGCAAGAGCCAAACCAGAAAAATAGCGAGACTGGCCTCACAATGACAATCTTTCCAAAGATAAAATTTAGATATTACATGAATTAAAAATAAAACCTTCCGCTTCAGGTCTCTTGCTCCTCTCAAATTGTCGCGAGAACATCAAATTTAGGACGATGGCTCCCTCAAAAAGGAAGGTGGCCGATGTCAATGACGAAACACCATTGGTGGAAAAGCGGGACAACGGACGTTTCGAAATTGACGAAAAGCGTCCTGCACACCGGCGCCTCCGAGATCGAGCTAGGAACACGCTTGTAATATTACCATTTTCTCTAAAACCGCTTCGTTGAAAGACTAACTAACTAGCCGTAATTTCTAGGCAGTGGGATTGCAAAAAGGGTAGATTTTTTCGGTGTTCTCAGCAAAATAGTTTATTGTTCGTTTTAGTATCGTTTCGTGTTGGGAATATACTCGGCCGTCGCCAGCACCTTCAGACTTCCCAGATACCATAGCCAGGCAACCGAAGAGGATGCGCAGATAAGCCTGCAACTATTTGGAAATGGAAACAATAAACAACCACTGGCAAGTCAAACTTTAAGCTATAGAACTATTTTGTCTGGATTCTACTGAAAGAATAAATGTGGAAACTAAATGTCAATCTAAAAAGTTACAGCTTCGCCGGGCAATCGACTTTGTCCCGGCCATACTATGTCTTGGAAGAAATCCAAACGGATATGAGGTTGATGATGAAGCTCTCGCTGAAGAGCCGATCGACGAAAAGGGTGCGTGCACCAGCAGCCCCACCAGCCGTTAAACCTAGCCAAACAGGACTTTCAGCGGAAACTGTTCGCATATTCCAAATTAATGACGATCATAGCTATGCATTCAAAAAACGTACGCTGAAGACGGTGCTCCTTGACGAAAGATATGCGGATAAAAAGGTGACGAATTGCATTGCAATACTAAATCTAGTAAAGGATGATAAAAATCTTTATAGATTTCGGTGATAAGCATCGCGGGCGCATTTCGTATGGGAAAATCTTTTCTGCTGAATTTCTTGGTCCGCTATCTTAAGGCTATGGAACTGAACGGCGGTATTGGCAGTTATTTTTCACAAATCAAAATTATTAGGCGCTAAAAATGATGGTTGGCTAGAGGCTGACACGAAATTAGACGTCTTTTCTTGGCGTGGTGGTGAAGAACGTCATACAGACGGCATTATGATTTGTCGTTGGCCGTTTATTGTCAAAAACTCGAAGGGTGAAGAGGTAAAATAAAGTGGTAGTGGCTCAGGGCTCGTCATGATGGTCGTCGAATTAAAACAATAGGCAAAAAAGTAGGAAAGTTGTTTCGTTCTTTCCGCGAAGCAGACAAACTGGTATACAGTAATCACCTTGATCGAATCCGGCAAGGTCTGCAAATCACACCATGTCCCTTTCACTGAAATTCTACGGATTTTGACTCTTAAGGTCGTCGTTCTACTGATGGATACCCAAGGCACTTTCGATACGCACTCAACCATGCGTGATTGTACCTTTATTTTCGCATTATCTGCTCTGATCAGCAGTGTCTTGGTTGGTTGAATTATTAATTGTGAGGTACCTATTAGGGTCAAGAAAGCGTCTACCAAACCAGATAGTTTTTGAACGTTTGAAATCTTCCTCCTTCCCATATCCTTTAGATCTTCAACCTGCGCGAGCCCATTGGAGAAAATGATCTCGGAAATCTCCAATATTTTACAGCATTTGGGCTAATGGCCATGAAAGTGCAAGAGGGAGCTGACAAATCAAGTGCGGAACCAAATCCAGATAGCCTACAGGTGAACTATATGTCTGTTCTAGGCAAAACATTTTGACACCGATGGAGCAGCATCGGATCAGTTGAATTTTTTGTTGGTGGGACAATCTCGAAATACTCGCTCGCTTCTCGGTGTTGCCGGTGGAAAGCATAGTCCACCTTGGCGCTATAACTGTAAAAAGACTGTGTACTTAACTTTTTTGGCGTTTCGGCTCGGGTCCTCGGTCTTCAGGTCTTCGGTCCAAGTGCATCTTTCGCGGAATCCCGTACTGATTCCGAACCCTATATCCCAATTTGCTGCGGCCTTTCTTTTAAAACACACCCGAATGCAATTTATTCCGTACTTTTTGCCGTAACCGTAATCTTTTTCCGAGCCTGATTTTACTGGTGCGTGACTCGGTACAAGCACCTGAACCCGGATTCGCGGCAGGCCGGGAAAAATGGCGCCGGCTTCTGGAGGTGCGAAACCTGGTTTTCAAATTTATACACCTCCGCCCATAGCAAGATGACGTTCGGCCCGAAGAAATCAGAAAGCGCCATAAGAATATCGATGATTCTTTCCGTAACGTTTCTTGTTTCTTAATGCCACACCCGGGGCTGGCAGTCGCTAAAGCTAGGAACGCCGAACAAATCGTATTGGAACGTGAGTTCACTTAACAAACTAGTCATTTTTGATTAATATACATCGTGTACGTCTTTGTAAAACCTGACATTCATAGAAATCGAAAAAGATTTTCTACCCTCCTTGACTGAGTTCTTGGAAAATGTCCTGGACCCTGAGAAACTGGTGGTGAAGGAGATCAAAGGAAGAGAAATGACGTGTCGGGAGTTTGGCAAATGCGTAGAAACCTCGGTGAAGGCCCTTCAAAACCCTAATTTGCCAAAGGCTACACCACATCTGGAGGTTAGGTTTCCTTCATATACCTCCCATCATTGCCGAAATTTGAGGCCTCTGTCGCGGGCCAGAACCTAGAAGCAGCTCGCGCCGCCTTGGCTTTGTATAGCGTCGAGATGAGCAAGGTATGTCAGAAACAGCCTCCTTCCCATTCCGTTCCAAAAACCCTTTCTCAAAACACCGGGGGGGCGTGGGACTAGCGTCGAAAAAACGGTCCCAAGTCTGGCTCGGGTAGCTGTCAAACGGTTTTTTGGCGGCGACATCCATTTCAAGAAGTAGCGTTAATTCAGAAGCGTGCCACGGCAAAATCTTCGGAAGAGCTTGAGCTAGGTCATAAGCAGTTCAGGAGAGCGGCAATCAATCAGTTCGAGTGAGACTTTGTTTAAAGCTTCAGCTACAGGGTAGGCGACGGCCAGCTTCGCTAATCGGGGCGCGGCCACGAACAAAAAGACGAAAACACGCTTTATTTAAGGGATTATCCGAAGATGGGCAGTGCTGACGACAGCGCCCCATATCTCACGAGCCTGGAAGAGAACATTGACGTAGGCCCATAGCCCACTTTCAACTTTGGCTATCGTTCAGGAAAAATACATGCTGCAGCGCGAGATGTACGAACTTGAACATCGCGGATTGCAGTGGAGTGGTGGGGAGAATGTCTCAAAGCTTTCTATCTCAACTTTTAGATGTCCTTCAACCACTTGGGTTCCTGGCCCTCGCTGTGGTGGTTGCAGCAGGTGGAGCTGTATGCGTTGTTTTCGCGATAGATCCATAATATCACACAGACAGCGGTGTCCTGCCTCGGCTTGGCCGGCGTCGGCATCGTTATGCGCCCCGCCGCTCAATTCGTGCTGAAGATCATGGTAAGGGACTATCCGTTGCAGCTGTTTCTCCCCATTGCCGTAAAGCATAAACTCCTCTCATTTTTCAGACTTCATTTCTATGAAGAATCTCGAATCAGACAATTCAAATCGCCTCCCTGAATATTTGTTATCATATGCTTGTCATTTTTTGTAACTTTGTATAGATTCTTGCCCCGTGAGCTATCACCCCACTATTATCGCCTATTCGACCGCTGCCCCGATAATTTATTTGCCACCAATTACTGTGCATTCGGAAAGGACTTTGTATGTCGTACTTTTGGATCGGGAGCCCATCCAGAACGTTTTGAATCTCCGAAATAACCAAGCTTGGAAAACCTTCTAAGCGTTGCGGATGCTTACCCATGCGAGAAGTTGAATAAAGGATAGTAACTTCCATCAGACCAATATTCTCATCGGTATTTATTCGGCACAAACTGAGACCATGGAGACAACTGACGCCATCGAATGTCGGTTTATAACTCGCCAAAAAAAAATTGAGATCTCTACCGCATTCAGCGCTGATTCACCGTCCAGATGCGCGGTTGTCCTTCTTCGACATCTTCGTCTTGTGTCTTCTTTTCCGTCGGGGGGGTGATAAGAACTCTCCTTCATGCAGCGATACCCCGAAAGGAGCCAATGAAAAAAAGTCGAGTTGGTGACGCGTTGGTCCGTCCGTCACCCCGACGGATACCGGGCCATCTTTCCCCACCCCCTTAAAGGGGCTACGAAATGCCAAAAATTGAGTGACGGCCCGACAATCGAAGCCCTGTACGTCGGAGCCCTCTGTACACCCAGGGGCCCGGGAAGCTCGCAAATTTGAAATTGTTGTCACCTCGAAATCACGTCCTCGGCTGTTTCTGGGCCAAATTTGGTGTTTAAAAAACCCAAACTATTCAAAATTGAGTGAGGATTTCAAAAATGGGCTCAGAATGCGCAAATCATAGTGTTTTCGCAAAGAAACCGGGCAAAAACAACTTCGCGCAAAAATCGAAAGAGTGAGGGCTCTTGTCCCGCCGCGCCCGCTGGCAATTTGCCAGAAATCAAAGAGGCCTCCCAAAAGGGCTTTGATTTGGCAATTCGGAGCCCCTTTAAACCAGATTTTTTTAGCTTCGGCTCTCACGGTTTTCATTTAGATTTTGCATGGGGAATTTTGAATGCATGGAATATTGCCTATTTAGTTTTTCTAGAACTTTTGTATGCAAGGCAGGGTTTCGCAAATATTTCCGATGCCCCACACGAAACTTGGGGGTTTGGTTTGGCCCGGCATGGAGGCAATGTGTCAGTAGGTATTTGGTTTCAACAAATTTTGATAAGGCTTCTTCCAGGCGCGTGGCTTGCACAAGAAGAAGCCCCGGGCTTATCAGAGCTTATTCTATGGCGACAAGTTTTTGAGCAAAGGATTTAATCTATTCCTGCTTTGGCCTTTGTGATACCAGTTCACAATAATTTATGCAAAATATCACAGTCGACATTCCGAATCAATTTGTTGTACTAGAAATAGTGAGACACACAGAGAAATGAGATCATAATGGAGAGAATTAGAGAAAAAGAGAAATATGTAGATGTAGAGAAAGAGGAGGTGATTTCGATTTGAATTTCGATAACTTCGGCGTCGGAAACTGGATCTTCGCGGACCCACAGTGCTCGGAAGTTCGCATCTTTACGATGGGACAATCTGAAAAATTAGACTTTACACCGAATTATGGTAGTCATTAAGTATTCTCTAGGTTTTTAGGTAACCAATTACGCGATTTAATTGCAAAAACTCACAAAACATCGTCTTCCCTGACGGCTTTGATGGCATAACCTCGTTGCTGAAGCAGTGTGATGATATTTTTCTCACCGATGAAATGGCCTATTAAAGGACAGATGAAGCCAAAAATAGGCGTGGCCTACCGGTTCCTAATGCCGCGAAAAAGTTGGTTTGACCACCGGAAGTGATCAGTTTATCGATACGAGAAGCCATTCGGACATTTCTTTTCACGAGGATGTCATCTTTTAGGAGACGGTCGATCTGAAAAGACCAATTTGTCATTTTACGCTTATGGCCAATTTTCCATAGAAAAGCCATTTATAATAGCCAATAAAAAATTGGATACCTCCTTTGCCCTCTCAATATCCGTCTCGTTTAGAATCTGCCCGTATCGATCACGCGTGTCAGATTGAAACACATCTTTTTCAAGGCTACCACACTCGTAGCTTCTGAAAAATTAGATTGGCCATATTTTTTCGTATTTTTCATTTACCTAACAATATCATGCGTTCTCCTCGGTCGGTCCACTTTTAATACCGGATTTTTTCTGACTTCGAGTTGATATTCGAGGTATGAGAGGGTGTAGTTGATAGCGAAGACCAGCTGAAAAGTAGCTTTAAAATATTTTAGATCGTTTCGATAATCTCTATTTTTATGCTAGTTGAATAGCAAGCTAACGGTGCTTGATTCGGAATTAAAAGTTTGTGGTTTTTTGCGGATTTGTAACGGGTTTTTGCTTGATTTATTAGTTTTGAAATATCCAGTTTGTCCGACCCCTAACCCGCTCAAAATCCTAAAAGCCGTTCCCTAAATGTTGGGGAACGCATCGGATTGTTCAGCCTAACATTAGGAAGCGTACTCCCCACCCCTCGACACCCTCAAAATGGCACATCTCATATTCTATGGGCAGCCAGCCCGCAAAGTGGTGCCGAATGGACCAACGGACGGGTACTCGGGGTTTCCAATGGAGTGTTCCGGACTGGAAAATGGGTGGCTGAACTGGAAATCCAGGTTTTAGATTAGATGTAAAAACTGCAAAAATTGCGAGGAATGGTATGAACTAATTTGAAATGGTAGACTGGCTGGCAAGCTAGCTAAATGATCGAAAATTAGCTTATTTTCGGTAAAATCAACTTTTTAATGCGTTTTTTGTGTTTTTCTGCTCGAACACTGCTTTCTGACAGCCAGACTTCTTAGAAAATAGCTTTTCACTATTTTTAGCCGAAAACCCTCAAAAACGCACAAGATCCTGGTCACTCGTCGTTGTGTATTTGTTTAGTGTGGTGATGGTAGGGGGATGGGTGAGAACACGGTGTCAGGTCAGTCAAATAATGGATATCTATTCAGATATGGATATTTGACTGACAGAGAGGCCAACAAATAGACAACAACAAACAGACTGACTGCCTCTCATGCGTACACATTCATTAACACCCCGGGCCGGAAGTTGGTATGCAAATTGGGAATTTGGCCTAGAGCAAAATAGCTATCTTTGCGATTTTTCAGTAATTTGAAACGTTTAAATATTAAAAAATTAAGCTATGAAAAATCTATAAAAGAAAAGGATAATTTTACTTTTATGAAAGTTTGGCGTTATTTTCAGTTTTGAAACAAATCAAACTGACCTGTTCCTCGGACAACGATTCCACGGGGTTGCATTGCTAAAAATATTGATAATTAAGATTTTTTTGAGAGTTACAGTACCTCCTGAGGTGTCTCAATCGAATAAATCTCTTTCCCGGAAGCCACGGCCAATTCTGCCAGAAAAGCGTCGAGCATTTGAGATTCTTCCCTGTCGATTCCGGCCTCGCAAAGTTGATACAACACGAAAAGGAGCCATTCTGGGCGACGACGATCCCAGCCTCCTAAAAATAGATAACTCATGATTTTTGAAAACCATCGATTTTTTGAAGTCTTTGAAATTTTTAGACATTTAAAATTCCTTTAAAACCGGATTTTTTGTTATTCATATAGCCGCTCTTTTCAGTTTTTTTAAAGTTGGCTATAGCCGAAAATTTAAGCTGAACGAAGCTTATTAAAAAGGACAACCTTAACTTACCAACGACGTGGTTAAAATTCGTGACAACGCCTTTCGCGTCTTCCAAATCGTCTTTTTCACGCAGTAAACTGATCAGACGACGTCGATAATTTGCAAAATCTAATAAATCAAGGCTCCAAACTACAAATTCAACCCACATTTTTGTAACCTGGTATGCAATTCATTGCCCAGATATTGTAGACTTGTCCTGGGTTTCTTCAAATTTTTGCATTTCATCAGACGGCGGATCGTTTGTTCGTCTTGGAGGTCGACTTCGACAAAAACTGATTCGGAGCGTTCGAAAGCTTCTTTGACGCGATCGGATACTGAAAATTGAGTTTAAAATTGACTATGACGCATTTTTAACTCTTCCTAAAATTGAACTACACTTTATAAAACTTTAAAAAATCCATATTGAGGCTCAAAAACGTGTTTTTAAAGATTTTTTGGGTAGCTTCTGATCATTTTTTATTATTCGATAGCGTTAGTTCACCGAGCTTTTCTGTTTTAAATCTACCGTAATGGGGAAAAATTTTGCAATGTTTCTAGCACGCTCTTAAATTTTAAGCATAATTTATACGCCATAAAAATCAAAATATGAGGTGTAAAAACGTGTTTTTCAAGGGTTTTCAGGGTTAGTTTATTAGTAATGATTATATAGCCGTAAGATACCGTATTCCACTATTTTGGCTAACGACCAATCTGTTGACCCTTCCCATTGCTATGATGTGTCCAAACATTCACCCCCTGGAGGGCCCAAAATGAGGGCCAATTTGGTGTTCAATGAGGCATCTGCTGATTTGCAACCACAGCAAGCGGCACCTTACATAGAATTGGGGGAATTGGAGGGGAAAAGCGGTGCCAATTAGGGAAATGGACAGACTGGCAGACAGACAGACAGACAGACAGACAGACAGGTCGTCGTCATCAGGAAATTATAGACTGACTGACCGGCCGGGGGGGAAGGGGGTACGGTAAGGTCATTTGGGGTCTAAAAAGAGCGATTTTTAGGTAGATTCGTCAAATGTTTGATAACATACATTTAAATAAACTTAGACTGGCAGGCAATTTGGCGATCGGTAAGATTTCTGGGCAATCTAGTAGAGATCCTTTAGGAAAATACGGAAAAATGGGCGAAAATTGCTCAGAGACGGACTAAAATTAGGAAAAATCCAAAAAATTGGACGTTTTGACTTGCCAAGCTAATTTTTTTGTAAAATTTGTTGTTGAAATTCTAAACTGACCTCTATCCCATATCCTGGTGTACGAGACGTGGATGGTGCCGAATAGAAAACCGAGTTGACGGCCGGATGGGCCGGTCACTTGCCAGAGAAATAGGTTCCGTTCGCTCTGAAAATTTCAGATAAGCCATTATATGGCCTATTTGCATTTTAAAGTTTGAGCTGAACTCCAGTATACCCAAAAATTTAAGTTTCAGGCTTACCTGTAGACATTCAGCCGAGATCCGGTCCGCCAATACGGTAAAAATGATGAAAAATTGAGGAATCCATGGCATAATTGATGACGATCACGACATTTGAGAGTTTTTTGGGCGTCCGGTCACTACCCCGAAAGTCACTACCCCGAAAGTCACTACCCCGAAAAGTCTCTACCCCGAAAAGTCATTAGCCCGAAAAGTCATTACCCCGAAAAGTCACTACCCCGAAAGTCTCTACCCCGAAAAGTCTCTACCCCGAAAAGTCGTTACCCCGAAAAGTCACTACCCCGAAAGTCACTACCCCGAACAATGATAGCATTGTTTTTCCCGGAAAAATCCAGTTTTCATGCGGTTTTCCTATGAAAATCATGCAAATTATTTCGGGGTAGTGACTTTTCGGGGTAGTGACTTTCGGGGTAGTGACTTTTCGGGGTAGTGACTTTACCCCAGTTTTTTGTTTCTAGAGATGTTTGAAGTTTGAAGTTTCTAGAGGTTCATAACTTTTTTTAGAAGTGAGTCCCAAAAGTTTTTTTCAACGGGAAATGGTAGAACTCGACGAGATCTATCAATTCCAGTCGAAAAGTCGAGATTTTATTTAGTTACCGTAAAGTGAAATTTAGCCGTTCAATTGATGAATGGTGAAAACATTGCAATCTCTACCGTCGGATGCACCGGAGTAACATGTTTGATCCACCCGGAATTTTGCTAATAAACCATCAACATGATATGATCAAGCACGACGCAGCGGCAATGTTGCCATTTTTTACAAAGAATCCCACGCTTGCCTGCCCGGATCGCAATTAGCCATAGAAAATTCGATTTGTCATGTGAAAATGATTGATATAGCGTTCGCTTGGAGGCGCATTCGCTGGAATTTTTCCTGTTCGGCAGCCTGAACGCCGGTGGCAAGATGTTTTTGAAATTCTGTTTTTTTTTTGCCACGTGGTGTTTAGCGCGGTTCGAAATACCGGAATTATGTTAATAAAACATTAATTTAAGTGGCGGTTTAAGTCTTAAAACACAACTAGCATTTGTCAAGAGATCAAGGATGAATCCATCGACGAACGATTGCCATCTTTGTATCTTGCCCTGATCCGGACCGTATCTTGGCCGGAATCCCATTAACCATGTCAAAACCGACAGGCATTGTGGGAGTGCCCCTGGAAAGCGGGGATAAAGGGCGTCTCGTTGATTTGTTGGCAGCGGCTTTTCACACCTCACTGCTGCCAAGTACGACTAAACATGTCTATGATTTTCGCGATTCGCCTACTGTACTTCCTTTGGATCATATTGCTCAGTGAATGCTGCATGAGGATGCAAAATCCGGAAGTGCTTCCAGGTTGGTTGTTGTTTGAAGCGTATTGCATTCGGAAATTTTTGTTTTAGTCAGCAAATTTCTGGAATTTCCACCCTAAACCGTTCTTTTAGCCGGAAATTGCAACAGCTGCACGAAAGATATGCTGGGCATCAATAATGATCTGCCGCCGCTGATTCTAACTCCATTTTCGAAATGTGAGTTTGTTTGAATCTGAAATAGACATTTGGAGAAATGTATGCCGTTTTTAGTCGATGTGGAGCGCGACACTAACGGCTGTCTCGTTTTGAAAATGGAATGCATCTCAACCGGCGACGGGAGTGATTTCCAATTTTCATCCTGGATCTATGTAGGCACAATGCTTATTTGATCAATGTTAGGCTGCAGTTTCCCTTAGGTAAACCTCACTTTTAGCTATGGAACAAGAATCATGAAGCAGCCATTCCGGGCTATAATCCCGAGTCAGTAATTGGACATGCCCGCAAACAACTCCGATGTGCACCCGATGGCTCAGGATGGCGGCTTCATCTACCCAACGGGCAGCAACTTCCAATTAACAACGTCATATGCTATGCTTTGAACTGTCGCTCACAGCCACAAATTTGTGCATAACATTTTCTCGCCTATTTTATATGACTTTATAAAAAAACCTACAGGGTGTCCCAAACCCCCCCCCCCTCTAACGGTCCGTGAGAAGCTCAGATCAGGATGATTTCTATACCATTCGAACGCCCGCGAAAAGGCGAGAAAACAAGCGGGCTTCATTTTCTAAGATTTATTCTGATTCGTCCGATATTCAGCGTTTTCCTAAAAAACAGGTAGCTTTTCAATAGGAATTTCGCAATTAGCATGCGGATCTCGCGTAAATCAGCCGTTTTCATGGATTTTGGAGGTAAAATTCGCCAATAAAAATACATAATTGAGAAAATTAACTCTTCTTGTTTTCTCGCCTTTTCGAGAGCTTTCGATAGATACCTAAACGGCGAGAATCGGACACGTCTGGGCGCCGCTAGAGGGGGGTTTTTTTTGGGACACCCTGTAGTCTCAGTCGAACTTTTCGCAGATACTCTCGAGGATACCCTTAAACTTTTCGTAGAAATTCCATAATAATTTATGCAAAATATATCACAGCCGACAATGCGAATCAATTTGTTGTACTAAATATAGTGAGAAACACAGATAAATGAGATCAGAATGTAGAAAACTAGACACAGAGATAACTTTGAAGATACCGAGTAGGAAGAGGTGATTTCGATTTGAATTTCGATATCCTCCGAGTCAGAAATTGGATCTTCTCTTACCCACAGAGCACGAAAATTGGCATCTTTGCGATGGTATAACCTGGAAACAGACATTTTTCTTTCGCCTTAACATTAGGATTAATAGGTTATGATATCCAATTAAAAACTTACAAAACATCCTCTTCCTTGACCGCTTTAATGGCGTATCCTCGTTGTTGGAGGAGTGTGATGATATTTTTCTCACCGATGAAGTGACCTGGTTAATGGACCATTTGAAGTCAAAATAGGGCGGGGCTTACCGGTGCCTAGGGCCGCGAAAAAGTTGGTTTGACCACCGGAAGTGATCAGCTTATCGATACGAGAAGCCATTCGAACATTTCGTTTGACCAGAATGTCGTCTTTGAGGAGACGGTCGATCTGAATCGAAATTGATAGTAAACTTGATTTTGAAACGAGCTATCTACTAAATCCATACCTCCTTTGCCCTCTCGATATCCGTCTCGTTCAATATCTGCCCGTATCGATCACGCGTGTCTGATTGAAACACATCTTTTTCAAGGCTTCCACACTCGTAGCTTCTGAAAAATTATTTTTTTTGTATTTTTGCATAGTTTCATTTTACCTAACAATATCATGCGTTCTCCGGGGCCGATCCACTTTTAAAACCGGATTTTTCCTCATTTCGAGTTGATATTCGAGGTAAGAGAGGGTGTAGTTGATCGCGAAGACCAGCTGAAAATTACTTCAAATTTATTTAGATACCAGCGCTGACCACCCGCTCCGCGGGGGTTCATCGTTGGCCGTCCCGGGGGGAAAATGCGAAACGGCGCGGCTCCGGTGAAAATTTTCAGCCTCCAGCTAGGGTATGTTTGGGGGTTCGCGGCGGGATTAAAGTCCCGGTCGGCGGGATCACGGACATTAGAAATTAATATATAGTAGATAATTTTTTTCTTAATACGAAAGATTTTTAGGGTAAGCAGCCAGGCCATCCAGCAGTGATTATATAGGAATTAGGATTTTACCCATACCGGGTTGATTCTCACATTTTTTGATCTTTTTCTTGAATTTTCAGTATTGAACTTCAGATGCTCCAACCCCTAACCCGTTTCAATCACGAAAGCCGTTCCCTAAATATTGGGGAACGCATCGGATTGTTCGGGTTGTTCGTGGCAACAATAGGAAGCGTATTCCCCTCCCCACGACACCCTCAAAATTGCACATTTCATATTCTATGGGGCAGCCAGCCCGCAAAGTGGTGCCGAATGGACGAACGGACGGGTACTCGGGGGCGTTCATTGGAGTGCTCCGTAGTCGAAAATAGGTTTCTGGACTGCAAATCCAAATTTTAGATATAAAAACTGCCAATATTGCAATGAATGTTATTAACTAATTTGAAATGGGTAATCTGGCTGACAAGTGAATTTTTAAGCACGTTTGTGTTTTTTTCTGCTCAAATTCTGCTTTCTGACAGCCAAGCTTCTTAGAAAACTAGCGAAATATGGATTTCCACTATTTTTAGCAAAAAAATCTTCAAAATCCTACGAGATCCCGGTCACCCCGGCTGTGTATTTGTTTAGTGTGTTGAGAGGTGAGAACATGGTGTCAGGTCAGTCAAATAATGGATGTCTATTCAGATATGGATATTATACAGACATAGAGGCATACAGATAGACAAACAAACCCACTGACTTACTGATTGACATGCGTACACATTAATTAACACTCGGGCCGGAAGTCGGTATGCAAATCAAGGAATCTCGCCTGGGGCAAAAAAATAGCAGATTTTTTGCGTGTTTTTGTAGTTTGAGCTTTAGATGCATTTTACAAAGTATTGGGTATTCAAGGCTGATGGCAAATAAGCTATTATTATTGCTCTAAAAATGGAAATTTTTCAGCAATGGCTACAATTTTTCACGTTTTGAAACAAATCGAACTGACCTGTTCCTCGGACAACGATTCCACGGGGTTGCATTGCTAAAAATATGAATATTTTGCTCTTTTGCGCATTACAGTACCTCCTGAGGTGTCTCAATCGAATAAATCTCTTTCCCCGAAGCGACGGCCAATTCTGCCAGAAAAGCGTCGAGCATTTGAGATTCTTCCCTGTCGATTCCGGCCTCGCAAAGTTGATACAAAACGAAGAGAAGCCACTCCGGGCGACGACGGTCCCAACCTCCTAAAAATAGAAAAGTAACCGTTTAAAATAAAACGTTTTTAAAAATAAAATAAATAAAATAAAATATTCTAGTAGAAAACTCGTCAAAATAGTCTATTGTTTTACTTCTTTTCCGAGTGATGTAGCATTTAATAGTCTCAAAATACCGAGTTTTAAGCTACCTTTTCCCAAAAAATTTAAACTAACCAACGACGTGGTTAAAATTCGTCACAACCCCTTTAGCGTCTTCCAAATCGTCCTTTTCGCGCAGTAAACTGATCACCCTCCTTCGATAATTTGCAAAATCTAATAAACCAAGGATACAAACTACCAAGTCGACCTACATTTCTGTAATCTGGTATGCAGCTCATTGCCCAGATATTGTAGACTTGTCCTCGGCTTCTTCAGATTTTTGCATTTCATCAGCCGGCGGATCGTTTGTTCGTCTTGCAGGTCGACTTCCACAAAAACTGATTCCGAGCGTTCGAAGGCTTCTTTGACACGGTCGGATACTGAATGTGAAGTTCAAAAGCATGTTGATTTGTAAGTTTGCATTTTATTACATTTCAATGCGGAATTTACGCTGCAAATCATTTATCTTGCAAAAACCGTTTTTTCTGACGTTTTTACCTAGATTTTGATCTCATTGGTTTAATTTGTTGGCCCTGTAATTATTTAATAGCTATAAAATACCGTGCGCCGCTTATACCATCAAAATCAAAGTTGCCAATTTGTAAGTAGAGCTTATAAGCCTCAAAAATCGATATTTAAGATGCGGAAAGTGTGTTTTTAAATTTCGAGAATTTTCTAAATATTATTGAGAGCTATGATACCGTATTCCACTATTCTGACCAACGACCAATCTGTTCACCCCATTCCCATTGTCATGATGTGTCCAAACATTCATGGGCCAAGTGCCAAAATGAGGGCCAATTTGGTGCTCAATGAGGCATCTGCTGATTTGCAACCACAGAAAGGCCACAAGCGGCACCTTATAGAAAGAAATGGGGAATTGGAGGAGAAAAGAGGTGCCAATTAGGGAAATGGACAGTCTGGCAGACAGACAGACACACAGACAGGTGGTCGTCATCAGGAAATTATAGACTGACTGACCGGCTGTGGGCGGGGTACGGTATTCGTTTAGTAGGCTCTAAAATACTGATTTCCTGTTTTTTCGCCAAAATCAAGTTAAAATTGTTTACACTGGCAGGCAATTTGCCCATTAATAAACTTTCAGGGCAATCTTCCAGAGACTCTTTAGGGAAATCGAGCAAAATTAGCAAAGTAAGGTTGCCGAAAAACAACAAAACTTGGAATTTTTGCATGAAAAAATTAAATTATTCTCGCCAAATTTATCGTCGTATCGCTAAACTGACCTCTATCCCATATCCTGGTGTATGGTACGTGAATAGTGCCAAATAGAAAACCGAGTTGACGTCCAGATGGCCCGCTCACTTGCCAGAGAAATAGGTTCCGCTCGCTCTAAAAAACGAGAATTAGGTATACTTATAAAATTTTGATGGAAAAGTCTAAACTGGCCCCCAGTATACTAAAAATTTAAATTCCGATATTTACCTGAAGACATTCAGCCGAAATGCCAGCCGCTGTTATAGTCAAAATGATGAAAAATTGAGGAATCCATTGCATACTTGGAGGCGATCACGGCATTTGTTAGGCTTTTTCTGAAGTATGAAGATGTTTGAATCGGGACACTTTTAAACACTGAGAAGCACATTTTGACGAACATAGACATCGCAAGAAAAGACAGCGAAATGAAGAATTGTGAGCCCGTGATCCCCAAGGGAGCGTTTAGCTGGCTGCCAGCCAGCAAACACCTGTGTCAAGTTTTGAGCGAAAAAAACGGAGATAGAAATGTAAATAATTAAGTTTATAGCAACTGGTTTGCAGTTTGCCTAAATCCAAATCTTTGCAAAAATTTGGGGTTCGAGCCAAGAGTTTGAGCTCCAACTTTGCCAATAGCCCGACTCGGTGGCAAATTTAAATGGGGAAAGAAAATGGGTTTGAAACATACAGATTGAGCCATAAAAGGTTTATGGGCCCCAATTTATACTAACTGCCATGTAGTTTACATGATTTCGAACTTTTGAGGCAAGCCGGAGCACGATAACGAGTTGAGCCGAAACTTTGCCAATAGCCCGACTTGCCACCAGATTCGAAGAAAGGCAAAAAATCGGATTTCAGCAGTCAGCTTAAAAGTCAGGAGCTTCTAACATTAAATTTCATTAACTGGCTGGCCGTTTAAATGAAAACGAATTTTTGAGCCAATCTGAAGCGCGAGTAACGACTTTGAGAAGCATTGCCTGCCAGATCTTCAAATTTGAACCGGTTGAGCGAGTTCTAGCCTGGACCTTGAGAAAGAGTGGGTTGGGAATAGGTGTGAAGGGGAGTATGAATCTGTGAGGTGTCGAGGTATAGCCGAAGGGTATTTGGGGGAGGTGAGAAGGGGAGTGGGAGGCCGGAAGGAACCAACTGGGGACGCAGGAGGAGGAGGAGGAGGTGCCCCACCGCTACCCACACGCGATCCCGATTCATCTTCAACCTTTCGGGAGGTGTATGAGGATGAGAGGTAACAAGGCCTTGAGATATTTTAACTAACCAGTATACTTGCTATTAAAAAGATAAACTTGATTTTGGGCTTGATTTTGAGGATTAAGTTTTTCTAGTTCGTCCATTTTCGTGATTTCACGGTGGAAAAATAGTTTTATTAATTTTTCGATCTTGTCAAAAGCTATTTAACCTTTTATATCAGTTCTGGAGTCCATTAAGTACGGTATAACGATCCAAACTTCATTTAAGAAGACACAGAAGCTAAACCGAGGGTAAAGAACCGATAGGATGGCCCATTGAGGTCGATGTGGACAGGGGAGATGACAAACATACAGTCTGTCTGTCCGTATTTCTGTCTTTCGCTCCACTGTCTTTCTGTCCATTCTATTGCCTTCTCCTTCTTGTTCTCGCCGTAGTGAGAAGGATATGAGGGATAGAGGGAGAGGCCAAGAAGACAACGAGGTACACGTATTGACACACAAATACCCACCGTAGCACTGTCTCTTGGCCTCCTACTACCCCCTCAAACAGTATTAGGCGCGCCAAATGGAGTGTTGCAAGACAGAAGGAACATAGGGTCAAGCGGTGGATTAAAATTACATATTTGCATTTATTAAAAGCGCGATAAACCGCCAAAAAATCTCGAAAATTCGAAAAAATCACTTTTAGTTCTGATTTTCGAGTGCCGAAAAATTCTCAAAAAAGTATAAAATATCGTAATTTATTAGCAATTATAACGACATCAAATCAAACTCGTAAAAAAATTAAGGCACAGCAAGAAAAATCACAAAATATGCAAATTTCCGGGCTTCTGGCGCAACGAAAGAGAAATTTGGAGAGGTCAGGGCAAAGGAGTGTTTATAAAGTCTGAGCAAGGGGATTATCGTGTACGTTTACATACTCTAAACATTAGTGGCGTCCGCTGGCGTGAAGTCGAGGACTAGCCGAAAAATATGAGGAAAGAGAAGGATGTGGTGGAGAACGAACAATGGAGCGGGCCAATACTGAGCACGGTTGAATGGATGATGATAGCTGGGGGCAGAAGTGAGGGTGAAGAGGTATAAAAAACTAGGAAAAGCAGATTTTAATAGCATTTATAAACGAGTTTAACTTTTTAGCAGCATAAAAAGTTGTTGCAGTTTTTAAAATTTTACGAAAAAGCAAAAATTCAGGGGTTAAGTTCCTTAAAAAAAGGAACTTTAAAAAAGAGACTGCTGATTTTCTTGCAAAGCTGATCTCAAGATTTTGTAAAAAAATAGTCCGAAATACGATTTAAATCCAAATGACCCCATGAAAAACTGAAATGGCTCAATGGCCAAATTGAGCCAGTAAATTTTCCAAAACAAAAAATAAGGCTTTGCGCCGCAACAGACCAGAAAATTCCCCAAAAATCACAATCCACATCCGTTCAAAATTGGCTCCAAAAATTGCTAACACTAGGCCCCCTAATAGCCATGTTTAGCGCTAAGTACCACTCCAACGCGTTTGGCCCGAGGGCATGTTTTAAGTATTTGCCAAGACAAGGATAATTACACCTAGTTGACACCTCAAATAGCAGCAAATCGGGGGTCTTTAAAGGGACCGGGAAGGCAAAGGGAGGCAGATAGAAAGAGAGAGAGAGAAAAATAGGGGATCTGCCCTCGGGTCATCTTGACTTTTTGAGGGCCACGGGGGGGGGGGGAGAGTAGGACAATGGGCATTGTGTCTCTCTCTAGTAGATCTCGCGGGTACACCTGGTCCATTATAATAATCTATGCAAATTGGGGACCGACTATCGGGGTGGGGGAAGGGCAACGAGCAGAGATTTTTGAGGAAAAATACCGCAAAAATATTTTTCCAAAATTGCAAAAATTAAACTGACATCCAGTTAAATCAAGGAAAATTCACAAAATCACAAAACAAACCAAAATGGTTACGATAGTAGTTCAAATAATTACGTGCCTAACAGAAGAGCGTCCAGAGGAGTGTAGCGTTGTCACCCTCTATCTCTCGCTTTCGGTGTCTCTCTCTAATTGATTTTCTCTCGTCTACGTCCAATTCTCCTCATTCTCCTCGATATGGTCGAGTGGAGGTGGAGAGTCATTGTAGGTCTCAACCGTCTCGATATCTTCCCTTCTCAATTGCTGAAAATCATGTTCGTAGTTTGTGGTTTCGATTAATTGCTTGCCTTTGGCACATTCTTCTTTTGTTTGGCGTTGTTGTGGAATTCGGGGTGTTCGAAGAATGATGGGTTATGGTAGGCCGAGGCTGCAAAATAATGTTGCGTAATCGATTCTAGATTTTTGAGTTTATGCCGATCTTGAAATATTTCCCGCAATAAAAATGAGCGATTTAAAGGCCTTAATCAATCATAAAAGATCAAAGTTTCAGGTTTTTAATTTCATCGATATATTTAAGTGCTTTCCATAGCGTTAACAACTGGAAAAGTTCCAACAATTCGAGTTCTCACTTTTCCGTAATACACAGCGTAATCAATTGGGAAAGCTTCGAAAAACAACTCCGTTTTTTCAATTTCAATTGATTACATCGCGTAATCGATTGGCAAACCTGCTAAAAACGATCTTCCGGATGTTAATGACATTTTCCCACCTTTACGATGTTTTCCGAAACCAACTCCGTGTTGAACGGATGTTCTTCGACCATACGCTTCGGCCAGTTGCTCGAGATTCACTAAAAAAAAATATTATTTATTCAAATAAACTGCTAAACTTAAGTTATGTAGTATTTCGTATTTTTAACCGAATTATAGTTGGGATAATTAAAATTCCACCTACTTTCAGTATGTGCACTCATCGTCCTCGTCCTCTGACTATGTCCTCGTTGTGTTTTTATCTGCTCAAAATCATCCCATCCGTGTCCATAGGCGTGCAGCGGATAGGCTGCCTGAAAAAAATATTTTATCGAATGACTTCAGATTTCATAAATTTATTTGATTTATTTTAATCCATCTCATTATTTGAAAAACTAATAATCAATGATAGTTTAAATTTTTTACGAAGTTTTCAACTCCTCTTTCGAGCGATCACACATCGGACCACCCAACGATTCTATTTTCTGCGTTTTGGCTTGATAATTTTCACCACCCATTTTTTTTTGCGCCGCCTCCCTCTTCTAATCCCCTCTTAAACTGTTCAATTCCAGCTTGATCTGATGGGGGTCAGTTTTGATGGTTTGGACAGCCCCGAAAAAGGCCCAATTCCATTTCACACCTGATAGCGCATCAATCACCCAACCCAGAAGAAATGAGGAATTTGAACGTTTTTTGAGGTCCATTGTTTCTCAATTCGCTCCAAAGACGCAAAAACTTTTTGCAAAATGCAAATTGTCAGACAGAAAAGGCCTTAAAAAAGAGAAAACGTAACTAAAGTTACTTTGGGATGAATTAAGGCATACGAATGCGGCCAAACTGACCTCTCCGTGCTTATAGATATCGAGACCCTTTGTTTCGACTTCGGCTGTGACTCGGAATCGATTGATCTGTAAGAATAAAGCGTCTCTGTTTAAAAAACAACCAAATAAAATCCGAAAAATCTAATTCACCTTTTTCAAGAACAAGAAAATTGGCGTCATCCAAAGAAGTGACCATAATACAATTGCTATCACGCAAACGCACTGCCAGCCCAGTTGCTATAAAAAAAATTCCCATACAAAATATAAATAAATATGAATAAAAAATAAAGCTCATTTTTCCCAAATTCAGTTAAAGGACCAAAATGACTCACAGCAAAAGCTCGTCCAACGGATGGTTCAGCACCCTTTCCAGACATCACATTTGCAATTCCGTAGGCAATACCATCATGAGAGATGATAGCTGTTGAGATTAATCCCCAGCTACCGCCACCGGCATGAACGGCAAATGCATCAAGTGGGTCGTCGATTTTTAGTCTAAAAAATGATATTATTAATCGATAGTGACGAGATAATAGATTTTTCTGTCCGTTTTTGCTGCGATTTGGCAACTCCCGCGACACGCAACTTGCGACGCGCGCGCCACGTACAGCCGTTTCGAGGGTATTAACAGGCTACGCAACGAGGCTGGTCTGCGCGTTGCTTGTCGCAAAGCGGCTAAATCGCTCAATCCAATGGCAGAAAAACAGGTTTTGGCCATAAGAATCGGTATTTTTATTTTTGATCCTATCCTATAAGCGAGAAAAGTATGTGTGTTTTCTGTCCAGGCGGTTTCTCGGCCGTAAGGCCGAATTTCCGGCTGATTTTTGGCATGAAGGTGGAGAAACACATTCGCCAAAAACGGTTTTTTGGATTTTTCGAAATTCCTTAATTTAACGGTTTTACAAGCGAAAATGTAAAAATCCTTAACAAATTGGGTTACGAGCCGCGTTGTACAGGTCATAACTCGAAGCCCTGATGGAATTTCGATCTGTAATTTGGACCACTTATGTATTCGATAGCGGGGATCACGCGCATCTTATTATCTTTACCAATTTGCTGCGTATTTAGACTCAAAAATGTAATTTTGTAGTGACACGAAGGCCTTCCTCTTGGGATCATTGGGCCGCCCTTTTCTTTGCCCCTCTCTACGCCCCAGGACAGAAGAGGGCTTTCCCGCCTTCCGATCCCAGCGGCTCCGTGGTCTAGTGGGTTAGCGCCAGGACTACGACGCGCAAGGTCGTGAGTTCAGATCCTGCGCGTACTTAGCTTTTTGCTTTTTGGTAGTTCAGCAACAAAACCAAGTTCTAGGCCGTCGGTGTGCGAGGTTTAGGCCTGACCCTCGCTTTAGCGCCGCTGGCCAAAGAAAAATGCTTTGGCCCAGGCTCTCGCGCCGCAGGCGAAGGATGGGTCCTGGACCCGGGCTCTAGCGCCGCAGGCCAGATCCAGGGGAAACCCAGTAACTAGCGCCGCAGGCTCAAAGATTCTAGCGCAACGCTGGCTCTGGCGCCGCAGACCATGGATGGTTCCTTGACCCAGGTTCCAGCTTCCCGGACCAGGTTCAGTGGAAAATGGCCGCGAAGCGGTCTTTTTCCACTGGTTATTAATAACTCACTTGATCATTAATGTACTCAGCGCCAAATAGATGAGACCAGAGCCGATACCGGTAAATACAGAACCCCATGGCTCCATATGATTGCACCCAGCGCACGAGGAAACCATACCTAAAAACTGAATTGTTTGAGTTTTCGAATTTTGGTCAATTTCGTTATGCTTACCAGCCAAACAAGCATTAATCGTCAACAGCAGTGTCCACTTTCCGTGGGTTGCATAATGCCATAGCAGATAGGTAAGAGCAGCAAACGCACCGCAAAGAATTGTATTCACCATGGCCAGCGCGACGATATTTCCTAAAGACGCAATTTTGAAAAATACGGATGTTAGGGCTGTGTGACCATATTTTTCTGGTTAGTTAGATGACAGTTTAACTAAGGTTGATGGAAATTTTCCTAAAAATGCCAAGCAAAAAGTTTGTAGCTTTTTGGCAAAACGACGGATAAAAAGTCCAATTTTTTTTTAAAACGGGGCTGGTGTGAGAAATCCTGTATTTTGTAGTTTTGTAGTTCACACTTTCAAGTCACCTACCCTCTCCCGGCTTCACAATATCAGCCATCGATCCACCGTTGAACGCCAGGAAACCAAACATCAGAATAAATCCTCCGAGGGCGGCAAACTGAATTTGTCGATTTTTCCGAGCAATATAGCTTTAATCTACCGGCACAGAGTGCCCCTTAATATCCGGGCTTTCTTCCTGTCCTTCTTCCGGAAATCGTCCAATTCGCGGACCCATCAAATAGGCAGCCAAAAAGGAAATGGTACCGCCACACAAATGCACAACCCCGGCACCAGCGAAATCCTAAAAAATGTTAAATAAGTTTTATGGCATAAACTCACCAGATACGTGGTATGATACGGGTCATCGGTCTGGTTCCCGACGGTAATCCCCAGTTTCATCCATCCACCCTCGGCCCATCCCCAATGAGTGAGAATCGGGTAGACGAGGGCTGAAAAAGTAGTGATGGTTTTCGGCTTTTTCGATTTGAAGGGGACTGGGAAGCGCGCATTCCCATCGGTCGGTCACTACGACTAGAAAGCGAAAATACTCTTTGCCAAATCAGCTTTAACGGAATTTGGCGCCTCGCGTAGCCGTCGATACCTGATCGGTAGAGGGAGTAGATTCTGGCGCATGCCAGTATCTTTAAAGGGACAGACAAGGTATTTCTATCATTCCTTTCTATCTAGCTTATGGGTTTTTCTGCAACTCGACCAACAGCGTAAGCTCCCTTTTTATAGCGTAATGTATTACGACCTATAATTCACCGTCGATAAGCGGTCGCGTCGCGTCTCGTGGATGTAACAAAATCTGTGTTTAATCTATAGCTAACAAAATCCATAGTGACGTCCCTTGCCTGTACCTTTAAAACTGGTACCCGAATTGCTTTTCATCCGACTTTGATAGATCAATCCCCTCTTCCGTCTCTCTTCCCTATTCTCTCTCTGCTTCCCCGGGATCTCTAGCGTCTTATCTCTCAATTTATGATGACCAATCAGTAGGGGTTATGTTTTTTTCTGCAAAAGCCCTAAATTGGGGTGGTCTGGCCCGAATTTACAGCCGCCCAAAAAATCAAGAATCGCTTGACCAAATAATCCGAAAAGGAGGGCAACGATGCGAAATTTACGGTTTGTAGCTCCGGGAGTATCCATGGGAAATTAATGGGCTTGAGGCGATCATAAAGCGGATTTTATTAGGAGATGGGGAAGGAAGGCAGGAAGGCGTTGTATTTTGTAGTTTTCGGCTTGAAAATTGAAATGCTGAGCAGAAAATAAAAAGAATGACCAACCATCTTTTAAAAAAATAGGTTTTTAAAATTTTCGCAATTCTCGACATTCAGAGCCAAAAAACCCCCAATTTTTAAGCATTTTGCAAGAACTTTTTAAATTTTCGCAGTGTTTGTAACACAAAGTACCTGAAATAACGGTACAATACGTGATATAGCACGCAAATTCACAGCGTTCGGCCACAGCGCCAGATACGATAGTTGCGGAAGTGGCGGCGAACACGTACTGGAAGAAGAATCTGAAAAATATAGCTAAATTCAGTTGATTTTGAAGAAATATGGTGTGTAATAAAATGGCGTAATGGATTACGACATGAAATTAGATTGCGTGAGCTTACTTGGGATAATCCGAAAATCCGGCCAAGAAGAAATTCGATGATCCAACGAATAGATTGACGGTGCTGTTCGAAGATTGTCCGTATCCTAGCGCGTATCCGATGGCCCAATATCCCACGATCGCAATACCTAAAACCCGATTTTTCAGAAATTATGGTTCAAAACTCACAAGAATCCAGCAAATTCTTGATCAAAATATTTGTAGTGTTTTTACTTCGCACCGCTCCGGCTTCCAGGAAAGCAAAACCGCACTGCATTACTAAATTCAAAAAGTTAATTTTGTAGTTTATAGCTTTTGCGTACTTGGTTGTACGTGAGTATTTGCATAAGAAACCTACAAAAAATAATAAGTGCCATGGAGCACAAGAAGAAAGCATTCTCGTTAGCCGTGAAATCCTGTCGAATATCGTCAATTTCATTTTGAAGGTATATCAAAGCTGCGGTTAGGTTTGAGGGATCGATATCCAATTCTTGCCGGTCAAGGTGATGCGCGCCCATCTAAAATACTGAAAATAAGCAGCAAAAGGCCAAATATCAAAAAATCAAGCCTCGAAAAATCAAAAAAAAACATCAAAGAAAAGTAAAGGAAAATTGTTCCAACTCTGGTGTTTCGGTTTCAAAATGATACTCTGGACCATTCAAGGTTATTTTTAATAGTCAATAACGTCATAACTGTATTTAGAAAACAGTAAAAAGTCTATCAAAATGAAAAAAAGGCGGAAAATATCGCAAAAAAAAAAAATTCCAGCAAAAATCAACGGAAGATCGAGGCCTCTCGGGTCCAAAATGTTCCTTTGCACTGCCGTGTAGCCATTTCGAAACATTCCGGTTTACGGCAAGCCATACGAATTGAATATCAAGGTTGAGGTTTCAGCTTGAAGCCGCAACGAGCAGTCTATGGCCATAAATAAAACCATTGAATGGTTGGGGAGTGTCTGAATCCTGAATTCTTCCCCATTGCTCGACTCGATCAGAGCAGATCGTGGCTTCTCCTTCCCCCTTTATCAAAAAGACATTAATTCAGCTATACGCACACCCCCACTCCACTATGCACTGAAAGGGGCTATTTGGAGAGATGGAAGAATGGATCGAAAAGCTCGAAAAGCCGAATTTTCGGACTCTAAGAAACTTAGCGAACTTCCAGACCCGCTGGCCGGGCTAGAAAAATTGCAAAATGGGCGGACAGCGGGCGAAATTTGTGATAGAAAGGACTGATAAGTCCTTCCGGGGAACGGTCAGAAGCTTATTAGAAGCGAAGAGGGGGGCGTGTGTTGTCTGAATTCTGGCCTGGACAAGCCGATCAAAAAATTGAAAAGTTCAACCTGCCAAGAGGCGAATTTTTGAAAAAATAGCGATAAGACTGCTCCAGCTAATTCTCGATTTTCTTATTGTTTTAACAACCAGAAAACCTTTAAACCAGAGTTAAAACTCCCAGAAACTGCCAGAAAAAGGTAGTTAAAAAGCAACAATTAATAAAAAATTTGCAATTTGCAACGCTTTGCAAAATTTAAAAGGCCTCAGGAAACCTAAATTAGGATATTCTTAGGAGCCAAAAATTTGTAGAGTATCGCGGAAAACTACGGTTGGCCTTTCTAAAAGTCAGAGCACCTTGAGGTGTTAGTTGGAGCGACATGTAGCTGTTGATACCTAGCAGGGAGCGGGCCTTGATTTATTGCTTATTTTCCTTAAAAGAGTGGGTAATATATTTTAACTGCTTAAAAAGTCGAATTTCCGAGGCCATCGGGCGATTTTTAAAGAATTTTCAGGCCTGCAGGCCGAGCCGAAAATGAGCCAAATCGGGGGAATTGTTGTATCATCTGTCTGTCGTCTTAGAATGTGTGATAATCTCTGTTTCTCTCTTCCTTTGGATTATTCCCCTTTTGGATGCAGTTTATTTCCCGTTTAGGGTCTCTAGCCCTCGAAATGAGCGTTTGATTTTTGGCATCGATAAGCCCCGGAGGGGTGGGTGGACAGGGGAAGAAGACGCTCGAAAAAGGAATGAGAAATTCCCGAAGAGACGGAGAAGCCCGGCTCATTTTGGTCAAGCTCTTCCGCAAATTTGCAGCTAAAGGAAGAGAGGCATTTCTGATAAATGAGCAGGCTTCTCCTTTTCTTGAGTCTAAACCGGTCTAATCTTCAGGAAGCCCCTTGTCCAGAACGTCCTAAGGAAGCCGATTTATCTGTTGCTATCGCGACACGCGACGCGACGCACCGCACTATCACCGCTATCGTATTTGCGTCGCGTGCCGTGTTACTTGTAAAGTTGCGCGTTGCGTTGCGTGTCGCATTCTATGTCATGCTGGGCAATGTGTTACGCGCCGCGTTGATTGTCGGGTTACGTGTCACGTTGCGTATGTCGCTACATATCTGGTTACGTGTCGGACCGGAGGCCACGTTGCGTACCGCGTTACGTCTAGCGTTGCGTATCGAGCTGCGCATAGCGTTACGTCTAGCGTTGCGTTGTCGCTGCATGTAGCTTTGCGTGTCACCCTGCGTGCCGTAAATGCGGGCAGATTCAGAAAAATTCTTATCCTACAGAATTCTGATTCTGCTTGTGCGACCCTTTAAAACATTTTGGTTGAGATACAGTGCTTTTAAATAAGCAGATTTTCAATTATTTTCAAATTTAATTTTTGATCTGTCCGCTCACATTCCATCACACTCCAAAAACCGTTCACTCGCCCCTTTTTGGCGGTCTTTAAAAGATAAGGGATTTGATGGGGCTATTTCTAGAGGGAGGGGAGAGGCCGGCATATTAGTCGATAAATTTTATTCGCCTGGTTAGTATTTGCGTCATTTCAGCACCGCAACATTCTTAAGATCAAATTTTTGAGCGTCTGCTGCTTGTCGATTTTGAAATTGGCAGGTTCAAGGTGTGAACTTCAAAGAAAATTATCACGTTCAGGCAGCCGCAATCTTTTCTAATTATACGAATTTTTCAGGGAGCAAAAGATGGTGTACTGCTACTCTTTTTTGAGACGTCTATTTTTCAAATTTTGATTAATTCTAATTAAATTTACTGTTTTAAATGCAACTCTTAGAATTTTCAGTCTAGATCAAATAACGGGTTCTAATTCCTCAAGCTCAAAAAAGCGAGCCCAATAATGTCACCGCCGTTTGCGAAGCAAATTTCGTAGTCTGTCTCGTGGCCGCCGAAAATACGCGAAATTCGAAGCGTTCATAGCGTCAACCATTTATCACATCGGGACAGACAATATAACGAGAGAAAAAAGATGAGAGAGACGAGAGAGGCGAGAGATAGAGAGGGACAAACAACGGCGAGAGAAAGAGAGGGAACAGAAAAAAGGGTAAATTTTGGTGTTTTCATCAGAAATTTGAATTCTGAGCTGAACTTGTGGATTTGGGGGTGGGTTTTTGGAGATCACTTTGGCTGTACAAAAATAGAGAAAGAAAGAAAGAAAAGGGATACCTAGATAAAGGGGGAGAGAGAGAGAGAACGATAGCAACAGTTTTTCTAGACTTCAAAAAATGGTATGAAATATGGTATTATTTGGGGGGAGGAGTAAGGCAAGCTGACAAATCGAGAGAGAGAGATGGAGAGGGAGGCCTTTCAGAGCGTGAATGAAATTTTCGGGATTTTCTTAGAATTCGAAATTGTCGGGATTCATGAAGTCTTTTGGCGAGAACCGTTGCATACATTTGCCCACCATCTCGTTGTTGAAGCAATTTGCTCTGAAAATATGCAAATTTCATCAGACATTCGAAAATTAATTTGAGATTAAATTTTAGATTACACCATGAATATTAATATAAATTATTTTTGCAATTGATAATTTAAAAACAAAATTTGTGAAATTACCGTACCTACACCGTGACCGAACATTGGCCTCGCTATGCGAATACAGCTCGTGGCATAACGCGCACACCTGAAAAAAATACAAATAAATCGATTCTGCAGAAATCTAATTTTTCTGCTAACATTTAAATAATTGCATTGTAATTTTCATGCTTTTTCGACTGTTGTAAAATTGATTTTCTATGTTTTGAACTGACCTCTTCCAAGACCTGTGCTAACACGACGTTCGCCTTCTTTTTCAATTCGCACACTTCATCGCTGACTTCCATGTAATGACTTCGTTTCTGGAGGGAATTCATAGTTTTGGTTTGTAGTTTGAATCACTTACCACTGGTCTTAACAAAACGGTCGAATCTTCTGAACTGTAGTAGCCGGGGTAGACGAGAAGGTCCGGTTGTCGCTAAAAATTACGGATTGAGTCGATTTCTCGCTCTCTCTATCTCTCTCCCTCTCTCTCTCTTTCTCTCCCTCTCTCTCTCTTTCTCTCCCTCGCTTTCTCACCTGTCTGACGGGATTCTGGAGACTTGTCGAAATGAGTAGGGAGAGGGTTGACAATGTGGCCAACAATGGCAATGCTGCTGGGAGTCGGAGTGGGTGCATACCTATCTGGAAAAAATCAAAAAAGTTATTGGTGGTTAAAACGTACAAAAAACGAAAAAGATAGAAAAATCAAAAAATATATGGAGAAAGAGAGAGCAAGCATGAGAGAGAGAGAACGAGAGAAAGAGAGAGCCTTCCCGGTCTCTTAAAATGGGTGGGTTACGGTAACTTTCATACAATCCTGAAACATCAACGAAGCTAAACTGCAACTTCCAACCCGCTGCCCCTGATTTTATACGGTAACTAAAGAACCGAAATGCGCAATTGCCAAGTGCACCTTTTCCCTTCCCCATTCCCCCGGGACCCCAAAATTTTCGTCCTGCGATTGGATATACGCACAGAGCGACGCATCTACAATTAGCGACTCCCCAAACGCAAAAATGAGAGACCCGAAAAATTCAGAAAAATTTTTGCAAATTAGACTCGGGGCCCGGGAGACGGGAAAATGGACTGAAAATGAGAATTTGATGACTGGACTCTTGAGGCCTCTAGGTCGCTTATTTTTAATATTGGATCCGGGTATGGAGAATAACAAAATGTGGAATTATTTGAGGCAGGGATGACGCATACTGTATCTGATACTGTAAAAACTTTTTATAGATGCGGCAGACTTATTTTAAACCTAATTTTACTTTGAAATTTAATTTTAAAGTCAAGATCTAGCTTGATAAATTTAGATTAAGTCTAGGTACTCTATTAAATTTTGCGATTTTGTTACGGTATCGACAAAAGTTCTTGATTTTTTTAAGATATCTTAGCGAAAATTTCCCCAAAAATCTTTACAACGCCTCAAAAATTGCTGAGCGGATCTGGAAGTGAGTGTTAATGGAAATGATGCGATATTCCGGGGCAGGTTTTTCCACTCCGCGCCTCTCTTCTCAATAGTCCATTATGTAATTTATGAATGAGCACTTAGGGGAGTAAGTGAGAGAGAAAGATTGATACACAGACAGACAGTGAGAAACACGCCGTAGAACTCAATTTATTCGCAGCCCCCCAGCCAGACCGCGATCACCAATAGCCCCAGACCCAAATCGTCATCACAAAAAGCGGATAACCCAATTTATTGGCGTGTTTTTACGTGTAAATCGTACGTTAAACATCCCATTTTTTCAGGGTAAACATGGCTTTTACATATTTTTTCAAAGCCAAAAACATTTTCCGATCTCTGGGTTTGTCAGTACCAAAAATCAGCAAATTGACAGTCGAAGAGAGGGGGTCCCCGATGGCCATCATCACTTACTGTAATACGGGAATTCGATTATCGCGCCAATTAGCAGCGGAAAAACGGTCGAAAATGACGCTTTTTGGGCTTTGGAGTGGAAGTGGTTAGCTAGTTAGCTGACAGAAAAAGAAAAGGGGCAGAAAAAGTCTTACACGGAATGGCGTGGGGTTTTGGTGTACGGCGGAAGAGATACGGTACGACAAAGTTATTCTTTTAATTACAATAAGGAAAGTATGATTATGGGCTACCAGAAATCCTATATAATTTGAAATGCCCATCTGATCTAAATCCAAATTTTTTTACTAGCAGAAATTGCAAATATGTGAATTTTAAAATTATGAAACCTAATTAAATTTATTTAAGCTATAAATAAGATTAATTAGTTTATTTAAATTAGAATTTATCAAAATAAGTTACAAGTCATAAAAACCTAGAAATTCTACAGTTACTAAACCTGAAACATGGGTTTAACAGTCCAGAACCATGGAAAAATGGCCCTCACAGTACCCCCAGAATGCGATTATTTTTCCGAAAATTATTATGCAATTTGCCTTACTGACGCAGACTGAATTTCCAAGCCATGCGTCACCGGTTGCAGCCAAATGCCAAAATAAGCGACCAAAAATTCCAGAGTAATTTGTATCTATCTTGCTGCACTGCTCGCAGGATCCGGTCCATGACGCCCCAAAGTTCTGTAAGAAATGGTTGCGCATGTCCGCCATGCTCTAAATAAAACACACAGCAAAATCAAGAAGACCTCAAGGCGCAGAAAATCACGCGCCGCGAGCAATGCCCAAAAAAACCGGGTGAGGGAGGGACGCAGGCGAGGAGGAAGTGGAATCAAAAGAACGAATCAGAAGCGGCGTCCAGTCTCTTTTTGGCCTTTTTGGTTGAAACGCTTCCATTTTTCTAAAGACTGCGAGGGTGGGCCCCCCACCCTCACCCCGATCCCTCCAATTAGACGATAAAATGACGCGGGCCCACAGAGAGGGTCCCGCCACGGCAACCCCCCCCCCCCTAATTTTGGCGGCTTTCCGGCCCGTGGTGGTGTGTATTCTGGAGGGCAGGCGAACGGCTTTAGTGGACAGATAGATAAACTGGCAGACAGACAGAGCGATGGACAGAGAAAAAGAGAGACAGACCGACAGACAGACGACTACGAAAAACGAATAAAGTGATGCCACTGTCCGGCGCGTCTAAAAATTGCTGGGGTTTTTGGTTGACGAGAGGGCGAGAGAGAGAAAGAGAGATAGGGACGAGCAGACAGAACCGGGAAGTCATTCCCTAATTTCGTAATCCCTGTAATTACCATTGTGTCTTGAGTACGCTACGTGCCCATTGACGTTTCTAATTAAATACTTACGACATGAAATGTCAAATTCAACGTCAGAAGGGCTCTTCCGGGCCAAGATACTGGGTTACGGTAGTTTTTTGAATGACAAAACAGGGTTTTATGACTACAATTACCAAATTGGGACCCGTTAGTTGAATAGGGTAAATTCTAGCATTTTTCAAATGTCATCTGCGCACTAATCCTACTATATATAAAAAAATAGTGTCTGTGTGTGTGTGTGTGCCACTTTGCATCCACTTCCGTATCGTTGTTCCAGACGTATCTCCATAGGGGAAGAAGTTAGGGGTGGGTACGATACGTCATTATGTGCGTAATGGTCTAGGGATGACTGCCCACATATCAGATTTATAAAAATCAGCCATTTTCGATATTAAATTTAAGTTTTTGTAAAACTCTCTTTGTTAGGAAAAATTAGCATTGCCCGGAAGTAGGAAGTCGCCTATATAAAGGGTCAGAAGCGAATCATTTTGATTTTTTTGGTCATCTGAATTCCGCGCAATTATGCAAAGCGTAGAACAGCATGCGGTCCAAGACGGGGCCAGGGTTGAAAAGTCGCGAAGCGGCTTTTCAACCCTGGTGTCACCTAAACCCCCAGGCAGACCCTGCAATTTTCGACTTGCACCTCTTTGCTGAACTTTTTCTAAAGTTTCTAGGTTGATCAGTGCGGACAATTTGCAACTGAAAAGACCATAATTTGGTTTGAAAAATTTGCAAAACGGCACGTACTCCCAGAAAAGATGACAAAGCTGCAAAAAAATCAAAAAAATTAGCAGTGAAAGCGCCTCAAAAATTTGCGAAAAGCGGAATCTGGAACGGTCTCTAGAATGAATGTTGCCATCTAATTTTCTGATTTTTCGGAATAAAATTATGGGGCCCAGACTACACTAAAAAGCCTCATTCACCAAGAGCCAGACACGGAAATCCATACCCGGTAATTTTGAGCACCTTTTTCAGCGGGACGCCCTCCACCCTCAAAACTAGTAGCAGGCATTTATCCGAAAAATGAAAATTATCGGTTTTCATGCAACGAACTACAAATTAAACAACAAAGAATTACAGTAAAAACCCTCCCGAAATGTCATTTTTAGTTTCTGATTAAAAAGGCCTCTTTTTCGAGTCGAACGCCCTTTTCGCACCCTCAAATTTGCACCCAAAGAAACAGCATGGCAACACGCAACAATTTTCTCGCAGGGCAAACAGGGTTCGAAATTTTCAAGCAGAAAAAAGAGTTCCGGATCCAATTTTAGGGGAGCAATCTCTGCGGGACCTCGCGAGAGTGAAAGCAGACTCGGCTCCAAAAATAAGCCGATTTTAGGACCCTGCCAGGAATTTGGACCATTTCGTAGCTTGGGTGCTAGCAGAGTATCACGTGTTTTTGAGAGTACTGTAGAAAAGTCAAAAACGTCAAGAACCGAATAACTAAAGGTTCGTAGTTTAAACGGCTAAATTTGTCATAATGTTTTAAATAGGGCTTTTCAAAAATACTGTAGATCATTAAAAAAATAAACCTTTAAAACGGTGAAAAATGAAATCTCGCAAAATCCTAAAAAACTGAAAATATATGTTTAAATTTATTGAAGTGCTGTTTTATTTAATTTTTAGATTATTAACAAAAAGTAAAACTTTGGAAGGAGCCAAGATTTTTACTTTCTATTTTAGGTCGTTGCGCCCCAAATTCCAAAGCTAATCCCCTCCCCTTCCCGGATTTCCAGACTTGTACTCGTGGCGGACCCCTCTAGGCACATCCACAAAAAGGATTACGGTAGCTTGGAGGGGGATAGAAATAGAACTGCCATTCACAACGAGAAAAAAGCAATGTGATCGAACCGTAAAAATCTCCCGATATAGAATAATGATCCTGCTTTTTTTAGGGGGAATCGAGGGGTGTGAATAGAAATATTTTGTGGGGTTGATATCATTGGAATGGAAAAGAGAGAGAGAGAGAGAGAGACAGCGTGTGGGATTATTTCGGTTGAGACAAGCGATCTCATGAATTTCTATAGCCGAGACCATGGCCGTCCCGTGTCTACTCGCCCACCCGAAATTCATTTTTATGCATTCCATCGCGTCATCTGTTAGCCAGATGGAATCATCGAGGTGTGAAAACAAATGCTGAACTTTAATGCCCCGTCTAAAGAGCCTATGAAGGCAAAAATTTCACTCCGAGCGAAAAAATCGGCTTTTTCGATTTTTGCAATTTGAAAATTTTATTTGAGGCATACGGTAATTTGAGGGTCTATTTTAGCAGACTGTCAGCCAGCTAAAAGAAATACAGAGGCTAAAAAGTTAGTGTTCGGCTTATTTTTAGAATTATACCAGGGTTGAAAAACAGCTTCGCGGCGTTTCAACCCTGGCCCCGTCTAACGCACACATATTTCTTCCCGAACTTGATTGCAAAAAATGAAAAGGACCCCTCTACCC